GGCGTCAGTAAAGTCCCGCGTGACTGCCTGCACGTCTTGTTCAACTTGGACAAGCTCCCCATAGCGGGTGGCATGCTCCCCACGCGGCGGCCAATAAAACGTGCCCTGTTGAAAAGGCGGCCCGGGGGAGGTCCCCCTCCCCCTCCCCTCCTCCGAGCCCGTGAACCCACATCTCCGGCCTTTTTGCGAGTTGGCCCACGCCGACGTGCCGAGGGGGTATAACGGCTATAATGGGCTAACAAGGCTAGGTCGGCATGAAGAAGAAAAAAACAGGGGCCTTTCTCTTCGCCGTGCGGGACTCGTCCAACTCGTTCCGTTTTCCTGCCTGCCGCCGTCAAAAAGGACGGAACGACTGGGCCCCTCCCAATCCACAACTACGGTGGACTTTTTTTGGCGCCTCCGCTTTCTCATGCACAAACGAGTCCCGTCCTATCAGGGTGGGGAGGGGGGCGGTTCGTCGTCGTCGAATCTCGTTTGCGTCGTCAATCGCGAGGCCTCCCGCTTGGCTCTGAGGAGGGGGGGGGGGGCCTGACCGTGCCGATGGTGCCGAATAGCGAGCGCATGGATGATATTTATCCGACGGCGCTTTTTTGCCCTTCTTGGTCGTGTCTTCGAAAGTGCGTTGCTTACGGCGAACAGGGCGAGGGGGTTATCATGAACCCGACTTGGCCTTCTCTGGCCTGGTGGCCTGGTTGCAGATGTTGATACTTGCAGAAACGGTAGCGTCGGGGGACTCGTAGGGGAATAGGTGACGGGCAGATTGGTGGGTGGCGGCAGTCGCGGGGAAAAGTTGCACTCGGACACTTGACTAGATATCCCCATGTTGCCCCAGTAAAACTAAATGCATGCACGCACTCTTCGGCATTCTGAAAACAGGAAAGGACAAGAGAAACTGGAGATGGCATGAAAGAGAAAAAAAAATGGAGGTAGCAACGTGGCCAGCGGGAAGAAACGGGAGCACCCTCGTTGTGAGGAGGAAGCAGGGAGATCATGTCGATCAGGGAATCCCCGCAGACTTTCCACGTCCTTGTAGAAGTGCCGGAATGCCTCTACCTTGTAATAGCAAGCCGCAGTCTCGTGTTACTAGCACGAGATCAACAGCCTGCAGAGAGAGGGGGATCATCCAAGCAGCCAAGATCAGCGGCGGATGGACGTGGCAGAATCATGGGGCATTACGGCACCATCCATAGGAGAGACGCAAACTATTTCCGGGGGGTCTTGTTAGTTGAATAAAGGTCTGTAGCTACAGTGCCAGTGACTGCAATCCCCTCTTATATTCCCCCCAGTTTTATATCATTCCCCGTCCCCCCCCGCTCAACCCTCGAGCCCCTCGGCGCCCTCCTTCACCCTCTGCTGGTACAGCGCGTAGGCGTCAAACATGCCCGACTCGTGGAAGTAGGTTTCGTAATGCGCCACCATCTCGGCCAGCTTGGCGGGCATCTCGGCCGCCAGGTCGCGCGACTCGGCCGGGTCCTCGGCCACGTTGTAGAGCTCCCACCTGCCGGGCCCGCGGGGCGGGGGCAGGAACAGGGCCTTCCAGCCGCCGAGCCGCACGGCCGCGGTGCCGAGCTGCTCCCAGCCGACGACGTCGCTGCGCCCGTCGTCGCCGTAGACCTCGACGGGCGGCGGCGGGTGGTGGTCCTCCTTTTGGTGTGGCGGCGACGACGATCGCAGCAGCGGTAGCCACGACCTCCCGCGCGGCGCCACGACGTCGCGGCCCCGGAAGCGCGGGGCCGGGTGGGCGACGCCGGCGAGCTCGAGCGCGGTCGGGAGCAGGTCCATGACGGACGTGAACTGGGGCGCGACGGCCCCGCGGCCGGCCGGCGGGATGGACGGGGGGTGGCGCACGATGCAGGGGCAGCGGATGCCGCCCTCGGTGGCGTACGACTTTGCGGCGCGGCTGGGCGCCGTGGCGGCGCCGGCCCACTGGGGCCCGTACCAGACGAAGGAGTCGTGGTTGCCGATGTTTTCCAGCGAGTTGTCGTAGTGGCGCTCCAGCAGCTGGCCCATGGTCACGTTTGTCAGCACCGGCACCGCCTCGAGCAGCTGGCCCTCGGCGCCGTTGTCGGACATGAAGACGACAAAGGTGTCGTCCAGCTCCCCCGTGCTGTCGAGGTAGTCCAGCACGCGGCCCACGTTGACGTCGACGAGGTCCACCATGGCGGCGTAGACCTCCATGGTGCGGCTCGACGTGTTGCGCTCGTCGTCCGACAGCTCGTCCCACGGCCGCGTGTCCAGCATGTGCATGGGGGCGGGCTCGACGTCGGGCGGCACGAGGCCCTTGGACACCAGGCTCCTCAGCCGGCGGTCGCGCAGCGCCACGGGCCCGTCGTCGTAGCGGCCGCGGTACTTTTCCACCGTCTCCCTGGGCGCCTGCAGCGGCCAGTGCGGGGCCGTGAAGGCGAGGTAGCCGAAGAAGGGCCGGGCGGCCTCGGTCTCGTTGCGCCCGCGCAGGAAGTCGAGGAAGTAGTCGGTGAAGGTGTTTGACGAGTAAAAGTCGCGGGGCAGGTCGCCACCCTCGGGCGAGCCGTCGATGAAGTCGCCGTCCCGCATCCAGATGCCGTTGCCCTTAAAGTACCTACGCGGCTTCTCCTTCAGGCCGCGCAGCACCGGCTCGCGGTTGAAGTGGTTACCAGCGCCCGGCAGCGTGCTGAGCACCCTCGTGAAGCCGCGCGCCCACGGCGACGTCTCCTTGGTCAGACCGAGGTGCCACTTGCCCGTCATGAGGGTAAAGTAGCCCGCGTCCTGCAAGATCTCGGGCAGGGCCGCGACGCGGAAGTTGAGGTACCCTTCGTATCCGGCCCGCCCCTCGAAGATTTCGGGGAACCGCCGCATGCGCTCGGCCATGCAGCCCAGGCCGGCGATGTGCGAGTCGGTGCCCGACAGCAGCATGGCGCGGGTGGGCGAGCACGAGGCGGCCGTGTGGAAGCCCGTCATGCGCACGCCCTCGTCGGCCAGCCGCTGCAGGTTGGGCGTGTCCATCTCGCCGCCGTACGGCGACGTGTCGCCGAAGCCCAGGTCGTCGGCCACGACTATCAGGAAGTTTGGCCGCCGGCGCGCCGTCGACCCCAAAGGCCCCAAAGGACCATCACGGGCGGGCCCGAGTCGCCATGGCGGGCCTTCCAGGATGCATGCCGCGAGGAAGACCAGGAAATGGGTCAGCATTTTGTTGGTGATTTGCAGGCATGGGCTTTGGCTGCTTGTTTTGGCCCGTTTGAGAGCTGGCAAAAGCCCAGCACATTATCCATGGCTGCTGGTGTGGATAAAAAGCAAAGCAGATTCAAGAGGCTGGATACAAGCCATGGTGGTTTGCACAGTGTGTATTGCCATTTTCACGCACCATTTTGTTTCATTGCTTCCTATATCCCATCTCTTGCTACTTATCCTGGCTTCGGTCTCGAGTAACATGCCTTGATATCCAGCAAAAACAAGAGTATGCGCCCTAAACAAAAACCCAAGATACCTCGACCCAACAGCCTCTCATCGTCACACCCCACCCCCCTATTTCGCAGGATACGACAGCTTCAGCTTGGGGCTCGCGGACCAGTTGCTGACCCAGTCGTTCATGTTGACGGTGGCCTTTGACGTCTCGACGTTGCTGGTGGTGGCGCTGGTGCGGAGCAGGAACGCGTTGATGTACGAGTTGAGGTCGGCCGTCGTCGCCGACGGGAACTGGCAGTGCTGGTGCCCGCCCACGAGCGAGAAGCCCATGTTCTGCGCCACCCCGAGCCCGGCGTAGATCTGCCGCCCGGCCTTCATGCACGTCGTCGTGCTGACGGGGCCGAGCCAGTCGATGTCGTTCTCGATCGAGAACAGGCCCCTGGGCGCCACCAGGGCCGCCAGGAAGTGGTGGTCGGCCGGGATGGCGGTCGTCTTGCTCGTGTACTGGTTGAACCTGGGCGAGAACCACGCGTTCTCGCCCACGATCTGCGACGCCGTCTGGATGTTCTTCCCCTTGGCCTTCTCCGAGTCGGACACGCGCCAGCACGCCGCGCCGCCGGACCCGGACTCCTGCGGGATCGTGAGGGCGATGCGCCGCTCGAGCGCCCCGACCACGAAGGCGCCCTTGCCGTTGCGGCTGCACCCCGTGACGCCCAGCCGGGTGGGGTCGATGCCCGTGGCGGAGGCGCCCACCTTCTCGAGCGCGTCCACGATGCGGCCCACGCACCAGGCCCACGCCGTCGTGGCTCCCGCGCTGTGGTCGCGCCCGTGTAGGTCGAAGAACCAGCCGGTGCCGTGGCTGCGCGGGTTGGCCTGCGCCGCGCACGCGTCGTTGCCAAAGTTGATGCGGCCCAGGCCCGCTGGCACGGGGATGGAGATGCCGCCGATGCCGATTATGGCGGCGCCTCCCGTCGTCCCGGCGCCGGACGGGCGGGTGAAGCCCACGGAAAGGGTCTTGGTGTTGCTGCCCACCTTGATCGTGATGCTCATGGTGGTGCCCGACACCGACGCCGTCAGGGAGCTGGGCGGCGGCGGCAGGTCGCCCAGCACGTACTGCTGCAGCTGCCGGCTCATCTCGTCCTGCCGGCACCCCCACTCGGCCTCGGACGCCACCGCCTTGCCGCTGCTCGAGAGCTTCCACGGGTCCGGCAGCTGCCGCTCGTTGACCGTCGGGTAGCTGGCCGCTACCGAGCACGTCTGCCGCCGCCACACGCCGCCGCCGCCGCCGAATATCTCCGACGCGGGGATAGCTGCCGCCGTGCCGGCCAGCACGAGGGCCACGAGGGGGGCGAGCATTTCCGGATGTGTGTTTGATATCTATTCGCTGAGGGCGAGTGGAATGGCTTTTTTTTTTTTTGCGCGACCTGCCAGATAGATAGTTAGGTACCAGTCTGGGTGACTTGGTAGTCTTGGGAATGAGCACCAGGGGGGTTGCCAGCTCGCTTTAAATACGAATATGCTTCCGCTTTAGCGAGCTGTCAACCACAACTCCCGCCTCGCCCCTGAGCGGCGGCAAGCAGGCCGAGCACTCGAGTTTGCGAGCCGCCACCCCAAGGCCAAAACCATTCAAGGGATATATACCCATGTCTTGGTATCAATATGGCTATTCTGGCACGGCAACTCGCGAGGCGAAGAGCGATAGTAACGCCTTCGCCCCCATCAATCCTAGCCAGTCACGCTTTTACCTTGTGCTATATGGCTGGAAATGGAAGCAATGGCGATCCCCACGTGCCTCTCCATCTCCGCAATCTTCACCAGGTTTGTTTTTTTTTATTCCCCCAAGCCTTGGCCACCTGTCTCCTCCTTCCCCCCGCATCGGCAAGGAAGTCTGGCGCTGCTCCATGCAGGGAAGCTGCCGGAACGCCAAGGGCCGGGATAAAATGCCGTCAGGCAAGTGGGGGGCACACTCCCGCCTAATACCCCGATGGGGCCAGTTGTGGTCGCCCACGGGCTTGCGCAAGGGCCTTCAAGGCCATTGAACTGTGTCAGCTGGGCATATTCTCCAGGTGCGCAGCTGGGAGCGTGGGTCTCGACATCTACCTACAGCGCCCAAGGCGGTCCACATCGAGGATCCAAAGGAACCGAGAACTAGCGCCGTCACTTGAGGAAAAACTCCAGCAACCCAGAATATATCACCGCCCGGCTGTCGGCACTACGGCAGTTGCGCAGGCCTCCCCCCACGAGCTGTCATCGGCCTCGAGGTAACCTCTCTCCGACGCGGGCGGGCCCCTCTTGACGCATCTACCGTATTTAGCCGCGCCGATCCATGTACTGCAACAGGGGCGAGCAGAATACCGTATCCGTCTGCGAACTCCATTGGGCCATCACCCCATCAGACGCCGCCGCTGGTGGTACGAGCAGACAAATTTCAAGGTCCATTACTAGCCAGTCAAAGAAGCCAAGGACAGCCTACGCAGCTGGACCTTGGTGCCCTTCGGTAACATGTTCCCGCGCCGCCTCCCACGAGACACGAGAAAATCGACAAAAACGCTATTTACCGCCCCCCAAGAAACGCCCGCTCTTGCTCCGTATGTGCCAAAAACAGAAGAATATGAAATCAGATAGCAACCCATGGAGAGAGGGAGACGTGTGTACAGGCAGAGAGGTCTAGGGTATCCAAGAAGATATAGATAGGACGGTAGATGAAGGAGCCGAGACAAAAATACATGGGACTAGACATCCGCCGTCGCGCGCCATGCCAAACATCACCAGCGCATCGGCCCACCGCTAGCGTCGTCGTCCTCGTGTATGGTGAACCCGACGGGCCCGACGGGCCCCGGGTCGCTGCGGCGCCCGCCACCGCCGAAGCCCGCCTCCTGCATGTGCCAGGCCCGCTGCGTGCTGGGGTACTCGGAGGGCTGGCTGCTCACGTCGCTGGCGGCGTCCTCGCCGAGGTTGTTCAGCTCGACCACGGCCGCGGCCTCGTCGCCCGAGGAGAGCCTGGCCGGGTCCACGTTCTCGCCGTCCGACATGATGTCCTCGATCCCTGGCCACGGCTCGTCCTCGGGGTTCAGCTGGGCCTCGGGCTGCTCCTGCGACTCGGGCGCGGCGCCCGACCGGCGTCGGCGGCTCGAGCCATCACCATTACCCCTGGCGTTCTCGTCGTTCTCTTCCTCGTCGCCGGAAAAGTCTTCGTACACGTTGACGTTCTCGTCACCAAAGAAATCGAAACCGTGGCTCATCATGTCGAGGTCCTCGGATCCGCTGCCGTGGTCGTCGTCGTAGTTGTTGTAGTCCATGTCGTCATCGTCATCGTCATCATTGTATGGCATGCCGGCGGGCCTGAGCCCAGCCTTGTGAGGGTGTGCAGACGGGCCAACTGAAGCTGCCCTCCCAGCGTAGTCGCCACCCCGCGGGTGGTTTGCAGGCACGGTGCTGTGCGGAGTCGCGTAGCAAAATGGCGTTGTCCCACGCATCCGCTGGTCCTCGGGCGCGGCCGACATCTCGCGGGGCATAACGCTGGGGCTTCTGCTGAAGCTTACAGTGCTCCACCGAGGCGTGTTTCGTTGCCGTACGCTTGGCGAGCGCCCCGCGCCGCTCGCACCGCCGCTGCGCCGACGCTTCGAGACCATGGCCGAGGCCATCTGCAATCGCGGGCTGGGCCTACTGGGGCCTGGGACGAACGGGGACGGCCGTCTCTCATGCTGGCTGGACTTGGATGCATTGGTATAAGACAATCCTCGGGCTTTTCTTGGCTGGCTGCCTGCACCTGGCGATGAGACCACCGGCACCCCGCCGGCCGGCACCGACGTCGTTCGCACATGAGGGGGCCGTGATCCCTTCCGCTGGTCTCTCGAAAGAGCCGGGCTTTTACCGCGCGCAGCATTCAGTGACTCTGCCGTAAAGAAGGCCTGAGACGACGAGGCCGCTGTTGACCGTGACTTGTTTACAACGACCGCGGCGCCTTGTCCATCTTGAGTATTGAGTTCCGGGGAGAGTGCTGATGGCGGCTCATCTAGTCTGTCGTGCCACTGCCAACACTCCTCGCTGGTCTCAAAAGACGCGTCCACGGTGTTGGCCGAGGAGCTTTGGGAGTCGGGGCAGACGCGCCCGAGCTCCCTCAGCCGCTGCCATGACCACGCGCCATCCCTCCCCATCTGTTGATCTTGCAGGTACGCCTCGGGCTGGGTGATGTACAGGCGGTGCATGCCCGTCGCCTTCATGACGACGCTGGAGGACAGAAAGCCCACATCCCAGAGTGTTGGGGTGAGCATCTCGGCCGGCGAAAGGAAACGCAGGCGCGAGTCCTTGTGCAGCTTCCGTAGGGGCACCCATGGCTGGCTCAGGCCCAGGAACCTGTCCAGCTTGGCGCCGGCCAACCGCGGCGAGGGGTGTGTGGCGGTGCCAGTGGCGAGGATCTGCAGCGCATTGCTGAAAGCGTCCACCACGGCGAGATGGACACTGCGGGCATCGGAGCCCTTGACTGATAGGGTCTTGATAAGCCCTCGGCTCCTGAGGCGATTATCGATAACGCGCCCAGGGGCACACGCGCGAGGCAGCAGCCACGTGGATGAAGACGATTGGTCTAGCCAATCCACCATGTACGGCGACGTAGGATCCGGCGTCTGCCTGCTCAGGGTATTGGGCATCTGTGTCCACTCGTCGCCGTTGGCGTCCCAGGGCGCAACACCCGACGGTCGCTGGCTTTGGAACTCGCGCGCCGGCATCCAAACACCCTTGAGGCAGAAGGGCAGGATGACGACCTCGAGCTCCCACGGCGAGTTGTATGTGGGGAGCGACGAGGCCTGGAGCCTGTTGACTTGTGCCTGGAGCTCCTGCAGCTGGCTGTAGAGTTGGCGGTGGGAGAAGGCAGGCGTGGACTCTGAAAGGACACTCGCGTTCCCGTCCTCGCGTCGCATGCTGACAACGGTGCTGTTGTCGTCGTTCAGGCGCTTCTCGACCTCATCCACGCGGGTTTCCAGCTCCGTCACCCTGAGATCCGTATGGTCGTGTCTGTCGCCACAGTCCTCGTGGCCCGCAATCGAGAAGGATGGGTTCTCGAGCTTGTCGAGGCGCTGCCCATGTCCGCACAGGGCATCCTTGAGGTCCCGCACCGCTTCGTTTTCCAGCCCGGGTGAGGAGTGCGGAGGCCTGGGGCTAAAGCTCTGCGACCAGGCTCCCTTTGGTGTTGGCGCGGTGGGCATGGGGATAAGCTCCCGGGGCGACGCCTGCGTGTTGGGTATGGTGGCGTCGGGGTCGGCGGGGGAAGAGCCATTCGAGTGATTGGCGTCGCCCGCAGGGGCCCTGAGTTCCGCGAGTTCCTTTCCTTTTAACGTATGTAGGCCCTTCCCGGCAAAAGGCCTCAGATACCTCAACTGGCTCGATGGGGCGGTTGACGGTTGAGACATGAGGCACTGGGATGGTATTGGCGGCAAGCCCGACGGGGCGCCATTGTTGGACTGAGGGGCATTTCCCCAGGCCAGCGTATCCGGCAAGGACGCCGGCGGGGCCTGGTGGTGAGCCGATATAGGAGGCTGGTTGGTACCATGGCCGTCGGAAGCAGGGGCGAACGCGCCGGGCGCGAAATCCATGGCGGCGGTGGTGAACGACGGGCCTCCAAGTTCAAATCCAGGCAGATCCGTCGACATGCCAAGGCCGGCCGCGGTGCTGGGCATCTGGAAGGGGACCAGGTCCTGGACTGGGGTCAGGGGCTCCCGGCCTCCCCTTGGCCTCTCGTTCTCCTGGCCGGCGGCGAAGACAGCGGACGGGGTGGCGGCGGCCGGGGCCACGACGGGCGTCTGGGCCGCCTGGGAGTCCTCATGGTAGCACGCGTGGTGCGAGCACATGCACCAGTAGGCCTGGTCCGGCCTGGCCGATTCCGGGAAAGCCCTCACCTGGGCGGCCGACGGCGGCCTGCTCCAGAAGCGGCGGCAGCCGCACCTGGCGCCGTTGGCCCCGGGCGTGAGGTCGACGAAGCCGCACGGCCCGCCAGGAAGGATGGGGGCCGGGACGGCGACGGCGCCATCGGTATATATGTCAAAGAACAAGGGGTTGTGCGAAAGGTTGGGGAAGGGGTTATCGAACGGAGTGGCGGCCATTGGTCCGGGACGGATGTCATTTCCTGGGATGGCGGTATAGTAGTGGCGTATATGATATGTGGCGTCGGGTCGCCGCAGGGGGAGCCTAGCCCAGGCTCACAACCTCCAGAGCGGCCGGCGACAGCCTCAGGGTACAGACCGGGAGCGACGCCGAGCATCCAGTAGAGTGAGCACGGCAGTCCGGGGTCGGGGCGCAACCAAGGCCAAGGCTGCTCTCTAACAGCGCATCAGGGGCTGCGCGAGCTGTCAGTAAAGCGCAATCCGGCCGGCACAGTCTCGAGCGATCCAGCGCGGGTATTCCATGGCCACGGAGATGTGCGCAAAAACAAGGACAAAAACAGAAAAGAAAGAGAAAAAAAGAAAACTGACCAGGCGCGCAGTGCCGTCGCAAAAAGAAGGCCAAGATGATTGCGAGCGACGGGATCAAGGGGGGCGGGGCAGCATTTATTTATACTCGACAATCATAGTCCCCCCTAGAAGCGAATTGGATGCGGATGACGGAAGCAAGCGACGAATTGTGCGGATCGCGGGTAGGTGACGACTGCCTCGCACAGGCAGGCAGGCGGGCGCGCTTGTTCGGTCGCTCAAGGACGGCGACGGCAGCTCAGCTCGTGTGGTTTGCGACAAATGGAGAGCGCGCCGGGGGGGGTTGATGCAGGAAAGTGAGGCGTCGGGCAACGAGGCGCCGACTCCAACAACACCTGAACCTAACTACGGGCTTTGGCTGCTTGCTGTGGAGTCGAGTTAGGGCCAGGGGGGACGACGCAATTGGGAAGAGAGGGGGGAGTTGATCAGCGATTGCAGAGAGCTGGACATGCTCTATGATTGGACCAATGACCATCCAGACCCCACCTATCCTGGTCTGTGACTAAGGGGAGAAGGAGAGACACCCAGTCCTGCTCCGCCTCAACGCGTCAAGGCGCTCCTCCCCCTCTGGTAGATTGGGCGCGCCGTCTCCCCATTGGCTCGCCAGGGTCCCCGTTCAAACCCCTCGGCGCCCACCCCGACGCGACGCGGCAGCTCAAGTCCCTCGGCGGGACTCTGCAGCGACTTTGACAGCGTGAGCGCCATACAAGACGCTCGAGCCGCCTCACGGCAGGTAACTTGGGATCCTGCGCGCCCCGTCCCCAGACCCGAGCCGCCTTCACGCACGGATGGGACGGTGTGAGTGTGTGTGTGTGCATGCGGTCGGGTCGTCGCCCCGTCTTTTTCCAGAATTTCGAGGAGGCGTGGAGCAGAAGAACCATGGACCGGGCTGGAAGCCTGTTTGCTTTCCTTATCGCCAGAGCCCACGCCCTCCACTCGTGCTTGCCCGCCTCGTTGCGTTGCCCATAATCGGGCCATAATCTCCCCCCGGCGGCGCGTCCGCCTCGCTTGTGCGCCTTGCCTGCGTGCTGTTTCGGAAACATGGCGTTTTGTCGCCGAGGCGCGCCCTACACAAACTGGCGCCGCGGCCATCCTGGCATGTATATGTTCACGCCCGCCCTCTGCCGCCGTGATACGCAACGAGGCCACCTGGCCTCCTCCAAGTTGTGGGACAGCACGCGCAATCCGACCCAGATGTGCAAGATGCTGTTGCGTCAGCTAGACACCACCTCAGTCGACATCGCCCTTCGGGACCAGGTGTAATAACCACGTCAGATATTGTGCATCGATTTACCTTTACCCAGGAAGAAATATCGCGCATGCTAGTAGTATACAGGAAGATGTCTTTACATGCCTGCCAGAGACGAGCAGCGTGTAAAATGCATTAAATGAGAGCGGATGAGTGGGTGTATAAGAAGAACACCAGATGTATGCGGCCTTGCGCCATGGCGACTTGCTAAAGGTATAGAGCAGAGATGTGCGGCAAGATAACAACCCCGAAAAAGAAATCCTGGAAGAGAGCGCGATACAAACCATGAGAAACACGATATAACAAAACCCATGCCGCCTCGACGACAGCATCGCCTCCCATCTACACTTCGCCCCAGCTGCCCATCGGCCCCGTGCTGGCAATGATGCTCCCGGTGCCCACGGACCCGCCAATGTCCCAGTAGTGCCGGCTCGAGTGTCGCGACGCCGCCGACGCGACGCTGAAGCTGCCGCTCCGCCTCGTCACCCCAGACCTGCGGGACCGCGGGCTCTGCTGGCTGGCACAGCTCGGCGACCGCTGCCGCGTGTGCAGCGCCGCCGTGACCGCGGGGCCGACTGCCGCGCCCGTGGTGGCTTGCGGGGCCGACGACATGGTCATGCCCGTCGTCGTCGTGGCCGTGCTGCTATTGTTCCTGCGCGGAGCGCTACGGCCCACGAGCGGGTGGTGCAGCCGGACCCGGGCGGCGCGCGCCGCGGTGTCCTGGCTCGTCAGCGACAGCGCGTGCGGCGAGGCGCCCGTCGAGAGGCCGGCCGCGGACGAGGACGAGGGCGTCGAGGACGAACCGAAGCGCGAGCGGAGGTACCGAAACACCAGGCCAATGTCGAGCTGCTGCTCCCATTCCTGCTGCGTGAACGTGGTCGGGTGTCCGCCGCTGCCCTCCACATGCTCTTGCTGCCCCTGTTGCCTGCCAGGTATCGCGATGGGCTGGGCGTGCCCGCCGGCACCGCCGTCGCCATGGTGATGCATATGCGGCGGGACGCTCGGCGTAAACTGCGGCATCATGACAGAAGGCATGCCACTACCCGTACCATCCATGTAGTCTTCGGCATTGACATTGTCGCCCATCGAATAGGCCCGCCGCCGCGACCGGACCTCGTCTCGGGTGGCAGACGCGACCTCAGCCTCCGGGATGACGGGCAGGCCGGCATAGGGCAGCGGGTCCTCGGTCAGGCGCGCGTAGGCGGCGAAGGCACCAGGGTGGTGAGTCGACATGCGGTGCACCAGGAGACCGAGCTCCCGCGCGATCCGGTCCAGCATCCGGAGCTGCCAAGACGAAGACGAAGAGTCATCTGGATGAGTCGTACCCGCTGACTCCTCACTACCCCGCAGGAGGGTGGAAAGGCCGGCCACGGATGCCTTGGGCGTCGACGAGAGGTCGTCGTCTTCCTGCGCATCCCCGCGAGACTTGCGTTGGCTTTCCCGACTCTCTACTTGCTCCTCTGCCAGGGCCTCTCCGAGCAGGACGGCAAGCAGATTGTCGTCGATTCCCAGCAAGTCACGGATGACTTTACGCGTGAACCGGCTCAGGTAGCCCTCCTGCTCTTTACCCTGTGCCTCCGCGCCGTCACCAGGAACCCCGGCGTCCTGCTCGTGCCACTCCGTTCCAGCCATGGGCATGTCGCCTGCGTGCGACGCAGCAGCAGAGTTCCCGAGCGATGCCAGCAGCTCATCGGCGGCGGGCACAGCAGCCACCGCGGCCGAGGCGTCCGACATGCCTCCAGAGTCGCGCCGGCGCAAGTGCGGCGCAGCCGTGTGCTGGCGCCTCCGCCTCGTCTCCCGCCGGATGGCCTCGAGCAGCAGCAAGCTCTGCTCCTGGCGCCAAGCCTCGATGCGGCGGTGACGCTCAGCCTCGGCGGACCCGCCCGCGGCAGCCGTCGCCGCCGCCATCTCGACCTCCAGCCGCGCCAAATCCAGGCTTTCGCGCCGCCGCTTCACCCGCCGCGGGTTGAACCGCTCAAAAGAGTATATGTGCTCCTGCATCTGCAAATCGTCCGCCCCGTCCCCGGCCGCAGGAGTGCCCAGCCTGAAAGACCCTAAGCCATCGTGGGTAGGAAGAACCGGGATCGGAGGCGGCGACGCCGTTGCCGCGTGTATGTAGCTACCGTCATGCCGGTTTTGATGCCGTAACCCATGCAAGCCCTGGCGGAACTCGGGCAAATGGCTATCAAGCACGTCGAGCTCCGCATCCTCCTCCTGAATCGACAGCGCCGAGCCCGACAGGACCGAGGGGACCGCCGAGTTTAGGGGGACCGAGTTGACATTAGATCGGGCGATGGTGTTGCCACTCCCCACCTCGCTGACGTGCGAGCGCCCGGGGGTGCGCTCTGCCGAGTCGCTTTGTAGAACAGAGCCGAGGTAGGAGGCCGACGTCGTCGTGGTCGCCGAGCCTTCGGCGGGCGAGAAAAGGACCCAGGTCTGGGATTCGGCAACGCCACCGCCGATGGTTGGTGAGGCGGCATGTTGTGGGGTTGCGTGCGCAGGCAGCCCACCGACCTGAGGGCTGTCGTCATGGAGGGCTGATGGGGCAGCTGGTGGCCTGTTGAGAGACTGCCGCGCGGTCGGCTGGTGGAACGCCATTTTGGTCGGGCTGCGGCGGCCCTCAAAGGGGAGAAGACGAGCTCCAGAAAGATTTGGATAAGTAAGGGCTTCGTCAAGTAAAACTAGATGTGTGCTTCTGCAAAGGTTGCTCCCAGACGTGGAAATGTAGACGTGTTCTGCGGCGACAAGACCCGAGGCTCGAATTAGGCAAATGGTCCGCAGACAACACGAGTTTGCCCAGTTGGGTGGTCGGGGTCTATCGTTGGTGGCGCCCGGCTTTGCTGTGCTTTGCTGTGCTTTGTCCAGACAGGCAGACTGTTCTGCCCTCGAGCGCTGTGCCTACTAGTTCTGACTGGCAAAATGACCTGGATGAACAATGCGCTCAAGAAGGAAGGGATACTTCGTAGGAGACGAAGTCGGAGGGATGATTCAATCTGGGCGCGCAGCGGTATCTCTTGACACCCTGGAAGCAAGGGGGGCGGGACGGCTGTTGCGGTGGTGGTGCTGCTGGTGGGTGCTCGACTTGGTGTGGGTGGTGGGGGGCGCCCAGGTTGCCAGGTCCAATTCTTGGTCGCCCAAAAGGAGGCAGGGATTCGCAGGGCCGCTCCCAGTGGCTGGCTCGTCGGCGATATCTGACAGCTCGCTGGCTGGGGCCATGCAACGCGCTGTCAATCCCATGCAATGCGGGCGGTAAGAGGATGTCGAGGGGGGATCCGAATGGCGGGCTGGGCCACGTCTCTGCGGCCTTTAGGTGCTGATTTGCATCACATATTAATAACACCACCTCGAATCAGCCTTGCAGTGCCCGCCTCGGATCGGCGGCCGCGGGAGGAGCGGCAGCACAGGTCTGCGTCTGGGTCTTGCTGGAGGAGGGAACGAGCGAGTGGGTGGGCAGATGAGATCAAAAAAAAAAAACAGCCAAGCCGCAGCCAAGGGTCCCGACAAAACGGCTGCGGTCGCGGTGCTACCGTGACCCCTTTGTCTCTCCTCGGGCGCGCCAAAAAGGTGGGAGCCCAGCGACATGAGCCGGCCAAGGACGTGACAACCTAGCTGCACGACGCGGGAGCAGAGGCACGGTCTGACGGCTGCACGAGCAACACCCACAACGGATTGGACTCTTGCGCTACTGCGCCCCCCGAATAAACAACCTGCCAGGTCGTCTAGTCATTCAGACGCCGCTCAAAGCTCCGTGCGTCCTTTTCTTGCACTAACCAATGGTGCAACCACCACGCCGATTCGACAATGAATGACATCAATGGCCGCGGCAAAGAGCCCCCCTCCAGCACATCACAAAGTGGACCTTGCCTTAGTCTCTGGCCCACAGAAACCCGGTCATGAGAGGTCTGTCCCGCTTGATGGTCTTGATAAGCGTCCGCCTAGGGCACCGTCATTCCACCAGCCAGCCATGGAGCCATTGGGCCAAAAGTCGGATGGTGAAATAGAAGAACCAAGATGATGACATGATGTCAGAATACACATCGTCTTTTTTTTTTTTTTGCTCTCCCTCTCTCTTTATTTGCTGCCCGTGTGAGATCGGCCCAAAGCCCTCTCAGGGTTCCGCCGGAGAACACTCCACAAAAACTCGAGCAGGGGGCCAAACCCGAACCAGGACCTAGCCTGTTCTGCTGCTGGAGGAGACAAACGCCACCCCCCCGCCGTCGGGCCTCTTCGGAGGCAAGGATTCGTTAGATGCCATGGCCGACTGTCGGAGGTAGATACCATATAACTGCACTCTGCACACTGGGCATTTATTTCCCTTTGCCACCACTACAGAGAGATTGAGCCATCGTGCCTGCCGGGTCGCTCTTGCAGGAGGGAACCATTCTATGCACTACCACCCCGCTAGTCATATTAGGCGCATGTAGGACAGACATGACAGAGGTGGTGTGCCATGAGATCCAAATTATCCTGGTCAGCCCCGGGTCACTGATGGTAGCCAAGATCACACAGTAGACTCTCGAAAATCGCATGCCAGGCTCAACTAGGTACGTAGGTATTGATAAGTAAAGCAGATAGGAGGGCACCGAGAAAGCCCAGTCACATAGGCTTCAAAGCCGCTCAAGACGCTACCGAGTCTACAGATCGGTCCAGTACTTGTCAAACGGGCAGTACGCATATTGCAGTAGGCTCCTGCTGGTGGGTTCTGGACGGCAGCGCTACGTGACATCAACGGGAGTTTCCACCAGATGTCTGCGGCAAAACAGCACCCTCATCACATGAGTCGGGCCCCGCGTGACGCCTTTTCCGCCAGCGTCATAACCGCCTTGAAGCGACGTCGGAACCACGCCCGACACACAAAATGACTGCGGCAGGATCACGTCCCTACCGAGGTCTGCCTGTCTTAAAGTAGCTTCATATCATCTGCAAGGGCAGAAATGACGAACATAATCGCACGGTGGTACCCTGGATACTCCCGACCAAATCTTGAGCACATCGGATCGGCGGGTCAAGCACGTATGCCACCTAGAGAAGACTGAGCTTGTTCGTAGGCTGTATCGAAATACCAACACATTCCTCAGATGCTCTCAGCCCGTTTTTACGTATGACCGATTACGCCACCCTGAAGAGAAAAAAGAAAACCCGAATCCCAAAAACATGCATGTGCCATTTCGTGCTCTGATCCCGTACCCCAGCCTCTCGTCGAACCACTGATCGCTTAAGCCTCGGTGAAAGCATCGGGGAAGCGCTTCATGTTGTTCTCCAGGTTGCCGTGGTTGGCGAGGAACTGGACGTAGGCACCGTCGACCTTGACGCGGCCAGCAGCCTTCTTCTCCAGGTACTCGTCGCGGCGCAGGGGGGTGAACCCCCAGTTCTTGGAGATAATGATCTTTTGGCGGCCGGGGAACTTGTACTGCGAGCGGCGAAGAGCCTCCAGGGCGAGACCGCGGTCTGTGAATTTGTTAGCTTTCTGCAAATCCCCTCGGCAGCACCGGGAAATCCAAAGGGTGGTAGTCCACATACTGGAGTCACGAGTGCGGACACTGAGGATGATCTGGCCGATGTTGACACGGGCGACAGTGCCGTTGGGCTTGCCCCAGGCACCACGCATACCAGTCTGCAGCCTATCGGCTCCGGCGCACGACAACATCTTGTTGATACGGACGACGTGGTACGGGTGGGCGCGCACACGGAGGTGGAAACCCTCCTTTCCGGTGTTCTTGACGAGGTACCTAGGAGTTCCGAATGTCAGCGCCCGTCTTCTCCCTTCACGAGGCGCAGCTGTCGGCCCCTTAGCGAGTCGCAAAGATGCGAGACGACCAGGCTGGATCGACCTGTCGGGTCACTCACTTGTTGGCGCAAATACGGGCAGCCTCAAGAGCCTCGGAGCTCAGCTGCTCGTACTCGTTCGAGACGAGGTGGATGCACAGAGGGAAGTCATCGACGGTGGCACGCTTGCGGCCCAGGTCGAAGATGCGGATCTTAGGGTCGGGGACACCACGGTTGAAGCGCGACTTGGGGTACGGCTTGTTCTTGCAGTAGCGGTAGCTGGACGGAAGGATAAAACGTCAGTCCATATTCAGATGTGTCTAGCAGAGACAAGAGTGTCGTTGCTTCCTCCATCTCCTCCTTCAATCATGGCTCGCGACGTAGCCAGACCTCACTCCAACACCAGTCGCCTACTTCCTCCTCTTTATCTTCATCCGCCGCACCCAGGAGCCAGAGCAGCCAGGGGGAGGAGTTAGAGAGGGTATTCTTACCATCTCGCCGGGCGACGGGCCATTTTGACGGTTTTCTGAGGGGATTCGTGGGGATCTCGAGTGTCGCTTCGTCGCTGATTGAGGTTTTTGGTGGTGTCCAGAAAATGGCGGGTGGTGACGGACCTGCGATAATATGGACCGCAAGCCAATTGCCACTGCGCCTGCTCTCCTGCTTTGAAATCAAAGGGAAGGAGCTGTGGGTCATTAGGGTTTGCAGAAGGCAATTGCCCCACCCTTGTGTCAGAAAGCAGTGGCCATCGGAGGTCGGGTCCAGCAACCCCGCGCCCAGCGAGGCCGGGTGCTGAAAAGTTGCCCAGGAAGGCTAACGAAGAGCCCTGACCCGTCCGAGCTGCCCGTCTCCTAGACCATGCCGTTCTCATATCGCATCGACTCTGATTCATCCACGTCTATACCTGTCCTAAAGGACACCCGCGGGCTTGTGTCGCAATGAATATTTGTCAGCGAGATACTGCCCACCCCTGACTTCAAGCCGGAGGGCGGGACACGGAGGCCGAGGAGGCCGACAAGGGGATCAAGCCGGCGCAACAACGTCAGAGTGTCGTGTGTCGGAATAACTCGCATGCACTCCTTAGACTTGGCGATGAGATGTGCCATAATGAATCAGGTCTAGTTGGCAATAGAGAGCCTTCGGTCTGCATGTGCAACAGGCACCACCTCGGTGACTTTCGTTTTTTCGGCTCACTTAGGTTGTACCACAATCGTCGCTTACACAGTACACGTTTAGATTCTATCACATTCCTCGCCTCACTGGTGTGATAGTCTTCCATTCCGACACTGCTCCATGGGTGTTGATAGGTCAAGCTGCCACCTGAATTCCCCAGGATAAAGCAGCAAGAAAAACGAAGTCAGGCCCTAGTTCTACATCCCCAGACCCCGGGTTTCTTCAGCAATGTCCTCGCGCAGAGCCAGAGACATCTCGTGATCACTGTCCATGAATCCCACAATCAAAGAATAAAATCTGCTTTCTCGATTCTGCCATATGACTCTACGCAATATCGGTTGTGCTGCGGTTATCATGTTGCCTCGTGAAGCCTCGGTCTGAGCTACTGGAGCACATATTGCCTCGACAAACTCGCCAACCAGTAGAGGACTATCTGGACAATAACTCGGGCATCTTGACATCCGATTTCACTCGTCTGGATTGCTCTGCAGATACCTCCCGGAGGCAACAATGTAATCCCAGCCGTGTCGTCGTTGGACAGCGAAGCTCGAATTCACGATGTGAGGTCGCTCCTCTCTATCCCAGAAATGGCCCCCGAGTCTTGGCGCTTGTGGCGGTGCACAGTGGCGCGTGGGCGAATGTGCACGGGCCGCCAACCCACAACCACGTTGGGATTGATTTTGACACACAAAACACAAAACCAAATATCTGCGCCGCTTCAGATTTTTGCTTGCTTCTCTTCCCAACAACAGCCTCTTGTCACCGTCACAAACCGCAGCAATGGCCCCCTCCAAGAAGAAGACCTCCGACAACATCAACTCGCGCCTGGCGCTTGTTATCAAGTCTGGAAAGGGTGAGAGCGTCTCCTCGCGGCCTTTCTAGTCTCGATCCGTTGGTGCACCCCTCAGAACACAGCTGACAGCCGGCATTCCTCACAGTCACCCTCGGCTACAAGTCGACTCTCAAGAGCCTGCGCTCCAACAAGGCCAAGCTTATCATCATCGCCGGCAACACCCCGCCGCTCCGCAAATCCGAGCTCGAGTACTACTCTATGCTGTCCAAGACGCCCGTCCACCACTTCAGCGGCAACAACGTATGACCTGTCTCCCCAGTTTACTTGTCTTCAAGCAGGGTCAACTGCCCATTGCGAATACTTGCTCTCGGCCGGGCGATGCAGACCTCGCGTTTGCGTTGACCCGTGCTCCTGCCCAGCGAAGAAGTCTTGTCATTAGACTTTGGAGGGAACACCACGAAGCTGACCGTTGCTCCTTTGCTCTTACCATAGATCGAGCTTGGCACTGCTTGCGGTAAGCTCTTCCGCTGCGGTACCATGGCCATCCTGGATGCCGGTGACTCGGACATCCTGAGCGATCAACAGGCGTAAGTCTGGTGGTTTGCCAGGACGAAATATCACATCAATTCAGCTTCCCGAGAAAACCCGATATGTGGGGGAACCTGTGGCATGCATGGCGTTACGGTTTATGGGCTCTCTCGGCAGAGAGAATTAAAAGCAAAGGGATTATGACAATGGGTTTTGGGTCTTCGATTTTACCTGGTCGTATCGCCGCGATACCTCCAAATGACACTGGGAAATGTGCCTGGCGTCATCCTTGCCATGTAGGCCCGATCTCGTGACAAGGTCTCTCGATTCCATGGACAGGCATCCCGTATCACCGACTGCTCAATGGAAGCACGAATTGCTTTGGTGGAAACTCTTGATCGAAATGGCCGACACACCCGTCCAAGCCACATGTTTACCCAACGTGCCGGCTCATCACCCAATCGCTTTTGCCCACTGTCTTTGTCTCCATCACTTACCGCAGCGCCGAGGAGTTGAAAGGTCTGGTAGCGACCGAACGCCCACCGCCGTTCCCCTGAGAAACAGGCGATTCTGGCCGCCCTTTGCAGAGCGAGAGAGCAACTCGACCGTGTGTGTGCGGGCTGAGAAGGCCTCTCAGGCTGCTCTCAGGCTGCTTCCTTGCAATGGTAGAGACAGGAGTTCAGACCAAATCTTTGACAGCATGTCCATCGTGTTTTTGAAGGCTCAACCGAAGGCGATGGGGCCGCCAAAGGAGGGGCCAAATGTCAATTCTGATCATCTGGTCGGGCAAATCTGTCCTGCCTGCACAGTATTAATCGTCGTGTGTGGGCTCGGAGCGGAGTCGGTGAGTGCACCAGTTCCGAGTGGTGGTCGTCCTTTGTGCCGCGCATGAAAGCTCAAATTGGAAACAATCAAACGTGGAATTGTCACGGCCGTCCGAGGGCCACCTTTGAATCTGCTGGAGCCGAAACCCCACGAGGCGGGAGGGTTCCGAGGGGTAGGATCGCATCTGCGTGGTGAGTCGGGGTACCTGCCCGCACGACGTGTCTAGTGGGCTCTCCGAGGTACTGGCAATTATAACGGCATAACATCGGGGCCACCAGAGCTGGGGAGGGATTGCCCTGGTTTCGGAGGCACAACAAAACGGGCAGCTCAGGATGCTGGCTTAATTTGCTCTGATCCCCGATTCCACGTTCCGCCATGACATGCACCTCTGCTCCTGACTGGACACCTGGCACCTAGGAACGGAGCCGCTCTCTTTAGATGCTGTTTTCGCCTGCGTTGGCGTGGGAAACGGCTGCAGTTGCCACGGCGGGCAATTGGAGGTACCTGGCAGCGGCAAGACTCGCTCTAGTCTGGCATGATGCCGGCATTCGAGCCTGCATCCGTTTCAGCGAGTGCGTCAAATACCGGGACTGTGCTAGACGACGAACGGGACGAGGGTCGCGGGCGAACTCCTTTGTTCCTGGTGCAGCTTTGTTTGACGAGGAAGAGCGAGATACAGCTCGAAGCTCTGTTGGGCAATTTATGTATTACCTTTTCGCTACTTCGAACGGCTCCAGCTATTTGGGCAAGAGGCGTCGTCCGTCCGTCCAGTGACGTCCATCTCCTCTAGAAACTCTGCCACAGCATCTCCTAGCTTGATGCAACATCATTGCCACAACATCACATCAGAAAAGGTAGTGCTAGTGCCGCCCTTCGTTGGCCAAATTAGCGTTACAGGCCGATTGCCGAGAAGCTGAAGCCAACTGGACCCGTCGTGGTAGGTAGCCAGCGGCCCTGTCGCGCGACACACAGAACCTGGCTAGACCACGCGCTTTTTGCTCCCTCCTGTGGTCTGAAACAAACGCCAACCTCAGCTTCCGCGATTCCCTGGCACAGCAGGATCGCCAGTCAAGCTCGCGGAAGCCCGGGTGGAAGGAGCGAGGCTGTGTGGCTGAGCGCGTCGAGGAGTGGTGCAAGTCGGTGGCGGCCACCCTCGCTGTTAGGTCTTACTAGCCTGTCCAGTCTAGTCCATCGCTCCACACACACTGGGCTGGGCATGCACGACAGTCACCACCCGCCCCGACCGCATCCCCTTTTTTCCCTCGCTAGCAGCCCGGACCCTTTTTTTTTTTTCTTCACGCGCCGCTTGAGGAAAACAGAGCCAGACCGACAGTCCGCCGGCCGAAAACCTGACCTGTAAAAAAGACATTCTCGGGCGATTGCGTCTGGTATTTCTTGGTTTCTCTTCCATTATTCCTTTCCATCCCTCAAAAACAAACATCTCAACCCATTTATTCTCTCATCCGTCGCTTAGGGAAAGGCGGTGTTAGCGAGCTCGGTCCTCCATTTCGGTTGGCTTGACGACACACCCCTTACCGACACCATTCCCTTCCCAGGCAACGTGTCGAGCACGTCCAAACGGCCCAGCCCGACGTTGCCAGCCGAGCGCGGGCATTCGCACCATAACTACCTTCGCGGACACCGCCAACAAAGACTGGGCTGACGAGAGGATCCTATCTCGCAACGAGGGAGCAAGTCTCCGGCGAAACAAAGGCCAAGCCTTACGCTCGCGATCGACACTTGCCAGGAAGCATCTCTTTGTTTTTGTTTTCTGTATCCTCAGCTAGCTCTTGCGGCATTTTATCTTGATCTCCTCGGTCACCTCGGTTGCCTCTGACGATCATCAATATGTCGGCAGTAGCGGCTAAGAAGCCGCCAGTGCCGTCGCGGGACGCCACCGCATCGCCCACCTCACGCTCGACACCGAGGACTGTGAACCCGGGCTCTCCCGCCTCGGTCCCGACCGTGCCACGCAGGGGCTCCGTCCGTGGTGCCGCCCCTGTGACGGCACGCGCGGCGGTGCAGTCGAGGAGGGAGTCCCCGCTCAGCAATGGTGTCAGCGGCAGCGGTCGCAACTCTCCCGCCCCCAGCACCCCCAACGCCGCAGCCACTGAGGCGGAGGAGACGGCTCGCGCCGAGGCTGTGGCGGCCATTGATGACCTCAAGGAGCGGCTGACACAAGCCCAAAACGCGGGTGAGTCGCAGAGGCGACAGGCCGAGGTGTTGCAGAGCCGCCTGGACGAGGCTGTGGCCGAGCAGGCCAAGCTTGAGGAGCGGGTGCACGAGCAGGAAGAGTTCGTCGAGACGCTGCGCAACGAGAAGCGCGAGGCTACCCGCCGCATCCACGAGCTCGAGGGCATCTACGAAGCCGAGAGGGGCGCCATGGTGCGCGAGAAGGAGGATTTCTCCAACCGGGAGGAGGAGATGCAGGCTGTCATCCAAAGACTCAAGGACAGCCTGGCCAACAGGACGAACGGAGAGGATGAGGCCAGACCATCGAGGCAATGTAAGTATTCTTGTCCATCGCCGTGACTTTCTCTCCTCACCAATCAAGTACTAACTCATCCGCACCCGCAGCAACCCACTCTCCTGTCGAAGGCGGCTTTGCCCCGCCTGCGTCCCTCCAGCGTAGCGATTCGCGGAACAACTCGAAGCTCCTGCTGCAGAAGGACAAGCTCATCGAGTCGTTGCGCCTGGAACTCGCCGAGGCCCAGATCAAGCTTGTCGAGTCGGAGAACCAGGGTGGCGGCAGACTGCAAGAGGTCGAGAGGCTGTTGATAGAGACTCGCATCGCAAACGCCCGCCTTCTGGAGGACAACGAGAGCTACCAGATGCTCCTGCAGGAGCGGACTCTCAGCGGCGATTTCAAGGGCGACTTTGGTCACTCCTCCGGCAACGGCGGTGCCTCGTCAAACCAGGATGCCCTCAACGCCCTGGAGGGCCGCGCCGGCGACGCCCCGGATGCAACTGGCACGAGCCTGGCAGATGAGCTCTCCGAGGCGAACGACAATGAGGCGGTCGACTACCGTAAACTGGAGCTCGAGCTGCGGTCGGCCAAGGACGAGAACAAGGCCCTCACGCTCTACATCAACAAGATCATCGGAAGGCTGTTGCAGAGGACTGACTTTGAGGACATCCTCCACGAGTCCCCCGATGCCCCTGACACCAAGCCATCAAATACCAACAAGGAGCTGCCGCCCCCGCCCCCTCCCCCGGGTCCCTCGTTTCTGCAGCGGGCCAAGACTATCGCCATGGGCCGTCCTGCGTCGGTGGCCAGCGAGCCTGTCAGGCCTCGGCCGCGGCCTATGTCGTTCATGCCGACTTCAACCAACTCTGCACACGCAAACCCGGAAACGGCCCCCTCGATCCCCATCGGGCTCACGCGTGGCACCTCCGTTAGGCGCGTGGGGCGGCCCATGTCGGACCAGTACACACCCGGCAGCGTTGTGCACCAGATGTACCGTGGCGACTCGGCCGGCGGCCCGCTGTCGCCCTCCTCCCGGACTAGCCAGACCTTCTTCAGCTCGGCCGGGTCGCCGGGCCCAAGGACGCCATCGGGCAGCCACCCTCAGATGTCGTCGTCCGGCAACTTTCCCGGCATGCGGAGCGAGACGTCGTCCACCAGTGGCGACAGCATCCTCGGCGGCACCCCGGGCACGGCGGGCACCGATGTGGCCAGCATCTACACCTCGAGCCAGAGCCCGCCGCGCGCCGGCTCCGAGAAGGCGACCACCTTCTCGGGCGGCGGGCCCAGGCCGCTCAGGCTCGTGCAGGAGAACCCGGACATCAAGAGCGCCGAGACTGCCAACAAGCGCGCCAGTTGGATAGGCTGGGCCTTCAGCAAGAAGGACGAGCCGACCACGCCCGCCTTCACTGGCGAGCCCCTGCGGGAGTAAAATCCGTCCAGTCTGCTCTTGAGTGATATTCTACTTATTCCTTGACAAGCTTCCCCATGACATTTTGAGATGAAACACACGGCCTTCTCCGCATGATGGATACCACTACACATACATGAGCCGGGGAATCGACCGCACCGCAACGCGACAATGCCCTGTTACGAATACGCGACGACGGAGACATGGCACGGCGAATGGGCCGCATTCAAAGCATTCAATCTCAGCATCGTCCCACCGGCATCCCTTTCTTCGCTTTCACTATACACCATTTCCTGACCGTCTTGGCTTTTTTTTCTTTTATCTTTCTCTTCACTGCCTTTCTTCTGCTTCTCCCTGGCCAAACACTGCCACATAAGCGGCCGTGGAGAGTTTACGTTTCTAATTCCTTGGAGGGAGGGTGCTTGGAGAAATGTGATCTGGATAAGTGGCATGCCTTTTTACCTGGAGAGATGACTACTGTTTGTATACGTTGCGCCCTTCGAAAATTGACCGAAGGGGCCTACCACTCTCCTGTGCCAGCTGGATAATAGTGTGGACGGACTAAGGGGACCGCTTGATCTCAACTCCACCAGCCGGACCCGATAGCTACTGTTATTCATCCTCTTTATCCTCTGATATTGTCTTCTTCCTGATTGCTTTATTGTGGCTGGTCGGTACCAAGGATGTCCTATTTCAAGCTCTCTTTTTCTGGAGCGTATATAGACCCCCCTCTTTGTTTGCTTTTTATAGTCGATGTTTGAACGAATCATCTTTCCCCTTGACGCGTCCCCCGGCTCCACTTGTCTACTTCCTGACTCCTTCGAGACCTTTCTGATACAGACCGTGTGTTTGGATTTTTCTGGTTCTCACTGTATTTTTATTTATTTATTTAAGGGTCGGTGTGATCTATCCGGTGATGCATCATTATTACATTAGGGTTTCGGCCAATAATCGACCTCAAGGGGTTCCCCGAGTCCCTTCCTGCATGCGCTTTCCCCATCCTACCCTAGACGGACGGGTCACGAGTGGGCTGATCAGCCTACTCACCGTACCCATCGGCCGACACGTGTTATATGTAGGCCGTGTAGCGTCGGGTTTTTGCTGTTCACGTCTGCACACCATACAGACATACATACACATAACTTACCTCCCTGGGGCGCGTATGTGCCACCTACAGAACTAAGGCACATATCGTTGTGCTCATGCCTGCCTAAAGGCTGGGGTCAGGGTTTGTCCATGGACGCACATAACATCTCTCTCTATCCTGCAGCCCTCAATAAAGCGCCCGCTCCAGAGGTGTGGGCACCACCGTGTTGGAAAGGCGGTCAACCTTTCTCGAGAAAAAGGGGGCGACCAAAGGACGGGTCTCGATCTTGGCAAAAACGGACCAATGAAGCGGGACGGAGGGGCTAGCAGGACATGGAGAGCGACCACAACAGGAAAAAAAGAAAAGAATGGAAAGGGTCATGCTTTCACTAGCGTCGTGACCATGATTGCAGGCAGGGACGGGGTGTTGGATGGCACGATGCCCAGAAGCTAGCGGGTTCAAAGGAGCCGGGCATGGATGGAGGTTACCCGAGAGAAGCACCTCGCGGAGGACCAAAGTGCTGATGTCATCCATGGCTGTTTTGGGGGGTTGAGTAAAAGTGTTAGTGGCTGCCATCCCATCGAGGCTGTCAGCTGCCGCCCGGCCGCCAACGCGTCTCAGTCACATCAGCCCAGGCAGCCATGATCCAGCCGTCATCGTCGCGAAGCGAGAAATCCTTTCATTTTTTTCTCTTGTCTTTCCTTATTTGGTACCAAGCCGCCAAGCCATCCAGACATCCCACGCTTTGAACGGCTCGGCCGTGGGGGGACGGTAGCCCAAAGATCAACATCAAAACAGGGTTGTAGATAGAGAGAGAATGTGCATGCGTGCATTTTGGGCCGATATGCTGACGTCTGCGATACATTGCCGATTTTTTTTCCCCCACACTCTCTCGTGAACCTGGTTTGGTTTGATGACCACTCTGCAGATTCTTTGTTCCGGTTTCCATTATGCTATTGGCAATCAAAAGCCAGCTCACCTATCGCAACCTCCCATGTTGTTGGGGGGACACAAAATGGGGTCCGTGAGCGCGGGCTGAGCCTATTGTAATGTCGGGTTCCTGCACAATGATCCGTACCACTTATTACTGCTGTGTGGGCTTGGATGACATGTCACGGACTGGGAAGGCATCACGAGATCAGGAATAAGATACGTAGCAGGCGATCTTCCATCCTGGTGACTGGGGTGGTCGGCTCGCTTGTCTAATCTGCGCAACCCTGGGGGGCAGTAAGGTATTTGTAACCGACTTCCATTTCTGGCGTGTACATTCCACGTACCTTTAATCGGAGATCTCCGCCTGTCCACCCGGAGGATCGGTGCGTGAGATTTTTTTCGTTCTTTTTTTTTCTTCGTTCCCGTCTTCTTGCGGCCACGCCGCTGGGAGGGGTGCACTCGGCTTTGTGGTGGGCAACCACGTGTCACGATGCCGTTGGTACCTTGCCGGGATATGGTGACTTTCGATCTCGGCTCCTTGACCGCCGAAGATTCCGGAACGCTGGAATTGCCGCACTAGTTGGGAAAGGGGCAAAATGAGGGGAATAAAAAACGCGCGAAAAAAACAGGCCGCAATTATGGGGGGTGGATGTGTCAACAGCTGCGAACATGGTGATGCAACAACGACAGACTGATGAACGAACGCGAGTGAGAAAATTGGCAAAATAACATTCGATATGACACTGGATCGATTGCCTAGATTGTAGTCTTTCTGTAATGCTCGTCTCGCGGCCTTGGACGGCTGCAGGCTGGACACGGATTTCCGTCGGTGTCAGACGCCCGCGTTCTGGGCTGGAATTAGCGTTCAGTCTGGCTCCTCGTGCCCCTGTCAAGGAGAAGTTGCGGTTGGTAAAGAAAACCATGTGTGTGCGAGGCCAGGCTCCCCAAGGTCGAGAGGCATAAAAAGCATAATTTTCCTCGGTGCCTCGGTGCTTCACATTTACATTGGCATCCATCATTCCCTCCCTGGCGCCTCGTTTGTCAACCGTCGAGTCACGGACGTCCCACGGCCGTGGAACCGACCACGGCACGACCGTGGGCGAGCCTTGTCCATGGCCCCTGGCCGACGGGACATGCTCGCTGCCGTTTGGTTGGCGGGCGGAAGGACGCTACAATTGCCGGTGGAAAGGTGGGGGAAGCAAGTGTGGTAGAACGGGCACACAATCCGGCGGAAGGAAGAGGCACACATTGGGCTGGAACAACTCGCGCAGCATTTCAAGTGCCAGGTGGTTGAATGAGCTTTGGCTAGAACCGCCGATTAACTCTTGGGGGAATGCGGAACAAAAAAAAGAGAAAAAAGGCCAACCAGTCATGCCCATCACTATTCGTTCTTGTTGGACTTTGTTCGATTTAACCTCTGTGTTATTTGTCAGTGTTCCACTTGCTTTGTGCTCTGCTGTAGAGGCACACATTTGTACATATCGTGCAACTACTAAGCAAGCGGCACAATTTTCACAAGCCCGGTGGGAAGTAGAATGTATGTATCACGTGCAATCGACCCGATGAGGTCCTTATTGTCGTGGAGGGCGGTAAAAAAACACTGAACGCAAGGTGCTGACATAATGATTAAGCCTGGAATGGGGGAAATACTTTGGCCGTCCCTGGGCAATGTCGCCCTGGGACTGGATCCTCGGCGAGCGACGAACCCCACTTCTCCAGGCCTTCCAAGCAAAAAAAGCCAGCTCCAGACGAAGTGACGCTGTGACTCCAGTCAGGTACAGGCTTGCGCTGTGAGCAACAGGGCCGCATTGGTTTTAGGGCCTAGGTGCCCCGAGACGCGGATTCGATACCAAGGAGAAAACTGACCAAAGGCCCATAATACCTTCTTGTTGCCGCACCGCACCGCCTGAGACTTATTCTGGGTTGGATTTTTATTTGATCATTTTCTCGTCGCCCACTCCCGTCTTCCCCACCGAGCCCGACCGGGGTTGAAGGAGGGACAGGGGGGTGAAGACAAAAAAAAAGCCCAAGCAAAAACACACAGCAAAGCATCAATAGTGGGGCAGGGCCAAGTGTTCCTGGCCCGCCCCCGAACCCCTGTCAGCACAGGTCCGTCAGGCTTCGCACGCCGCATCACCTCAGACGGCGCCCAACAGAGAGACCAGCGGAGAGCACACCCCTGTCGTCCACCCAGAGTTGCCTGCACGACGTTTTCTCCGCCTCCCGCCCTGCGATTGTGCGCAGAAGCGAGCAATTTAGTCCTTTGCAGCCCGACTGCTGCGCCCATCCAAGCACGCGTTGCACGCTGCCCACCACCACGACCAACACCACTGTCCATTTTCAGTGCTGGCTGACCACCTCTGGAGGAGCAAGCCCAGAACCCCAAACCCCGGACCCCCAGAAAAGGTGAGTTGCGCAGTGGGCATTTTCCAGCCACGACATCATTATCCCCCAGTCACACCCTCCGTCCGCTCCAGGCACATGTAAGCACCTGGTTGCTCCTCGGGCTGCTAAATCGAGCACCAAAGGCTGACGCCGCTGGCCACCCGTCTTGCCCAGCGCCTCGCCCCCCCCCCCCCTCCTCGGCCGTTCTGGTCCTGGGAAAGCACGCAGTGAGTGCCGACACATACGACCTGTCTTGCCAAGGCCCAGAGTTGTCAATCGGAGCAACAGTGACAATTAACCGGGGCGCGTCTTCGTCGTTCTCAGAGCCCTTTTTGGCACGTCTCGCCCACTCATCACTCTCCCGCCTCCTCCCGACATCCCGTTTGGGCCACGCGTGCTTTGGTGTTTTATTTCCACACCCATCGATTTTCCCATCCAGTTTGCCTCCGGCATCCTTTGGCGCATTCCAGACAGTTCCTTCCTTGCGCAGCGAGTCAGCGGGCGAACGAACGGCCCATCCCATTCATCCCATCCGTCCGTCACCAGCAAGCCCCGTCGCCGGCGCGAATCAACGCAACCCAAACAAGCAGCAGCCAAGACAAAGGCCCGAAAGTCAAGGAGAGGGAGGGAGACGAGCCGCCTCGTCCGTGGCCCCGACAGAGACGGGAAAGTACATGGCATTCCCGTCCAATATGGTAGTCCGGTTGCCGCGCCGAAATCGAGCCCCCACGAGTTGAGCAATCCCACGTCCTGGCATGCCGAATAGGTCGAGCCTTCATTCCTCCCAATTTTGCAATCACCATCGACCATGGACAGGTTAGCGACCGCCGCCGCTGGCAGTGGCGACGCGGACGCCAGCCGACAGCCTCCGTCAGGCTCCACCGCCTTCAATCCCGCGCGCCCAACCGCTGCGTCGGCTGCGCGCGAGGCATCCACAACCATCCCTTCAAAGTCGATGGTCCACTCTTCCGCCACGTCCTCGGCTGCCAGCTCACCCTTTGCTTCAAGGGAGCCGTCTCCGAGCAGGCCTCTGAGGGCATCCATCGCCGCCACCAGAAACTTCTCCTCTGGCCCCGGCAGCAGATCACGCAAAAACAGTTCGCAGGACCTCAGCCCTTCGCGCCCGGCCGCAAAGACCGCTGCTACCTCACCGATTCCGCCTCCCTTGACTCTACACCAGCCGGGGACCATTGCCGTCTCGTCGACCCCCACTCTCCCGCCTTCGATAGATCCCAGCATCAAGACTCCTCTCCCGCAGAAGTCGGCATCCACCGCCCTCCTCGATTCTCAACGCGACGCACCGCGGTGGCCCATCTCACCAAGACTCCGATCGCCTCCGCCGGTCCTCAACAAGCCAAATCCTGGCCTGCCCCGAAAGGGGTCAGATCAAGATCTCCCCAGCATTAATTTCCAGCGACCAACCCCGCCTGTGGCGTTTGATTCCGGGGTGTCGGACAACGAGGTGGACGATAGCAACTTGCAACCTGGCATGCGGACGCCCGCTCGCGGCAGCACATCAACCCTTGAGACCGTCCAGGAAGTCAGCCCGCTAGGCTCGCCGACCCCCGAAGGGATCGATGCCGCGTTGGAGAAACTGGCGGGAGAGAGACTCGTATCAGATTTAGCCTCCCAACCAGACGTAGCGGAAATATCAATCACCAAGGCGATGAAGGCCCGGGCAATCATGGCACAGAACGAGAGCGGGAGCGAAGCCGGTAGCATCAAGGCAGAACGCCGGCCGGCCATGACCTCAGCACCATCGGGCCTCGGTCTCAGGCAGCCTAGCTCGTCAACTCTCGCCAAGACGGGTCCTTCCGGAGCGAATAAGACCCCCAAGCCCAGCGAGGGCACGGTCAAGACGATGACGGTCGAGACGGAGACGGTGGCGTCTATTCCACAGGTTTCGGTAGCGCCTGCGGGTATGCAGGGCTCCAACGGGAGCCTCAGGACCAAGCCCAGCTCGGAGACGATTCGACCCAGGAAGGAGAAGAGGAAACCGAGCAGGAAACAGCAGATGGTCCAGTCCGGTGCCGGTGAGACTCTCGATCCGCAGTCGGCATCCACTGCATACGGTTCACGCGTACCGCCGCTTCTGCATCATCAATCGATCAGATCAAGCTCAGCGAGGGCCGAAGTCGCCTGCACCTCGCCGATCCGATCCATGAGCGGGCAAGGCCCGCCGATTGACGATGCAATGACCAGCCCAAGGCGGTGGTCATCAGCGCCGACTACGCGCAACCGCACGCTGGGGTTGCCTCTATCACAGATGAACAGCTTGCTAACTAGGTCGTCACTAAACACAGCATCCTCAAAAGCTGACAACTTCGAGGCTAAAATCGCCAGCGCGGTGGACGAGGCCGACACCTCGGACTCGGACGAGACGTTTGTGTACGATTCTAACCCACCAGATGCCCGCGATCGGCCGCACAATCGCTTCCATTCACGAACGCCGAGCGCCACGTCGATGGCTAGCCAGGTCGACCGGAACGGCATGCGATCTATACACGGTGTTATGGATGTTGGATATGGTCACCCTCTCCCCCCTGCCCCCGGCAGCGCTGTGGCGGCGAAGAAGAAGAAATTTTCCAACACGTACAATCCCGGCCTCGCGGCGGAAAACCTGGGTCTCCTTATCGATGAGGACGGTGGCTCTGCTAGAGGGAGCGCATCCGGATCAGGTCGTGGCGCAATGGTAGCACGTCACCCCCACCATATCGGGCTCTGGGGCCGACCCGGTAACGGACACACATATCTCTTCGATAACGACAGCTCTCCCTTCCTCGGGCCTCAGAGGCCGAGAATCTCGACTGCTGGCGGCAGCGCAAGGGACTCGCCGGCGCCGCCAAGCCCCCGTTTCGGGGGGTCCGTCTCATCAGCACGCGGGGCGGGCGGCGGGAAGCGGGGGCCGCACCTCACCCCCGCCGTGGGATACGACCTAGATGACACAACAACCGAGGCCGACAACGAGCGGACCCCGCTGATCCATACGATGCGCTCGCCCCGGACCCGCCGAGGAGGAAGTAGATATAACCACTCGCTCATAGCTGATCACCAGCAACGTGCGGCAGTCGCTGCATACCGGCAGCATCAGCGACGCCACCAGCCATCATTGCTGAACCGCATGGCCAGCTGCCTTGTGTTGACAGTGATGCTACTGCTGGTGGTGTCAGGCGCCATCGGGTTTATGTTTGCGACTTCGCAGCCATTGACGGGAATGGAGCTCGTCAAGATCACCAATGTCATCGCCAGCGAACAGGAGCTGATGTTTGACATGAGCGTCAAGGCTCAGAACCCCAACGTTGTGCTGGTTGTTGTGGACTCGTCCGATCTCGAGATCTTTGCCAAATCGCCATATACGGGGACCGATTCGTGGCGACCAAACACTAGGTCACGAGGGGCCTTGCCCCGTGGACCCCTGTCTTTTATTGCAAGGAGGGCGGGCAGGATAACTGCCAGTGACGACGAAACCGGGCATCACGTCTCGCCAGCTGCCAGGACCGGTCCGCCAGACGATCCGGATGACGATCCGCCCCCGGACGACATGGGCCCGCTCTGGAGGCTTGGCACGGTCCGTGAGCTGGACCAGCCGCTGCAGTTTGAGGGCTCCTTTTTCAACAAGGGCGCCTCGACTACAACTGGAGGCCTTAGGCTCGAGAAGCCTGGAAACAGCACCGAGCCGGGTGGGACACAGCGGTGGGCACGTGTTATCGAGGACGAGTTCGATTTGGTCGTCAAGGGCGTCCTCAAGTACTCTCTGCCCCTTAGTCAGCGTGTCCGCACTATAGCCATCTCCGGCAAGACGCGCGTCAAGCCCAACTCGGCCAGCGACCCTGGGGCGGTTGCTCCTGGGACGCCCGAGTCCCTCGCGATTCCTGCCAAAACCTAGGTTGATGGATGGCAGTGGCTGCTGCCCAGCGAGAGATGTCGAGCCCACTCCATCAATCACCCATGAACCACTTTTCTCATTTCTGCAGTCCATCATCGTCTCACCGCACGTGTTGGAGGCGATGATTTTCCTCTATGATTCCGATTCCCAGGGCGGGGGTTAGGCGTTTATTCTCATCATTATCGGGTCATATGACTACCAAGCATTCCAGCCCACAAACAAGGTCGCGACGATGGATCCGGTCAGGGAGCACTGCGCCAAAGCACATGCGACGAACAAAACCTCTGGGTATCAGCATCTTTTATCACTTTATCATCACGGTCATCAGCGAAAGGAGTTTATACTGCGCGTGCTCTCGACAGACATTTCACGTAACGAAACGACCAGATCCACCTTGCCAAAGAAATCCTTTCTTCACTTCCCGACTTTCATTAAGATCTCTCTTTTTTTTCCCCGTCCAGCTCGTTGCTCTCCTTCTGATTCCCCGTCTTTTACTGTCACCATCTCTGTGTTTCCTCGCCTCCAGCCACATTTATAGACAACACTCACCACCGAGCAAAGAACCAACGATTTGTGTCACTACCCCCCACCCATCGGACCCAACACAGGCGATATCAGCCGCATATATCATTTCCTTTTTCTTCTGATTTGCCTTCCGCGGCCCTTAGGACGATGCCCTTTGAAGCGCCGCCTGTGGCTTTACTGTATTTCCAGCACTTGCTTGCTCCTCGCTCTTGCTGCATTTGGATGGACGGGGCCAACTCGCGTGGATGGATTCAAAATGGAGGGCTCGACGAGAGCGGGAGGATTGGTGCAGCCGGGAGAAAGACGCGGAGAAGGAAGATAAGGAAGACAAAAAGAACAAAAAGTGAAACAAGAACAGGGCGTGGACAGCGAGATCTACCCATTAAGATTTACCTCAACTCAATCTGCCCCATCATTTGCTCGGCTGCTCAATCGGCACCAGAGATGTGTTGGGTGTGATAGATTTTAATGACAAGCAAAAGCTATCAACCGGTCGGAATGAAGTCGCTCTTATCAAGATAGCAGTCTATAAACGCTCTGGAAAACCTCGTGAAATGAGGGCTGAAAAGATTAGGATCCACGCGCCCCTCTGTGTGTTCTAGTGATTTTGCTGGTGTACAAGTGCGTGAAGGCAGGATCCAAGAAGCGGCTTCATGGCAGCCTTGTTCTCCTCCAGACCACCCTGTAGTGGGTCGAGAAATACCGGAGGGGGATAAGTACTGAATGGACGTGCGATATAGGGGCTCTAGCGCGGCGTCAGCGCGGCAGTCGATCCGCCCAGGTTGGAGGATGCGAGATATCGGAAAGGGACAGGAAGGAGGGGGTAGTTAGGTGCCATATACCCCCTGCTGCGAATGAACATGGCGAAGAAGAGGACCCACGAAACGATACAAAGGCGCTTGATATCTTCCGGGTCTTAGTTACTATGGGCACAATATGCCGGACTGGGTGGACAGTGGAGGTAAGTAGCATGCGTGCCCCGTGTCACCACCATCGGCTTTTACAGACATGTGCCGATGATGACGTAAAAGTACTTTTTGCCCCGGTGCATGACCCTGGAGTCCTGCGAGGGTCCTGGGAGTCACGAGAGAAAGTCATCGAACTTTGAGCGCTTGGAGTGCAAGCACGGGATCTCATCGCCTCGGGAGAGACCACACAGGTGCAAGATCAAATCTGCCGGTTTGAGATGTGTTGGGTTTTGGGGCTGTGTTGCTGCAAGGCCCGACGTTTTGTCGCTGTGGCAACACAAGAGGTGCCTCGGCCGGGTGTGTAAAGCCAGTTTAGATACTCGCGGGAGATGCAAAAAGGCAAGTTTGACGTCTTTTGTTTTTAATGTCCGCGTTTGCGAGACTGGGTTGAATGAGGAAACAGAACCAAGAACTCTATCGCCAGGCTCCCCATGACATAGCCCTGGTGGTACATGGTCCTGGATGGAAGGCTCGAGTGGGGGAGCGAGCGGGATTACGCAAGACTGCGACGGCTGTCGTGGCTTCCATGTTCCATGGAAATGATGGGGTCGACGATTCGGCGAGGCCACCGAAATGGAGCGGCCACTGGGCAGTGGGCACCCACACTACACACTGGGAAGCTGTCAGAACGGATTTGGACGTCGTAACACCACTAGCGCTGCATAGCCCGCCCCACCTCGCCAACGCTGAATGGGCTGGGGGATCCGACAAAGGTCCAATATCACGGGCCGGGTTTTGCCCTTTACGAGAATGCCAAGGCGCCCGTCAGCAAATCGTCCGCAGCGGCCGAATCGCTTGGCTGCTGGCCTGTCCTGTCTCAGCAATGGATCCTGCCCCGGCATGTCGTGCACTCTGCCGCATCACCTGTTTGCTGCCCCCCCCCAGCCAGGCAGCAGGAATATCGCTCATGGCTTTAACCGCCGCCGCTCGCCCTTTCGTCGTGCTCTAGCCCAGCCCCTTGGATGTCGTCGGCCGGTCTCCCGTCGCTACCCTCTACCGTCACTCGCTCAAAACCAAGGCCGCTTTTGCTTCCCAAGTGCTTGTCATTCGCTTGTCCTCCTGAGCCGTCGGGGATTGAGCCTCCACCACCAATCGAGGACGTCATCATCCCTGCAGGGCCCCAAGACTGACCGACGCCCGGCCAGCCTTTTCGACCAATCTGCCAAAAGGCGTGGTGGATTGAACAACAAACAAGCACGCCGGGCGCCTTGATCATGGCTCGGCGATGGGGCGCTACGGCGCTTCTGCTGCTTCATGCCACGGCGAGCATACAGGGGGTCGCCGCCCAAGCAAACGGCCCAAACTTTTACAAGATTAGCACCAAAGGTATGTAGAAGATCCCTACAAACGTGGTCAGTAGACCACGGTGATTAGCCTTTCGCATACGCGGACACAAGATGGCTAAAACTAGCCTACACCAGAGGAGGTCAAACAGTCGGCAAAGGACCTGGCATGGCATGTTATGACCCTGTACCCGGGTAACCAGACGGGCAAGGAGGTCGGGATTTTCCCGGGCCCGCCGTCGGAAGGTAAGGGGCCATACTACTGGTGGCAGGCCGGCGCCGTGTGGGGTGCCATGATAGATTATTGGCACTACACGGGCGACAGCACGTATAACAAGATCGTCACCGAGGGCATCATGAACCAGATCGGCGAGGACCAGGACTTCGAACCCAGAAACCACCGCGCATCGCTCGGCAACGACGACCAGGGCTTTTGGGGCATGACGGCAATGCTCGCCGCCGAGAACAAATTCCCGGACGCGCCGGGGTCCGGCTCCACGGTGCCCGGATGGCTGGGTCTCGCCCAGGCCGTCTGGGTCCGCCAGACCCTGCCCGAGCGCCAGGATTCCGAGTGCGGCGGCGGTCTGCGCTGGCAAGTCCCCGGCGCCGGCTGGGGCCCCGGCCAAACCTACAAGAACACCATCGCCAACGCTTGCTACTTCAACATTGGCGCCCGGCTGACCCGCTACACGGGCAACTCGACCTACGCCGAGCATGCCGAGAAGATCTGGGACTGGATGTGGGCGCTGGGCTACATTGACCACGAGTCATGGAGGGTTTACGACGGCGCCAACTCCAACCACAACTGCACCAACATCAACCATGTGCAATACATGTACAACCCCGGCATCCTCATGCAGGGCGCCGCGGCCATGTACGACCATGTAAGGTTTTTTTTATTTTTTTTATATATTTTATTTACTTATATTTTTTATACCCTTTGGAGAAAAGGTTGTAGCCCGAGAGCGAGCAGAATAACACTAACTTGTGACAAACCCCTCAACTGCAGACCAAAAAAGACAAATGGAAAAACATCGTCACCAACCTCGCCAAGGCCGCCATCGAGAGCTTTTTCGCCGACGGCGCCGCTTTGGAGGCCTCATGCGAGCCCTACGGGCCCACGAACTGCACGTCGGACATGGTCATGTTCAAGGGCTTCGTGCACCGTTGGATGGCCCAGACGACGCTGCTGGCCCCCTTCGTCAAGGACGAGATCCGGCCCGTGCTGCGCAAGTCGGCCGCCCAGGCCCTCAAGACGTGCACCGGCGCGCCCACGGGCCGCGCCTGCGGCTTCTTCTGGACCAAGGGCGAGTTCGTCGACCCGGCCCTCACCAGCGACACGCTGGGCGTCGGCACGCGCCTCGACGCCCTCTCGGCCGTCATGAGCCTGCTCGTCGAGTTCGACGACGCCCAGTCCCCCACCACCGGGAGCACCGGCGGCAACAGCGCCGGCGACACCGGCGCCGGGCTCAGGCACACGCCCGCCACTGGGTACTCGGACATCACGACGGGCGACCGCGCCGGCGCCGCAATCCTTACCACGGTAATAATCGGACTTGCACTAGGCACGTTTGGGTGGATCTTGTGGGAGAGATCAGAATGAACCATATAAGCGACTCTTTAATTCCAATCTTGTGTGCACAGCTGTTTCCTTCATCCAGCCACGTCTTCATGCTCGGTACCATCACGAATTTGCATCTGGCCCCCACGTCATGGGCTCCCGCCCGCCTCATGGCACCGGAAAGAACTGGATCTGGAGGACAGATGTAGCTTCTCACGACATTAACACAATATAAACAACCGCCTATGGACAAAAACCGCCTCTGGTCTGCATTCGAGACCTACTTCCTCGTCGCAAAGACGTCGCTGATCCCCGCGACGCCGAGCCCCAGCCCCTCGGCGCCGTCGCAGAGTACCTCCCACAGCCGCTCGACGGGGGCCCCGTCCTCAAAGTCGGCGCCATCCCCGTCCAGGAACCAGGGGGTGTCGCCCCTGAGGCTGCCCTCGACGAAAGAGAGCGCCAGCGAGACCCAGCCGACAGCCTGGCCCGCGCTGAGGCTGCCCGGTGGCTGGCGGAACTCGACGGTGCCCCGGGCCGAACACAGGCCCGTCAGGTCCCACTTGTACACCTTTCCGCGCACAAAGTCGTGCTTCTTGCGGTGCGCGCGCCCATAGGCCGACGACGCTGGGAACATGTTGAGCGCTGCCACGACGGCCTCGCGGCCCGCGTCGCCGCCGCTGTTGCTACTCCCGCCGTCTGACGAGGAAGAGGGCGACGACGATAGCGTCATGGCAGCCATGGCGGCGGCGGCCACGGCCTCGTCGACGGCCACGAAGCACTCGGCCAGCGTCCGCCGACCCTTGAGCACCGGGTTGGCCCGGTTTGACTGGCACCAGTAGGCCGTCGACCCCCGCCGCCCCTTGGGCACGAGCGCGTCCAAGGCCGGCTCGAAGTACAGGATGGCCTTGCCCAGCGTCGCCAGCTCGTCGGCTTCGAGGGGCGGGTACGTCGACACGTGCACGTGCGTGCTGCAATTGCCGGACTCGACCACGGTGAAGGACGAGTGCAGCACGCTAAAGATGACGTCGAGGTCTGCCGCCCACGTCCAGTCCGACGGGTAGACGGGGGAGACCAGCTCGAGTCCGTCTAGGAAAGAGGTGGGGTCCAAAGCGTTAGTGGGCCGCACAGCAAACGTCAACAAGACAGTTTCGTATGGGGAGCAGAGGGATATTACACAGCCCCTTGGCCGGCTGCCCGGGGATCGTGACCTCGGGGGCGATGGACCACTTGGTGTACACGTCAGGGGATTTGTCGCCGGATTCGTTGATGTGGTTGTCAATCCCGGCCTTGGCCAGCTTCTTGGCCACCTCGCTGGCCAGCGACTTCCACGTCGAGTGCTTGCTCTTCTTGCTCCCCATCAGCAACTCGATCTCGACACCAAAGTAAAAGAGCCTGGAGGAAGCCATGATGACGAGTTCTTGGAGCCCGCTGTCTCGACGAGAGAGGATCCGGGAAACGAGAGCAAGTGGAATCTGGCAAACAGGAGCAAAAAGAAAGGACCTGACAGCCGCGCCCTGTCATGATTCAACCTTGACATCGATCCGCACGACTCTTCAGGGTTTTTATACTTAGTCTGAGTGAGCCATGGACACTCCCACGAGACTGAGGTAGCTCCACCGTCCCTCGTTTGGCGAGACGGCACCACACTACCCTATCGGATTCATCATCGTCTCCGCCCTCCTCGACCGTACCACCACACCCACTCGGCTCGACCACGGATCGACCACGGAGCAGGTGACCATGGCCAAGTCGGGGAGACCAGAGAAAGGATGGATCACAGCCACTCGACTCATGATCCGTCACACCTTCACCTTGTCCGAAGACGAAAGTCCGCGTGAACACCTCCCCGGCCCAACAATGGAGGGCGCGCGGTCGTGGCCAGCGCTTGGAGCAAGGGGGGAAGAACCCCAGCCAGTCGAGTCAGGTGGCGACGCTTACTCCATAACGGGCCTGTTATCGAACTATCAGAAGACAGGCGAATCCCAAGCCGTGAAAGCCTCAAGGAGAGTCCGGAGGCGTCTCGGCCAGCGGCTGGCCTGGCCTTGTCTTAACGGAAGCCTTTGCTGGACCTATCGGCATCTGGGCAAGGACGAGATTTCCGGCAGCTAGGCGAGTCCCAGGCCACGAAAAGACCGAAGGAGGGGTCCTAGATGCCTCGGAGGCCTCTCGATACGCAGCCATGTCTCGACCGGCGCCTATCGACACAGGAAAAGACTGCTGCTCCGACACGGTGGTTGTGGGGATCACAGACGACGATGTGCCGTGGCTGCGAACAAAGGCGGCCGGCTCACCCAGGCCGGATCGTATAAGCCGCGCGCCCTAGTTGGTCTTGGGCCAGGTACTATCGACATGCGGAGCGCCTCCTGGTCAGGCCCGGCGGGTGCCCAGCTTGGCAGAAGACATTTGTCGGTATCAAAACCAGTGTCTCACTGCCCAGCCGCCCAGCGAGCTGCGGCGAGACGGGGAGAGCTTGGTGGGGGCGGCGGCGATCTTGGTGGGAATAACGATCAACAACCCCTCCCCTGGCGGCGGCCGCTGCGCAAACAAGTTCAGCAAGGACAAAAAGAAAAAGACGGACATCATCGAAACGCCGGGGGCGGAAAAGAGGGGCCGGGAGAATTGCAGAGCCTCGGGTAGGTGGCCCCACGGCGCTTGCGTCAGCTAGGACTGAGGAACTGAGGAACAGGAAAGATGGCCACTCGGGCTCAAGTTCACAGGCAAACCTCGTCCGGGAGGCCTGCGATTCCGGCGGTGAGAGCAGGGCCAGAACGGTAAGCTTCCAAGAATGGCTCACCGGATTGTCTCAAGATCCAGATCTTTCGGAGCTTATCAGCTCATCAGGTCCATATGCAGTGGTCTCGAGACCTGTGGCCTAGTGGGGTACTTCCAGGCCGGCTGGACAGAGTGCCCGAAAGGGGTGGGTGTGATGAGGTAGCACAATGGTAGAGGTACGGCGGGGATGCGTCTCTCCGGCCTTGCGGCAAATGTGATGTTGGGGGTGGACATCAGCACAGCCGATCCCTGCAGGCTGTTTCCCCTTTCTCTGGGGCTGCCAGACCGGGCCAGGCCAATCATAGTGGGTGAAAGTCCAGATTCGGACGGCCTGACTGATAAAGCCTCGATCGCCGGGATCGAGGGAGACCAGAAAGGGGAAAGGCGGCGCATGTGCAGGGCTGAGACATCGGGTTAAGCGCCGGGCGGCGTGTTAGAAATCGAGACAGGTTCCGAGAGGTGAAGCCAGCCAATTGTGCAAGAAGCCGGGAGTGAGTGGGCGTGGTGTGTTATTCCCGCACAAAAATAACAAATGATGGAGGCCCCTGGAAGGCGGCGCCAACGGCGTGTATGGCGTCAATACGAGCAGTTCCCACCGAGGCATTCTCGAATTGAAGTCCCGAGCTCAGGAGCAGCAGCGTTCTGGGAATGGAGGGTAGCAGTTGCCGGCCAAGAATGGAACAGACTGGGCATGTACCTAGGTTCCTCGCTGCAGGCGATTGATTGATTGCATGGAACTGAACTGAGAGCTCCCGGCGCGTCGGCAACTTCTAGAACAAAAAACCCCCAGAAAAGAGGGTGTGCTCACGCCTAGGTTTTAGCCGCGCCCACATGGTGGTCCTGCACGTACCATGCATGCCATGGCCACGGCCTGGGCGGCCGCCGCCACTGGCCGGGTCGCTGGGGGCTGGTCGGGGCAGAGTAGGGTGAAGGACGGTGTGATGGGCCTTGTCCAAGGGGAGCCCGGCGGGGGGGATGGGGAGGGGAGAGAGGGGAGTTCAGCCAGCCTCCAAAGTGGTGCTGGAACACGCCGACAAGGCCTCGGGGGCAGGGGAAACCTGTCAAGGTGAGCGCGGCCTTGTCGGCAGAGGGGAAAAGCAAGGAAAAGTCGGTCACGCAAAGAGCGGCCTGCCGCAGGTGCTCGGCTGCCCAAATCGGGACAGCAGAGGCGGGTTTGGGTGAGCTAAGGCTTCTCCTGCGCGCGTTACGCCTGGCACCAAGATGAACTGAGGAAGGCCCGGCTCAATCGCATCCAGACCTTTCGCGGGTACCATCTCCGGTAGACAGCCCGCCCAGCTCCTTCCTGTGCATTTCGCATCCAAGCCCCACTGTGACATCAATCGAAATACCACCAACGGACCTACCCCCACCACAAAAATATGGCGGTTCCTTCGAGGAACGGGAACAGGAATAGGTGTAGAAATAATAACAAGATTAAAATAAAAATACGAATAACAATAGGGATAATAACAGGAAACGAAAATAAGAAGCGGAAAGTGTACGGACTCGATCTTTGGGACCTCCTGTAAGACTGCGGTTTTTTTTTTGTGGTAGGCGTGCCTACCAAATGCCGCTATAATAATTATTCAATTTCTGCAGTGCACAACAGCGGCGGAACCCAATTGTGCATCTCGGACGGATGGTTTCCCCCGATGCGGCGGCCGGGAGGAGGACCTCCATCGGAACAGCGCCCTTGACTGGGCCATGCGGAGAAATGGCGTGTAGGTACCTCCCTATATGCGGGGGGAAACCAGAGGCCTTGGATATAACTCGGATTAATCGCTGGGGCTTGTACGAAATGCTGCTCCAGCTCGCAACTTGCCATTAGGTACGGGAGGCATTTCCAAGTAGGTAGGCACTCCGACGAAAAAAAAAACGAAAAAAAAAACAAGTCGCCATGCTTCTCGACACCCTAGCCCGCGCCCTGCTCTCGCTGCCGCTGCTCGCCGGCACGGCACGGGGGCTGGCGTACAAGGGCGTGGACTGGTCGTCGGTCGAGGTGGAGGAGAAGGCCGGGATCAAGTACCAGGCCGCCGATGGCAGCACGCAGCCGCTGGAGCGCATCCTGGCCGCCAGCGGCGTCAACATGGTGCGGCAGCGCGTGTGGGTGAACCCGCGCGACGGCAACTACAACCTCGACTACAACGTCCGCCTGGCCCGGCGCGCGGCGGCGGCCGGCATGCGGCTGTACGTCAACCTGCACCTGTCGGACACGTGGGCCGACCCGGCGCACCAGGCCATCCCGGCGGGGTGGCCGTCCGACATCGACGGCCTGTCGTGGCGGCTGTACAACTACACCAAGCAGGTGGGCGACGCGTTTGGGAGCGCCGGCATCGCGCCGGCCATCGTGTCCATCGGGAACGAGATCAGGGGCGGGCTGCTGTTCCCGACGGGCCAGTACACCAACTTTTACAACATCGCCCGCCTGCTGCACTCGGCCTCGGCCGGCATCCGCGACAGCAGGCTCGGCAGGGGGCCCAAGATCATGGTGCACCTGGACGACGGCTGGAACTGGGACACGCAAAAGTGGTTCTACGAGAGCTTGCTCAAGCAGGGGCCGTTTGTGTCGTCGGATTATGACATTATGGGCGTCAGCTACTACCCGTTCTAGTGAGTGTTGAATGCTAAATTCCCCTGTCCCTCTATAAAAACGGGTTCGGAAAACGCGCAAATCTTTAACACGTCCCCTCCCCGCAGCAACGCCGACGCCACGCTCGCGCGCCTCAAGACGTGCCTCACAAACATGGCCAACACCTGGGGCAAGGAGATCGTGGTGGCCGAGGTCAACTGGCCGACGTCGTGCCCGTCGCCGCGGTACCAGTTCCCGGCCGACGTGCGCTCCATCCCCTTCTCGGCCGACGGCCAGGTCCAGTTCCTCCGGCGCGTGGCCCAGACGGTGGCGGGCGTCCGCAACGGCAACGGCATCTTCTACTGGGAGCCGGCCTGGGTCAACAACGCTGGCCTGGGCTCGTCGTGCTCCTCCAACACCATGTTCGCCTGGCCGGGGAAGGCGCTCTCGAGCTTGTCTGTGTTTCGCGAGCTATGAGGAGAGGGGATTGTGTCGGATTGTGAATGATGTCGGGTTGTATTGTTTGTTCTCAAAGTGTAGATACTGTCTCGTCTTGTACATGGAGGAAATGAAAGTTCATATGGGGGTTTGACCGGGTATCTAGCGGAGTTCCTGTTTACGGTGCTTCGAGAGCCCCTCGGGTGAGCAAGGCTCCGGGGTTGCCGCTTTGAGTCTTGCCATGAGCCCCTGGATCTGTTCCCAGGTGACGGCTTCGTCAGGCCGGGTCCACCCTTCAAGATATGGGAGGCGCTCTTGCTCTGTAGGGCATAATCCGACAAGTCAGTTCATATGTTCCGGAAACAAGCCTCAGTCCACTTTTTGGCAACGCCTCACTTACCAAACAGTACCTTGACAAAATCCCTCCTCGCCGTGCCCCGAGTCCCACGGCCCATGAACAGCATGTAAATCGTGGTCTCGGTAAAGGACAGCTCCATCTGGAGGTCACTCAGGTGAAACTCGGGGTTCGCAGCAGCAGCAGCGCACAGGCGGTGGGCGCGCGCGGCCGCGGCCTGCTCTAGCGTGACGACGGGGTCGACAAAGTGGCTGGCGATCGTCTCGGCCCAGACGGAGGCGTTGAAGGTCAGGACGTCGCCGCCGCCGTGGCGGTCGGGGCGGCTGAGGCTGCCGTCGTGCTCCGTCACGGGGCTGGCCAGGTCGTCCAGGTTCAAGGTCCCCGGCACGCCCGTGGTCGAGACGGACAGGGCGGCGCGGATGAAGCCGTCGAGGACCGGAGAGTCGACGTTGGTCCCCGCCACGAAGCCGGCGCGGAGCTCGTCGCCGCTGACGTTGAGGCCGCTGTGCGGGATGAGGCCGTGGTTGGCGAGAGAGTTCATCATGGGGCAGGGGCCGCGGCCTGGGGAGGTTGACGCGAGATGGGGTTGTCAGTGATCTTTATACGTATATGGGCCTGCCGTGGGAGCGCAGTGGGCAGTCGGTCACATACGGTCGTCTGGGGAGGGGGCTTTCCAGGGCGGTGGTGGACTGGCCTTGCCCATTGCCAAGGGCAGCAGCAAAAGCTGCAGTAGGACAGTAGCGGTGATGCGTGCTATCATTTTGGACCTGATGCTGATATGCCTAATGGATTCTATAGCGGTAAGTGAGTTCGACTAGAGGTGAGCGGTAGGGAACTCAATGCAACCCGCACGCGGAAAAGAGGGAGTTCCAACCCAAACATATAAAAACCCAATAGCCCCGATGACTGCCCAGGCAGGCTGAGGATTATGCCGACTCGGCGCCACAGTGAGATCACAGGGAATATTACACAACGATTCGGGGCAGTCTTACATCCACCCAAGCCGGGCGACACTTGATGCTCATTCTAGGCATATGGAACTTCAGCCCCAAGCCTCGTTCGGGCTTCTTGCACTTCTTGTAGCCGAATGGGGCAATGCGGATGACGACACTCGCGCCTGATAGGTTGAGCGGTGCGGCCAACAACGCCACATGCACACCACTCGTCTTCCCCGCGGGATGCGACCGTAGTTCTGTGTCCCGACTGGTCATGTCTGTGTCTGGTGGTGCGGCAGTTTGGCCCAATGCTCCTGGTCCCGATGCGGGCGCTGTCTGGGGACGGCCAGACTTGCCTACGTGAGCTAGGCTCCGAGGAGGACAAAGGCTGGCGTTTGGTGGCCGGCCAAGTGACTCTAGCCTCGAGCCAAATTGCATTGGTCTCAAAGGATGGGGGCCCTTTGCGAGATTACAGAGTTATTTCTTCGATTGTCAAGGCTTTGGCTCCTCTCTCGGGAGAGTACTGACAGAGAAAGGGGGTTTAAAAATAGCTACAAAGAGTTGTTGGGAGAAGGAAGGCTCTCTCACTATAAAAGCTGCCTTGGGTCCGCCGAAATGGTAGGATGTGACGGTTGGTAACAAATCAAGCCAAAACAACGAGAAGATGCCAAAGCAACCAAAGTCAGAAAGAAGCGATGTCATACAACGCACAAAACCGGATCTTTGTTTGCGGATTCCCTCAATGCAAGTTCTGCAGGAAGCGACTGTCTGGCGACAAGCCCTGCAAGAACAAGGACTGCAAGAAGAAGGTCCGCAAGGCCAAGCTCGACAAAATCGCGAATGTTATGGTGTTTTGTGTTGTTTGCCCCTTTTATCTTCTGATGGGGGGCGGATTTTGAATTGAACATGTTTTAGATTGATTATTTCCGCGCGTATAATAAGGGATGATGGTATGCATGTGCACATGGCACACAGTACTGTGTAATGCAAGTGTTGGGGAGTGGATTGCCTAAAAAGGCATGGCCCGGTGCCTGCGCTACTGTAGGCGCACGTGCGCTGGTCCGGTCTGCTTTCGCGATGCACGCCAAGACGGCGTGGGAACCCAGGCAGAGTGGAGGCGCTGGAGGATGCACCGAATCTGGCCTGGATGGAAACTCTGTAGGATGGGGGACGACCACTCCACGCCGCAATCAAAGCAAAGGCTCTGTGCGCGGCCCTATTGCGGCCTCTCCGACCCTTCTGTCCGCTCAGTCGAGGCAGGCACGCAGGCTCCTCCTGCCCTGTGCTGCGACTTCTCAAAAGGGTCCAGCCTCCACCTAGGGGCGGGCGTGGCAGGCACGCCGTTTGGGCGATCGCCATTGCCCCGAGCGATCACGACAAAAGAGCGTCCTTCCACAGCCTTGGGATCACGCAACTAGAGGGGGGCACAGACGGCCAACAAAAGCTCAGACGCTAGGAGACGGGCGCCGGCAGCCCGCCCTGCTCTAGCCCAGCCGCCTTTTTACCCTTTACACCAACACCACGCCCTAGCTCCAAGCTCCAGGCTCCATCACGGGCCCGTCCTGGAGCGGGGAATAGACCAACAGACGCTCGACTCGCAGCCATCCATCTTTAGGTCCGATCACAGTTCCCACCACAGTTGGCCCCCGGCACAGACGGCACTTGTTCCGCCGTCGCTGTCCCCGTCGCTTGTCCCTCTCGCTCCCGTTCTGTCTATCCCCTTACCCGTCGTGTAAAGTCCCGTTCCCGAGGTGGCCAGCCAAGCCCGCAAGGACGAGGGCCCTAGGAGATTTCGTGTCACCCACCCCCGGACGACAGGGACGCCGAGCGGGATCCGCGGCATTGGGGCCCTGGCTGCGTTTCAAATACGGAGAGAACAAATGGAAGAAAATGGTGCTGCCACTGCTGCTGCCACTGCCAGTGCCACTGCCACCATCCTCCCGAAGCCCGCCGCCCATCCTTGACCCTGACAACCTTCTCCCAACGTCACCACTTCCATCATTACCCTGGCGACGTCGACGGCGGGCGGCGTCGCGAGAAACCCCATACGGCTTTCTGCTAGGCCAGGTCGCGATTCCGGCTAGTACTTTTGGGCTCGAGTTGTTGCCCACCTGCCCTCAGCTTGCCAGATACAGCGTCTCCAAGTCCGCGCCGAGGCGGCTGCACCCTCGCTGCATCTCAGGCCGCCGCCGCCCCGACTCAGGCACGCAGTCAATGTCGACGTCAGTGGCAGAGCCAGCCAGGACAAGTCAGCCAGGACAAGTCAGCGGGCATGGTCGTCCAACCGGTTCAGCTGAAGATGGCGAACCCATTCTCGCGCATGGCCGAGACCTACGAGACCATATTTCCCGCCATGCGTCTTTTTGCTGCCGACGCCGTCTCGCTCGCGCCGCCAATCACCAATAAGTCGGTGGTTCACGACAACGGCTGCGGGCCCGGCATTGTCACGGCCGAGATATTGTCTCGGCACCAACGCCGGGCCAGCATCGACCACCAGCCCCAGACGTGGCAGCAGCGGAGGCGACGTTTCCAGTCACAAGGCCATCACCAGCCGAGCCACCCACCAGAAGCACCCCACATCGAGGCGACCGACATCTCTCCCGTCATGGTCAGCGCTGCCGCCCGCAGAGGAGCCACGGTGCGCTCGCAGGTTATGGACTCGCGAGAGCTGCTCGGCTTCGATGACGCCATATTCACCCATTCCTTCTCCAACTTTGTCGTCCTCGGCATGTCGGAAGTCGACACAGCGCGCGTCATCTCCGAGATGCGGCGCACCTTGAAGCTTGGGGGCGTGGCTATTTTGACTGCGTGGCGCGCCCTCGGCTACCTCGACGTTTTCGAGCAGGTGGCCCTCCCGATAGCCGCGGGCAGCGAAGCCAAGAGCAACATCAGTAGCAACCACGACAGGAGCCCACCTCCCACCCACGCCAGCATCGACACCAGAGAGGCTGTGCTGACGGAGCGGCAGCTGCTGTTAGCTCTAGAGCGGGGCGGGTTCGCCATGGGCAACAAGGCGCCGGGACCTGTCGAGCTGCGGAGCATCACACGTGTGCTCCCCTGGGCACTCTGGACGAACGAGGCGTACGCGCCCATCCGCCGGAGCATGTGCGATGGCTACACCCGCGGCTGGTCCAGGGCTGACACAGATCGGCTCGACGTCGCTTTTGCCGAACGCGTTGCTCACCTGGCCGAGGAAGGGGCGTCGTACCGTGTAACGGCCTGGGTTGCCATCATGAAGAAAGTATGATTTCGCTTGCTGTCCAAAGATGGCACACTGGGCTACCTACCTTGGTGGTAAATATTAGTCGTAATACGTCGGCATACTGGACGACTTCTGGAATGGGTGTCACGTCAGATAGCCAATTCTTGTTGTTGTGCGCTAGGTCCTAGATTCGGACATTAAACGCTGCTGTCCCTGGCCCAAATCGGACTAGATTGTGTCGGCACATTGGCTCGGTGGCGCACTTGGGCACGTGTTCTGACCATACAGAAAATTTGGGTGGTGGTACTTGCTTGTTCATAATAGGCTAGAGGAACTGTACATATGCTACATAGTGAATAGCGTCATACAAGGACCGCGATGATTTCACGTGCATTGGGAATTTCAGCGTGGGATTTATTTCGTCATATATTCCACGTCCAGCTTAAATATGGGTATTCTAGCTGGCCTCGATGCGCCTGCAATAGTCGCGCCCGTGGCGGACCTGATAGTCGCACAGCCAGACTTCCATGGCCATGCCGATGACGCTGGCGAGGCAGATGCCGCCGCTGTCGCTGACCGAGGTGGCGCCGAGGCTGAACTCGCGGTCGGCGGGCGGGACGCGGTCCATGATCTCGGCAAACGTGTTGACGTAGACGGCGCCGCCGAGCAGGCCCTCCCAAAACACGACGAGGAAGACCAGATAGACGGAGGGGATGAAGTCGAAGAGGGCGTGCAGCGTCAGCAGGGCCAGGTTGGCGACCTGCAGGAGCGAGGGCAGGTACAGGTCGTGCAGGCGCACAAAGGGCGTCGACGAGCGCGACACGAAGACGCCGAGCTGGTACAGGAAGCCGTAGAAGGGGTAGAAGGACCGGAACTCGGAGAAGGGCGAGCGCTCGAGCGGGAAGAGCAGCGTCGGCGACACGCCCTGGTTGATGGCGTACTCGGCCACGTAGACGAGCAGGAGCGGGAGCATGTAGGGGAAGAAGAGGCGGCGCGCCCGCCGCAGGTTGGCCGCCAGCGTCGGCTGCTTGCTGGCTGTTCTCGGTGGTGGTGGTGGTGGTGGTGGTGGTGTGGTGGCGGAAAGGGGCCGCAGCTCGTCGTCAGAGTCTTTATCGTCGTCGTCGTTGTCGTCGTTCTTGGCGCGGCGACCACCGTCCCGGACCGAATAGGCCGTCGCGGCGACAGACGGGCCGGGCGCCAGCAGGCCGGCGGACGCGCTGCTGGCCGACATGTGCTCGACGTCGTCGTCCTCGAGGTCGCGGGCGGGCACGGCCGCGTAGGCGCCATTTTCGCGCCCCCCGGCGGCGGCCGACGACGACGACGACGACGCCCTGAGCGGGGCGCGCGGCAGCACGACGAAAAAGCTCAGCAGCATGACGGCGGGCAGCGCGGCCGACGCCAGCAGGCTCGCGCGGGCCGACAAGCCCGCCCAGCCCGTCAGGACGACATACAGACCCGAACCCACGAGCCCGGCGCCCCCCGTCCCGCTGCCCCAGGCGGCCAGGCTGAGGGGGCCGTAGTGGTGCGTCAGGCCCAGGAAGCTGAGCTCGCCGGCGCCGCTGCTGAGGCTGGCGAGGGCGACGCCGGCCAGGCGGGTCGCCACGGGCCTGTCGGCCGGGGTCAGGGCGACGAGGAGCATGCCGGCGGTCGAGGTGGCGGCGAGGGCGGCGACGCGGGCCGAGTATGGGACGCGGTGGATGAAGTAGGGCGCCACCAGCTTGGTGAGGAAGGACGGGAGCACGTCGGCCAGCAGCACGACGCCCTTGGGCACGTTGGTGCCGACCAGGTCCTGCGCGGCCGAGAGGATGATGACGTAGAGGACGTTGTTGATGAGGCCTGGGAGGGAGGGTGTGTGTGTGTGTTAGTCGGCGGGTTAGATGGGCAAAATGGGGAGGGAGTGAACCGACCAAACAGCCAAAAGGCAAGCAGCACCGAGCTGTCGGCGCCCCGAAACACGGACGCGAGCTTGGCGCGGTACACAGCCCACGACGCCGACGCCGTACCCGGCATCGGGAGCAGGCCCGATGACGAGGGCGTCCTGTTCATGGCGGCCGCTGGAAGCCGAGGTTGGATGAACCCCTAGGTTTACGTTTTGCGACGGACGTCGGTGGCGGGTCGGCGATGACGCCTTCTTTTTGGGATTACACGCACAAGATTCTATAAAGTTCGAGTGGCGGGTGGTTGGATCAAAGAAAAAGACGGCAAGTCTGGACGCCCCTCGAGACGGTCGGGGGCGACGTCAGCGGGTTCCCGAGGGTGCATGATCGCCCGCCCTCGGCTGTGTGGGCTGTCACGGTTTCACAGCGCGTTTGTTTTAGCGTCGGTGGGGGGCCCTGCGCCGGTGTGACCCCAGTACGTGCCGCTAAGAAGCGCTATAAACATGTGCTGCGGTTGATGAGGGTAATTACATGTATTTGATATTAGGTTATTCTTGCTAGAGACAAAACTTGATGCTGATTGACCTCATTCGCAATCCGTCCATTCACTAACCCAAGACAGCCTAACCCTCACTCCCCCCTCCTCCTACATCCAACCCGCCAGTCCAACAAACACAGCAGCCGCCGCGACGCCAACAACCCCCGTCCCCACAACCCTCCCGGCCCCGGACCTCGACGTGCCGGACTGGGCCGCGCCCGTGCCGCTCGCCGTCGAGGAGCCAGTGGTGCTAGAGGTGGCGGTGGTGCTCGTGACCAAGCTGCTGCCGGACCTGCTGCGCGTCGCTGTCTTGGACTGGCACGACTGGCGCGACAGCACGCGGCTGCTCAGCATCGCCAGGGCCGACGTCTGCTGGGCCCTGGCGAAGTCGCTGCAGCGGCTCAGGTAGCTGCTGATGTCGGCCGCGTGCGCGGACCCCCACGACTCCTGCGCCGCGCGCGCGCTGCTCTCGGCCGCGTAGAGCGACGTGGGCACCACGAAGCCCTGCGGCATGCACTCGCTCGACAGCGACGGCGTCGCCGCCAGCGCCGACGACCGCGACGCCTGCTGCTCGCTGTACCACGACTCCACGGCCGGGTGGTCGTTGGGCTGCTGCGTGGCGAGCGAGTAGAAGATGGACAAGCACGCCGTCGTGTCGGCCCCCGCGGGCGGCGTCGTCGTCGGGGGCGGGGTGGTGGTGGTCTGGCCCAGAACGGGCGCGGCCGCGAGGGCGAGGGCGGTTATGATTATTGTAGGGTGCATGTTTTTTTTGTTGGTATTGTTTTTTTTTTATCGACGTGGGGTAAGTTGAGTGCCGGGCTGCCTAACAACTCCTTCAGTTTCTCATCGTAAGTGAGGGCAGGCCATTTCTTTATATCACTAGGCCGCAGGGCTACCAATCCTCATTTCGCGGAGTTATGCCGACCCCATCGGGGCTTGTCAAAACAACTCGAAATGGACCTTTTTCCATGTGGACACGGGCTTTTACAACAGATCCTCGCTTCCGTTGAACGCGTGTCGCCAACAACTTGCCTGGCTCAGCCACATTCGAAATCCTGCTGCCGTCACCTGAGGGCGTCGCCAGCCGACACCTCACTCCCCCCACCGTAGCCCAGCCGTGCCAATGACAACGGGAGGCCGCCGGCCTTGGCTCCCGCATCAATGTAACCCAATAAGGGCGGTGCATGCACAAGGCTAAATCCCTCCGCCTTTAGGTCAGATAAGGGTTGTACACCGTCTCGTTCTGCACTGCCCGCCTGTACAGCTTCTTGTTGGACCGGCCGAGGTATAGCTTCAGTCCCATGGCGCTCATGATGGCGATGATGGCCATGACCATCATCAGGATGAACGCGAGCCGGTACACGGGCTCCTCCGACTCGACAAAGAAGTAGGGCGCGATGAGGTTGCCGATCTGGCCAAGCACGTTGACCAGCGCCACCGAGATGGCTCGCTTCTCGGGCGTGCGGCCCATGGTGTTGGAAGTCCATGTGCTGATGAGGGGGTTGCTCTAAATTATGGGCATGCCTCGGTTAGCTTTCCTTCTTCCTCGGGCACAGCAAGGAGCCGTCAACAGCGCCGCCACTTACAAAGTACATGCCGCCGACGTAGATAAAGGACGCCGCATAACGCGCGTTCCTGTTCTCCGTCGCCAGGCAGATGATGTAGCCGATGCAGCCAAAGGCGATGGGCCCCGCAAAGTGGAAGCCGCGCTCCTTGGTCTTGTCCGAGTGCCAGGCGTTGACGAGCGAACCGATGGCGGCGAAGATGTAGGGCGGCGCCGTCAGCACGAGCGTGATGATGCACGAGTAGCCAAAGCCCCTGACGATGGACGGGAAGAAGTTTGAGAAGCCGTAGGCGGCCGAGATGCCAATGTTCATACCCACGAGCAGCCAGAACTTGTAGTCGAACACGGTCATCCTGAGGCCCTGCCACACGCCCGCCTTGGCCTCCGACGTCGACACGCGGTCCGCGAGGATGCGCGCCGCCGCCACCCGGCGCATGTCCTCCGTCATGAACCACCGCGCCGCGCTGCCCGTGTCCGAGTCCGGGTAGTCGGGCAGGATCCAGAAGCAGATCAGGGCCAGGCCCGCGCCCGCGGTCGCGAGCACGATGAACAGCCACTGCCAGCCCGCCAGCCCGTACGAGCCCTCGAGCGTGCCGAACACGGCCGCCGCGATTAGGCCCGCCACGCAAAATGCCAGCGTCTGTCCGGTGTAGAGGATGGAGCACCGGAGGGCCATCTCCTTGCGCGTGTACCAGCAGGACATGACGTAGATAGCCTGCAGACATAAGTCGACGTTAGGAAGTCTGCGCAGATCATTGTCGTCAAGGGCAAAACGGGGCCTTACACCAGGGAACAGAGGAGCCTCGACCACGCCCAGGAAGAACCGAACGGCAATGAGCCCTTGGTAGTTCCTTACACCGCACGTGGCGGCCGACACGCCGGACCAAACCATGGCCATGGCGCAAAGGTACACACTAGGCCGCACTTTTCCGATGATCATATTGGAAAGGACCTGACCAAGAACGTAGCTGTGGAACACCTCATGTTAGCTTTGAGTGACACGTGAGTGCAAGACTGGCCACACTCCTCCGACCCAGACATACCCGAGACTGAGAATAGACACGGCGGTGCCAAACTGGTACCCTTCGAGCTTGAGGTCCTCGTCCAGTGTGCTGAGCCGGGCCTGTGCGATGGAGGCCCGATCGAGGTAGTTGAAAAGGTAGAGCACCCAGAGACACGGGAGCAGTGTCATGTCGAGTGTCTTGACCACCTTTCTCTCGAGCTCCTTCCAGTTGGGAATGCCGAGAGCCTCTATCTGCTCGTCTGCGCTCGGTAGGTGTTCCGGTTTCTTGAGCCCATCGTTGGCCTCGAGCACCGATGGCTCCTTTGTCACCCGGTCGCCCGCAGCGTTGCCAGTGGCGACATTGTCGACCGGCTGTGCCGAGGGCTTCTCTCCCGTACTCATCGTGTGCGAGGCGGGTAGGAGCGGTGCTGATATACCGGGGAGGGGCAAGAAAGGGTGAGAAGGAGAGATGATGGCTGCTCGTCCAAACGGGAGATGAACGAGTTCATAGCGCCTCCTTTATACGCAGGAGAGTAGAGAGCAGAAAAATTCTGCACCCTAGACCGCGAGATCGGTGTGCAAGTGGAGGTTTGGTTCCGTCGGCCGGCCCAGAGTGTGTGGGCGTCGTTGATCCGGTACACGGGGGCAAGGGGAGGGTCTTCTTCTCCAGCAACCGAGGTTCCCCTTGACGTCTCGATGGGCTACACGGTCCTTCTCTGGCCCGGGGCTGGCTGACAGCCGACGCCGGGCACTGTATCCTACACCTGCAGGAGCGCTGTTACGACGTGGCCAAAAACAGGGTGTTGCGCGCGCATCGATGAAATTACCCAAGTATCGCCACCCACCTGCCCCGCGCAGAAACGAGCTGGGAGCAAGACCCCGGAGTAAGAAACATGGAATCCACGCGCCTCCGGTCCACGCATCTCCGGGGACCCCATGGGAACAGAGGCGGGGGAGAACCCACGAGTCTGTTTCCTGGGCCCTTGTCATCTCGACCTGCCAGCCAGTCGGTGATACTGGCCGCATTGGTACTGTGCAAGTATAAACATCACATCGTCGGTGCGCATCCATCGTCACCGCGACCAAGTCCGGCGTCCTGCACCACGAGACGCGGCTCACCGGAGACTTGGCATGCATCATGGAGTGGCAAGGGCCGGGCAGCTGTCGCACTTCATGGTGCTATATAGGGCGTGCCGGACCGGAAGTCGGAAGCACCACGGCAGCCTTCGGCTCCGTACCAAGAAGGGAAAGTCTTGGGCTTGTTGCCTGAAAGAGAATCGGCGTCTGTGAACTCGAATCAAAGGTTCAAAAGGTCCAGTCGATGTGGGCTGGGACCGCAATTTTCCAAGAGAGCAGAGCGGGGAGTTCGTAATAGCCAAGATGTCCCAAGAGTCTGTCGTCCCCATTTATGTAACCCCAAGATAATAACCCGGATAGTGAACGTGGAATCCAGCGGCGATGAGAGGCGGGAGACGCTAGACATGGGAAAAGATTCCGGGTTATGGCAGGGGCGGAAAAACGAATAGACGCGCTGTGGCATGCCCAGCGCCAAGGGGTCTAATCATGGAATCTAACGTGTCGGGGACACAGTGTAGGAGACCTCCACGTTGACTCATAAAGACAACTGGATCTCAGTCCTAGAAAGAGCTCAGATTGACGGCAAAATGGGTATCTGCCTTATCGAAGCCGGATACTCTTTTGGGACGGACACCTCTTCCACGCGTGAGGCTGGCACGTGGCTGGGCAAGCAATAGAAGGGGTGGGTTGAATGTGGAGCAGGCGTTCCTCAGCTTAACCCTGGTTTAAGTCTCAGCCTTCCACGTGCCTTTGTCGATGCTCGCGATGGAGGATATGGGACGATGTAACCTCACATGGCGACCAGAAGAGGGTGTATGGGGTTAACGTTGGTTTGACAAGCCAGCTTAGGGAAGGACTGGTAGGCTTCTGCCACGGGATCAACGCAGTGCTCCTCCTGGCAAGGTGTCCATGACCCCGTTGTGGGGGAAGCTACTAGTGGGAAGCTCCTAGGGCTGTTGCTGGGGTTCGAGGCTTGTGGGGGAGTCCGCAGCTTCCGGGTGCAGGACGAAGAGTCCGGAGCAATGCGGGGGTCTCACAGGAGGTTCAAGAACGGGCCCGAACGTCCCGCTCCCGGAACTCAGCACCGAGCCTGCGCCGCGTTTTTCCGGGCCTGGCATTGGCATCAGTGGGGCGGTACGGCCCGACAACAGCAGCTTTTGCCGCTGAAGCGGATATATGTAGGGCATTCTGGCAGCTGTACCGGCCAAGACTTCTAGGCAGCCCAAGTTGGAGTAGCTTCTTGACAGACGAGGGATTGGGTTTTGCTGGGTTGGTTGCCAAGGGTTCGACCATTGCATAATAGTGAGCTGACATTAGCGCGAGGCATGTCGAGGATGGAGAGCCATTCAAATGATCTCTGCTCCAAACGTTCGAGTCCTGTTCGCTGCCATTGAAAATTGGGCGGTGGCGGGACGTTGCAGAGGAACGTTACATCAGTGGAGATGAGCGAGGGATCAATGGATGGGGGTCAAAACACGATCGAGTGACCTCCCCCGCAGTGCGAACTGGCTGGGGTTGGGAGGGAAGGCGCCCCCTGCCAGAGGCTCGAAGCCAATGGCGGTTGCGCAGTGAGAGATTGAGAGTGGGCCCCGGTTCCGTGCCTTCGTGTTGTCCCAGCCCTCAAAGCTAACCACTGGCCGCCCATTCGGCCCGGCCTTATCGCGTGCCACCACCAAAAAAGCCCCTTCAATCGCTTTCCTCGGCTTCCATGCTGATTGCTGAGTGCGGGACGAGTCCGGCTTGCAATGAGAACATTGCGCACAGTAGGTAGGTGCTACTAGCAATAGCCCGAGCGGGAGATGCGAGGAGAATTAATGGGAAACACCAAACAAGCATGGCAATGCGAGAAGAAAAGCACTTCTCCATCTCTCATGGCAACCCCATTTTGGTGGAGTTTGCTGCATTTTCTCCTCCTCCTGGACCTCATCGACGATATGCTGTGGGGTTTTCATACTGCGTTCCCATGCTGCGTTCCCACTCATTCCCCAAGCCATGGGATCGGATATCTGTGGATATCTCGGACCTGAGACCACCAGCTTTACGACCCCATCGGCCGAGCTGTCCTATCTTGAGGGCAGTAGATGCTTCTGGCCCGAGCTGCACGTTGGTTCTGCGCATCACATCTGGGCCACGCGACCTGTCTCGTCAAGGCACACTGTGAATGCAAAAATGTTACATTGCCATAAGCCGGCACTAGCTGTTACGGCCTGCAGGTGTCATGTTGTACGCGCATACGAGCGCGCAGGCAGACGCACAGACGGACGGCTCCGTAGAATTGGAGGAGGGGGGGCTCGGGGGACCACTACCAACCTGCCTCTTGCCGCCAGACGTTGAAGTGCCATCCGCCTGCAGATCTGTGCTAGCCGGGAATGGGCGAGGTTGCTTGACTTGGTTTACAGTCTGGTCTGTTTCCCTTCCTGAGCGAGGCTTACTTTAAGCTTGTGCCGTACCCTCTTTTTAATTCACCCCCGCAGGGCCACTTTCAGTTCCTCCTTCATTTCGACGCTCGAGCGCGAACCCAGAGCCGCAAGCCCGACTTGGAATTTTCTTCCCGTCAGGCTTCTCTCCCTGCTTTAAGAAGGAAGGCACTGGCCAGCCGCCAACGCCCGCGCCCGGCATCTTCTCGCAGCTGAGCCCTGCACGAGCTGTCCACCCACACCACTCCGGCTCTGTTGTCGCTGACGAGTTCAGCCCGCCAAGAAAGAGGCTGCCCAACAGCGCTGAACTGCCGGCGCTATCGATTGACCGACTGTTTTAGCCGCGGTCGAGAGAATCTCCCGACTGGCGCGCGTGCTTTCTGTAAGGGGATTGAGGGTCCAAGTAAATTCGGAGGAGCTTTCTCTTGAACAAAAACAGCTGCAATGTCGGACGCCAAGGAGCAAGCACCGCAAGGTGTGGCCGACGAGCCACCCGTCGATAACGCCGCCAAGCCCGCCCCAGCGGAGCCCACGGCGGCCCCCGTGGTAGCGTCGGGACCCGGGTTCGAGCGGCCTGGGGGCTGGATGTACAAGCGGTGGAAGGTGGCGGGGCGCAAGTTCAACATCTGGTACGCGTCGCCCAAGGCGCAGCTGCTCGTGGTGTCGATGGTGTGCTTCCTGTGCCCCGGCATGTTCAACGCCCTCACGGGCCTGGGCGACGGCGGGCTCAGCGACAACGCGAGCGTGCAGGCAAAGGCAAACACGGCCCTCTACTCGACCTTTGCCGTCGTCGGCTTCTTTTCGGGCACCTTCGCCAACCGGCTCGGCATCAAGGCCACCACGGCCCTCGGCGGCCTCGGCTACTGCATCTACGCCGCCAGCCTCCTGACGTACAAGCACACGCAGAACGGCGGCTTCTGCATATTCGCCGGCGCCTTCCTCGGCGTCTGCGCCGGCCTGCTGTGGTGCGCCCAGGGCGCCATCATGATGTCGTACCCGCCCGAGTCGCAAAAGGGCCGCTACATCAGCTGGTTCTGGGTCATCTTCAACCTCGGCGCCGTCGTCGGCGCCTTCATCCCGCTCGGCCAGAACGTCAACAACATCACGGGCCCCGCCACCGACGGCACCTACATCGGCTTCATCGTGCTCATGGTGCTCGGCGCCACCCTGGCCCTCTTCCTCTGCAACAGCACCGACGTGGTGCGCGAGGACGGGTCCAAGGTCATCGTCATGAAGAACCCGTCGTGGCAGTCCGAGATCTGGGGGCTCTGGGAGGTGCTGATCGAGGCGCCCTGGATCGTCGCCCTCTTCCCCATGTTCTTCTCGTCCAACATCTTCTACGCCTACCAGCTCAACAACATGAATGGTGCCCTCTTCAACACCCGCACCCGCTCTCTCAATAACCTGCTCTACTGGCTCGGCCAGATCTTCGGCGCCATCTTCATGGGCTACGCCCTCGACTTCCCGGGCGTCCGCCGCTCCATGCGCGCAAAGATCAGCTTCGGCGTCCTCTTCGCCCTCACCTTTATCATCTGGGGCGGCGGCTGGGCCTTCCAGAGCAAGCAGCCGACGCGCGCCTTCGTCAAGGCCAAGGACAGCCCCTACGTGCACATTGACTGGACCGACGGCGGCGAGCACTACATCGGCCCGGCCTTCCTGCTCATCTTCTACGCCGTCTACGACGCCGTCTTCCAGACCTCCATCTACTGGTACATGGGCGCCCTGTCCAACTCGGGACGCAAGACGGCCAACATGGCCGGATTCTACAAGGGCATCCAGTCTGCCGGCGCCGCCGTCTTTTGGAGCCTGGACGGCGTCAACCAGCTCGAGTTTAACACCATCTTTGGTGCTACTGTAAGTCTTTTTGCTCCCGGCAGCTGTCGCATTCCCTTGTCGTTTGAATCATTGTGCTGACGAGGCTTGGCTCGTGTTTTTGAAGTGGGGTCTCCTGGCGGCCAGCATTCTCATCGCCGCCCCCATCATCTTCCTCAAGATCAAGGACACGGTCCCGGTCGAGGAGGATCTGAAGAACACGGACGAGAACATCGAGGACGTCGTTGCGCCGGGAGCGGTCGCTGAGAAGAAGGTCGATGTCTAAGGAATTTTTGCGAGGCCCTGTACATCGCCGCATTAATTGTTCTCATACCGATTCCATCGCGGCCTTGACGATCCATATACCTTAATAGTCTGTAGCTACGCGCCCCGGCGCTGATTTCTCATGTCTACTCGTGTCTAGGAACCGGATCGCGGGCTTGAATAGCCTGGAGTGGCGTGGGCTGTAGGGCTGTAGGCAGTTACAATACCAGGCAGACGTATCGAAATGTCTCGAAGAGAGGTCATGATATGTGTGTTCTGTTGAGAAGTGCCCCGGTTCTGATTGAGATCTAATGCGGGGTTTGGTGTTTTACTGCAGCACAGGTGCAAGCTAGGGTTGTTGTTGTTGTCGTTGTTGTTGTGACACGTGGGAACCCCTCGTGAAAAGTAGTTGTTGGGAAGTCGGCGATCGAGGGAGAGGTGTAATATGTATCGAAACGGGCAGTCGGCATTCCATGTCGCAGATGTATGATTTCGACGTCTGGAAGTGATCTGTGGCGAAGGCCGTTGGTGATGCCTGAAAATGGAAAAAAGGCTGCGACGCGCCGAGTACACGCGTCTGTCGCAGGGGAGGGCCGGCTATCGAAGCGCAAAGGTCACTGCCGCGGGCAACTCCCATCTGGACAATTCCAGACGCAGTTCTGCCAAGGTTGGACAGCAGGCGGTCTCGTGAACCAGAAATTAGAAGCAACCCCGCGTCGAGGCGCGAGAGGTTTGCTTTATTAGCCGGTGGGCCAAACGGGTGCGCGCGCATTGTCGACAAGCCTTGGCCCTCCACAAGCTTGGCTGAACGGCAGATGGGACACGGCCGGGCCAGCGGAGTCCAGTATAGCCGAGCCTGCCGGCCGACCGAAGCTCTGGATTTGTGGTGGGGGGCAGCTTCCTGCAGTGGGTGGTCCGCTGTTGACTAGGTGAACCCAGAGGTCGCCCACAAAGAATCGTAGGCGACAATGGGACAAGCGGGTGGTAGCATGACGGCCGAAATCATGCAGGTGGTCAATTGATGTCCGACAACATGTACACTCGCCCACCCAGGAAACCGGCGCAATTATATCCATTTTTCTTTCCCTCATCGTTCGAGAATCATGATAAAAATCGAGTGGTCGCCTTGGCCGGCGGAGCGGAATGACGTGTGGCTCGCGCGATGCCTGATTGGCGGAAGCTGGCCGAGCTCGCCAGGGTTGAGGCTGAAGTTGCCGCCTGTTGACGTCGGCCGGCTGGGATTTGGGCGGGGCTGAGTCAGGGGGTGCGACCACACAGCGCAGCGTTTCTCCACCAGGAGGGGCATGAGCCCATCCTGCGCACCGTTTGCACCTCCAATCCAATGATGGCCTCCAATGATGGGACGGATGGGGAGCGGAGCAGGAGCAAGCCGACTTCTTCCCAGCATGCAAATCACCTTAGCTGCGCCCGTGGAATGGTGGGTGGGTTACGCCTGCCCGGCCTGGTGGTGTGAGGCTACTTAAGCCCACGCCCGCTGCTGCTGCTTCTTGGTTCCAAGGCCTCGGCCTCGTCTTCTGCCTCTTTTTCTTTATGCTATATCCTCCACATCCGCCCAGCCTGATCCAGCCCCGACGCACTGCCTAGTACCGCATCACTCCCCCAGAAGCTTCCCGAAGGGCCCACGCCCCTCGTAGCCAGCTCGGCAAACCCGCCAACATGTCGAGCCAGATCTCGGCGGCGCTCAAGTCCCGCATTAAGCGGCCGTCGATGCTGAACAAGATCTGCAAGCCTGAGGATCTGCTCCACCACTTCCCCAACGGCGCCTACATCGGCTGGTCGGGATTCACCGGCGTTGGATATCCCAAGTGAGTGAGCCAGCAAGTTGCGGGACCCCTTGGCGCCGCTCAATGGCTTTGACTTGTCTCGTGGTGCTGACCCCCGACGTTTTCGCAACCCGTAGAAAGACCCCCACGTTCCTGGCAAACCATGTCGAGCAGAACAACCTGCAGGGCAAGCTCAGGTACTCCCTCTTCGTGGGAGCCTCGTCGGGCGCCGAGACGGAGGACAGGTGGGCGTCTCTCGACATGATCGAGAGGCGGAGCCCCCACCAGGTTGGCAAGTCCATCGCCAAGGGGATCAACGAGGGCAGGATAAACTTCTTCGACAAGCACCTGTCCATGTTCCCCACCGATCTAGTATACGTAAGACGACCAGGAAACAAGCACCCCATCCGGTGGCGCTCTCTGTGCTTTGTGCAGGCTGATGCTGACGTTACTTGTTGGTGCTTCTAAGGGATACTACACAAAGGATAGGCCAAAGAACAGCCTCGATGTTACAGTGGTGGAGGCGACCGAGATTCTGGAGGATGGCAGCATCGTGCCAGGAGCTTCAGTTGGTGCCACGCCAGAGCTCGTCCAGATGGCAGACAAGGTACGGCCGCATTTTTGACGCGTTTGCAGGTTCTACACTGCGTGTGAGGGAGTAGCCGGGCAGCTGACCAACGACTTACTACGCTCTGTATAGATCATCATCGAGGTCAACACTTCGCTGCCCAAGATGGAGGGTCTCCATGATATCACCATGACGGACCTGCCGCCAAACCGGAAACCGTACCTGGTTATGGCTGTCGAGGACCGTATTGGCCGGACGTCGATCCCCATTGATACCGACAAGGTTGTCGGCGTGGTGCACTCGGATTACCAGGACCAGACCATGCCCAACTCGGCCGAGGACGAGGCCTCGCGCGCGATCGCGAGCAACCTGATCGAGTTCCTAGAGCACGAGGTCTCCCATGGCCGTCTGCCCAAGAACCTGCTCCCACTTCAGTCCGGTATCGGCAACATCGCCAACGCCGTCGTCGGCGGATTGGCCAACTCGCAGTTCCAGAACCTCAAGGTGTGGACCGAGGTCATCCAGGATACCTTCCTGGACCTGTTTGATAGCGGTAAGCTCGACTTCGCGACGGCAACCTCGGTGCGCTTCTCCCCCGAAGGCTTCAAGCGCTTCTACGAACAGTGGGACACGTACAAGGGCAAGCTGCTGCTGCGGTCGCAATCGGTCTCCAATAGCCCCGAGATCATCAGGCGGCTGGGCGTCATCGGCATGAACACTCCCGTCGAGGTGGACATCTACGCGCACGCCAACAGTACGTGCGTCATGGGTTCGCGCATGCTCAACGGCCTCGGCGGCTCGGCCGACTTCCTGCGCTCGTCCAAGTACAGCATCATGCACACCCCCGCGACGCGCCCGACAAAGACGGACCCGCACGGCGTCTCGTGCATCGTGCCCATGTGCACACACATCGACCAGACCGAGCACGACCTCGACGTGGTGGTGACGGAGCATGGCCTTGCCGACGTCCGGGGGCTGAGCCCGCGCGAGCGCGCCAGGGTCATCATCAAGCAGTGCGCGCACCCCATCTACCAGCCCATCCTGCAAGGCTACTTTGACAAGGCCGAATTTGAGTGCCTGCGCAAGGGCATGGGCCACGAGCCCCACCTGCTCTTCAACTCGTTTGACATGCACAAGGCGCTCGTGGAAGAGGGCAGCATGCAAAAGGTCAAGAGCTGGTAAGGGCAGACTGGCCACTGAAGGCGTTGGTGGCGTGGGCTGGGAAGCTATGTTAAGCCACGGAAAAGTGGTTGAGGGAAAGAAATGCGATGCATCGCTGTTTAGCCGCCATATACCATATTCTATAAATAATTTTCCTCAAGTGCGCCTTTCGAGTCCTTCTTGCTTTCCCCTGGCGCACCAAACCGTCCACCTTGGCACGCGGCGTTCCTGGCAGCTAATGCGTGGTGCACGCTAGTTTAGCCTCCTGACATTCTTACAACATGGTTGTTTACTCTTCCAACCTAACAAACCTCGGTTGGGTCGAAGCATATGTGGACATGAAGCAGAGATCTGTTGAGATCGCCACCAGCCTGACAGTTCACCAGGGCTTGTTCGCTCCAATGAGCAGGCAACCGAAGTAAATGCATCATCTAAGCTGTCATTATGCAAGTTCATACTTCAGGTTTGAAGTGAAGGAAGCTTTGCCAGACGTTCTTGGCTTTGGCATATAATGGATAGATATTCGCCCTGCTATGGATCATATTTCTATCTCCGTTTCGTTCCACTTCGGTCATCCGTATCGCATCTGTGTTGCTTGACATACCGCCATCATCCATACTACTCACCCCATATTATTTCCCAGTCGGCTTGGCCATATATGGGCAGAATGGCGAGGGCGCAGGCGAGGGATCCGGAGAGAGGGGAGCGCGGCGACGGCGAGCCGAGGGACAGCGTGTGGTCGACCATCGGCCTAATCTTTATCGTGGCCGTGGCTTTGGCCATGTGCGCGCTCATGGGCGTGGCACTCGCCCAGATCATCATGACGGCCCTCGGCAACGGCAACGGCCCGACGAAGCGCGACGTCGTCGTCCCCACCAACCCCGGCTTGCTGGTGCACGGCTTCCCCGCCCCCGCCGCCCTCCTCGCCAACCATACGGGCGGCAGCCGCACGCATGCCGTCGTCCAGGTCCGCAGCGCGCCGCGCGTGGAGGAGGACGAGGGCGCCGAGGCCGAGCAGGCCGAGGCCGAATCGGCCGCCGACCTCGACCTCGACCTCGACTCCGAGGCGGCCGCCGACGCGGCCGAGGCCGGCGAGGCCACCCCCACCAAGGCCAAGACGGCCGCGGCCGCGGCGCAACGGCTGCCGACCATGGCGCCCCTGACCATCGTCGAGGTGTACGAGCCCCAGACCCGGACGGCCACCATCAGCTACTGGCCCGACATGGCGGAGCCGACGTCGGTCATGATCCAGCCCGCGCGGCCCACCATCAAGCTCCGCCCGGGCATCGGCGGTCTGCAGCCGTGGTGGCACCGGCCCCAGGTGACGCCCAAGATCCCCAGCGGCGAGCCCAAGGCCACGGCCCAGGCGACGGCGGCGGCGGCGGCGGCGGCCAAGGCCACGGCCCAGCAGACCACCAGCACCGCCACCACCACCACTACCAGCGCCCGCCACGACATGTGGGGCACCCCCGTGTCGTCGTCGGTCACGGCCTTCATGCAGGCGGGGGCGGCCGCGACACACAAGACCACGTCCGTCTTCTACACGGTGTCGCGCCGCCCGGGCCGCGGCCGCGTGGTGCCGGTCAAGTGGCCGACGGCCGTGCCCGCCGCCAAGAACGCGACGACGGCGGTCGGCAGCGTCGCCAGGCCGGCCTCCGCCCCCGCCGCCGCTGGTGGTGGTGGTGGTGGTGACGTGCCGACGACGGCGGCGTCGGACAAGAGCGCGGCCGGGTTCGAAAAGGCCAACGAAAACCACACGTCGTCGTCGTCGTCGTGGGACGTGGTCGCGTCGCTCGACGACCCGCGCGCCAAGGGCAGGCTGGTGGTCACGTACGCAAAGGACGAGCGCATCCTCGAGGACTGGGCCGCCAGGGGCGTCGACTTTGTGGACGGCCGGACTGTAGAGGCGGCCGCCAAGGACGACGACGACGATGACGGCGACGATGCCAAGCCTCCCGCCTCCACGGCGCCGGCCAAGGTTGTCGGCCGCCCCGCCATGGTGCTCGCCGACGGCACCGTGGTTGTGCACCGGCGGCCCAGCGGCGGCAACAAGACGGCAGGGAGCAGCAGCAGCAGCAGTAGCAGCAGCCCGTTCAAGGACGCGGCCCGGGGCGGGCCCGCGCCCTTCAGGGGGGTCGCCGGGCCGGGTCCCGTGGTGGCGAGCAGCGGGGACCGGGCCCTGTTGAACGTCACGCGCGCTGCCGCAAGCGTGGCCGCGGCGCACCAGTCGGGGGAGATTACGTCTGCGGCCGTCTAACAGCTTGGTTGGAGGGGGGGAGTGTGCCCTGGGTGTTTATTAGGTTGATAGCTTGCTCGAAAAGGCCAACCTTGGATCTAGGAACCACATCCAAGTGGAATTTGTGATTCGGCGTCTGCTTTGTGACTGCGACTGCGACTTCTCTAGTGTTTTGACCCGCGCAGTGATGTTGCAGAGCGTCGATGTCCTTCCCCGCTCCGATAGGCGGCCAAGTGCGACTTTGCCCGTCGCAGCTCGGCTAGGAAGGCGGGGGATCTCCAATCACGCAATCCGTTCCGACTATTAGTTCAGTTGGAGCTTAGAGTTAGCAACGGGTGATTTTGAAGGACGCAGGAAGTGCATAAAAGGGCTGCACGGAAATTGAATGCGTAAACCAGCAAATCTGGACACCAAGAAACAATCGCCGGCCACTTTATCACTAACACGGGGTGAGAGACACTTTTGGAAACACAAAGTCAAGACAGCTATCAGAAACAAAACATGGCCGCCGCCGCCGTCCAAACGCCAGCTGCACCTCGCCCGCCGGGCCAGCCGGACATCACATACGCGCCGGACATGGTAAAGTACCAGCAGCGGACGGCCAGGAGGCTCAGGGACGAGGTGCTCAGCAGGGAACTCCCCGAGGGCTTCCCGGCCGAGCTCAAGGGCGACCTCGTGTGGGACGGCGAGACCCTCACCGCGAGCTCCGACTGGACCTATGTGCTGTCGCCCGAGCAGCTGGCCGAGATTGACGCGGCGGTCAAGCATTTCAAGTGTACGTGATCTTTTTTTTTTCTATAGACGGAAACCACCACATACTCACCATACCGCCCATCAGCACTGGGCCTCCCACTCGGCCACGTCGACGCCACCACCTTCCCGCTGCCCAACCTACGCCCCGAGCTGCGGCGGCTGTCGCGCGAGTTGCACCTGGGCCGGGGCTTCTTTGTGATCCGGGGCGTGCCCGTCGACGCCTACACGCGCGAGGAAAACGTCGTGATATACGCGGGCGTGTCGTCGCACGTGGCTGCGATCCGGGGCCGGCAGGACCACGTCTACGAGGGCAAGGCGGCCGACGTGACGCTGACGCACATCGTGGACCTGTCTAGCCGCCGCAGCGGAACCGGGACCGGGTCTGGTTCCGTCATTGGCAGCCCGGCCTACACGGCGGACAAGCAGGTGTTCCACACGGACTCGGGCGACGTCGTCTCGCTCTTCGCGCTCGGCGAGGCGGCCAGCGGCGGCGCGAGCAAGCTGGCCAGCACGTGGCGCGTCTACAACGAGCTGGCGCGGACGAGGCCGGACCTGGTGCGGACGCTGACCGAGGACTGGCCGGTTGAGAAGTAGGCCGTTTTTTTCTTCTTTTTTTTCTTTCTTTTTTGTCTTCATCTGCTTGTGGTGCCAGGGGGGTAGGGGGTTAACGGTTTGCTACCAACATAGCTTCGGCAAGTCTCACAACAGCCGCTTCTTCCTCCGGCCGCTCATCTACCACCAGCCGGCCCGGGCAGACGGGACAGCGCCGGAGCGGGTGCTGCTGCAGTACGCGCGGCGCAACTTCGTCGGGTTCGGGGCGCTCCCGCGCGGGGCCGACGTGCCGGCGCTGACCGAGGCGCAAGCCGAGGCGCTGGACGCGCTGCACTTTTTGGGCGAGCGCTTCCACGTCGCCACCGACTTCCGCAAGGGCGACATGCAGTACGTCAACAACGTGGCCGTGTTTCACGCGCGCGACGGCTTTACGGATACGCCTGAGAAGCAGTTGAGTTTTCCTTTGCTTCTTCTTCTTTTTTTTTTTTTGTTAATGCCGATACCATCACCTGGAAGCTGACTGTCACTTTTGCGAATAAAAACAAGACGCCACCTGGTCAGGCTCTGGCTGCGAGACCCCGAGTACGCGTGGGATACGCCCGAGAAGCTCCGCCAGCGCTGGGATGGCGTCTATGCCGGCATCACGGCCGAGGCGCAGGTTCTCCCGCTGGAGCCGTTTGTGCGCGGGGCGGCCAACGGGGGTGCGAGGAAGGCGTAGAGGAAATGTATGTCTAGGGTGCGTATGTTGCCTTTGAATGGCGCAATGTATTGGGTTTTGGGCGCAACTGCCCTTGTCGCTGCTCGAGATGCATTTGAACTTGGTCTTTGTATAACCAACAGCCCAGTCTGTGAGGGCAAGCTGTAGTTGTGCAAGTGCAAACCAAGACGTGCTCTACTGTTTCTATATGCTGTCCGTGGCTCATTTGGCCGCCGTCCTGAGGACAAAAATCGTCCATCTCTTGGTACCGTCACTCTCCCAAGACAGACCAAAAGCGGCCCAATCAGGCGACCGAAGCATGTCGCAGGATTATCGCGTTTACTTTTTGATCGGCACGACTTGCATGGGCGAGGTGACGTGCTGGCTTGGCCCACACCAACAAGGAAGGTCCTCCTGCCACGCAAACCCCCGATCCAGCCCCGACACGGCTTGAAGCCTATGCATGGGCCTTTGAGGGAGGACGGCCGTGTGGACGGCTCTCTGGGCATGCAGCCGCTCCCAAGACGACGAAATAGATTGTGCCATCGCGCCAAGCAATACGCTTATCGCTCGGACCAGACAGCTCCATCCATCTCCCGCGTGGGATGCGAGGATGCCTGCTGGGGTGAGGGAGGCCGATAAGGCTTTTTCTTGTCTCACATGAACCTAACCTACCTAGTTTGGTACGGTACTCCTCCGGGGAGCACAGGAGAAAGGTAGTGGCACCCAAGCACAAGCTCGCCACCCTCCATGGCGCCAGATTTCTCCATCTTGTCCGGCCAGCCATACAAAAAGCGTGCCCGGTCGCCCTCTTGCCTCCAGCCTAGCTTCCAATGTAGTCTCCTTAGCTCCGGGGAATCTGCCCGCCTATTAGACCGTGGTGTTACGCGGACGTCCTGACCCAACGGTCCTGACCCAACGCCGCTCAGCTCGGCCCTGCCGCAAGCTTACAAGCACCGAGCTCCATGGCGTTCTGGAAGGGCAACACCACGGCCGCCACGGCCCACGGCCCCGGCTACAGCTCCGACTCGGAGCCGTCGGTGATCCACGACGGCGACCTCGCCTACACGCACGCAAAGGGCGGCAATGGCTCCCGGGCCGCCTACCAGGAGGCCGTCGGCGCCCCCGTCGAGACCAAGTCGCCGCTCGGCTACCACGTCGGCTGGCTGACCATCATCTTCCTCAACGTCAACCAGATGATTGGGACGGGCATCTTTTCGACTCCGTAAGGTCGGCCTCTTTCCTTGATCAAATCCAATTTGCTTGCCAGGATGCACTACTAATACTAACCCAACCCTTCTCGACAGCGGCTCCATCCTCGGCCGGACTGGGTCTCCCGGCCTCGCGTTGATCTACTGGTTCATCGGGACGCTGATGGCCATGGCCGGCTTCGCCGTCTACCTCGAGCTGGCCAGCTACTTCCCGAACCGCAGCGGCTCCGAGGTGGTGTACCTGGAGCAGTCGTACCCGCGGCCCAAGCACTTCTTCCCCATCGCCTTTGCCGTGCAGTCGGTGATCCTGTCCTTCAGCAGCAGCAACGCCATCGTGCTGTCGCGCTACGTCTGGCGCCTGGCCGACAGGACCCCGACCGAGTGGGAGATGCGCGGCGTGGCCATCGCGGCCTACACGCTCGCCGTCGTGTGCGTCGTGGCGCACAACAAGTACTCGCTCTGGGCCACCAACGCCATCGGAGCCCTCAAGATCGGCACGCTCGTCTTCATCAGCATACTGGGCTTCGTCATTCTCGGCGGCAACGTCAGCCGCGTCCCTGACCCGGGCCGCAACTTCCGCGACGCCTTCGCCGGCACCACCACGCAGGGCAACAGCCTCGCCAGCGCCCTCGTCAGCATCGTCTTCTCGTACACGGGCTACGCCAACGCCTTCAACGTCGTCAACGAGATCAAGAACCCGATCCCGAAGCTGAAAGTCTACGGCTCCGTCTCGGTCCTGATCGTGGCGGTGCTGTACATGCTCTGCAACGTCGCCTACTTCTCGGCCGTGTCCAGGGCCGAGTTCGCGGCGTCCAAGGAGATCGCGGCCTCGGTCTTCTTCGTCACCGTCTTCGGCGAGGGCGGCGCCGTCACGGCGCTCAACGTGCTCGTGCTGCTCAGCGCCTTTGGCAACCTGCTCGCCACCCTCATCGGCTCGTCGCGCATGATCCGCGAGATCGGGCGCCAGGGCGTGCTCCCTTACCCCTGGTTCTGGGTCTCCACCAGGCCCTTCGGCACCCCGATCGGCCCTTACCTGCTCAAGTGGGCCATGACCTTCCTCATGATCGTCGTGCCGCCCGCCGGCGACGCCTTCCAGTTCGTCGTCAGCCTCAAGACGTACCCGGACGGCGTCTTTCACTTTGCGATGGCCGTCGGCGTCTACCTCATCCGCCACCGCCGCGCGCGCGCCGGCATCCCCGCGAGCGAGTTTCGGGCATGGGACGTCGCCGTCGTCTTCTTCATCCTGATCCAGGTCTACATCCTCGCCATGCCGTGGTGGCCGCCCGCGGGCGGCATCTACGCCGGTGACGTTTCCTTTTTTTACGCGACCTACTGCCTGGTCGGTATTGCAATGTACGTTGCCAAACATCCCATCTGGCCGCCATTTTCTGCCATTACGTCCTTTTCATTACCCCCCAACACTGTTCACCCCAGCTAACCCACTCTCTTCCCCCCAAAGCCTGGTCGTCTGCTACCTCTACTACTACCTGTGGATCACGCTCCTGCCCAAGTGGAAGGGCTACCGCATCCGGCCCGAGATCCTCGACGTCGACGAGGGCTCGGGCGCCAACACGCACCGGCTGATCAAGGTGCCGCTCGCCGAGCTGGACGAGTGGGACGCGACGCACGACGACGCCGGCTTCCTGCGCCGCCGCACGCGGGTCCCAGGCGCCAGCGCTGGCGGCAACGAGCTGTCGGAGAATTCATCCAACGCCGACGGCGCCGAGCGCGTGGCGGTCGACGAAAAGCCCAAGGCCTGAGGGTTTACTGTTTGGTAAAGGGATTCTCGACGCGGTCTTTTTAAGTTTGGTTGTGCGCCAGGTTCTGGTCTTGACGTTTTGCCAGTGAAGCAGGCTTATTGGTTAGATGCCTTGTTGATGTTACATGACACTGGCGTTTGCTCTGTTTCCAACGAATGCGACCTCGATATCCAGTCTCTGCCAACCATGATTCGCGTAGAGGCGGTGCTGCTGAGCTTACCAAATACAGTGACATTGGACGTTTGACTGACAAGGACGAGAAATAAGCTCCCGGCCCTCGGCACAGATGCAGTGCGATGTCGGAGGCAATCAAATTATTATCTAGGTAGGGTGGTAGGTACCTACGCAGGTACCAAAAGTCTCGTGTGCTACAACCAACTCGAGCCACAACCAACGCAGACCGCAATGCAAGACCCCGAAACCACCCCAGCCCCGGCCCCGGCCTCCTCGCCCTCCCCCACCGACAAGTACGACCCGGCCCGGCTCTTCCGCGTCCCGGGCCTGGTCGCCGTCGTGACGGGCGGCGGTACCGGCATCGGGCGTACTATGGCCCTGGCCCTGGCCCACAACGGCGCCCGCCGCGTCTACGTCCTGGGCCGCCGGCTCGACAAGCTGCACGAGACGGCGCTGCTGGGGCCCCGCCGCCCTTCTCCGAGCCAACCCGGCGACGGCGACGAACCCGTCATCGTGCCCATCCAGACCGACGTGACCAGCAAGGCCCAGCTGGCCGCGGCGGCGGCGCGCGTGGCGGCCGAGGTCGGGCACGTCAACCTCGTGCTGGCCAACGCGGGCGCGACGGGGCCGGACCTGGTCGGGGTGCTGCCGGCGACGGCGGACGGGCCGAAGCCGACGCCGGCGGAGCTGCAGCGGCACGTGTTCGAGCACTGGACCGAGGAGCGGTTCGGGCGCGTGCTCGAGGTCAACGCGACGGCGCCCTTCTTCACCGCCGTCGCCTTCCTGGAGCTGCTGGACCGCGGCAACAAGGCGGGCAACACGCCCGGCGTGCCCAGCCAGGTCGTCGTCACGGCCAGCGTGGGCTCGTACGTGCGCGCCGTGCTGGGGAAGGGGGGGATCCCGTACAATGCGAGCAAGGCGGCCGCGAACCACATCTTCAAGATGCTGGGGAATCTGTTCCTGGGGTACGGCATCAGGGCCAACATTCTGAACCCGGGCGTGTTTCCGAGTGAGTTGCCTTCCTTGTGTGTTGCGGCCGGTGACATATGTCGTATATGCACGTAACCAGATGGCTAAACCCGGAAACAGGCGAAATAAGCGAAAAGTTCGTCTTTGACGCCAAGACGTTCCCGTCCGCCTTCATCCCCGCCGGGCGGTTCGGGGACGAGACCGACATTGCGGGCGCCACCCTGTTTCTCTGTTCCAGGGCGGGGGCATATCTCAACGGCCTGTCGCTGCTGATGGACGGCGGCGTGCTCACAATGGTGCCGTCGACATACTAAAAAAGGTAAAACGGTAGGAAGCACGGATACCAGGGAAGCTTATGTATTTGACACCCAAAGCAAATGCCATGTGAGCATCACACATCTGGCTCTATTATCTCATTATGGAAAACATTAACCGGGGACTTGTCTTCCCCTTCGTCCATCCCTCTTTGGAATGTTCCGTCTCGGCCGTCACAAAAACAGTTCATATAACCTTTCCTTCGGAGTGCGCGCCCCCACAACAAAAGCGCATCTAACCAAGGCGGGCAGGGGTGTAGCTCTGGTCCGGGCTGACCGCCTTGCCGTTGACGAGCTGCTTGTCCGTGTACGCGGGCCAGGCGATGAGGCGCTTGACGTTGTTGACGACGGCGAGCGTCGTGAAGCCCTGGCCCTCGCCGAACTGGCCGCTCCAGCCCGAGGTCACGGTGTAGTCGCCGCAGGTGGCGCCCGTCTGGGGGGCCCGCGACGCCTGCTTGCCGGCGGCCACCTTGTAGGCGCACGCCGTGGCGGAGCCGCTGCCGGCGTCGATGGCGAAGCTGACGGCGCACGACGTGTCGGCGTCGTTGCAGGTGCGCTTGAAGTCGACAATCGTCCACTGCGAGCCCTCGGCCATCTTGGAGACGGCGGCGAGCTTGCCGGCGGCCGGGGCCGGGGCGGCCGAGGCGGCGGCGGCCAGGAGGGTGATGAGGGTGGTGGTGGTGAACTGCATTTTGATGGTGGTGTGGTTGAAGACTCGACGGAGTTGTGTTGTAGGGAGGAAAGAAGGAGAGTGTTGGATTAATGGTTTTTGTTTTGTAGAGATAGTATTAAGTGAGTCCTGATGGTGTTGGATCGGGATGAGGACAGAAAGAATAACATGTCTGTCCTGGGCGAGGAAGCCATCGTCTTTATACTCAGTCCTTGCCTCCCCCTGCTACCCCTTTTTCCTCTCCTATGGACAGCTGCAGAGCCGCGCCATCATCATGGCATTGAGCCTCCTCCCCTTCTCCCGCCCAGCTCCACGGGCCGAATGCCAAGTGCCCCAGACCCCGGCCCGGGAGCCCCGGCCACAGTGCCGGCAGTTCCACTCCCGCGGCTCGTGTCCAACGGTGGTGCTTGAACACGATGGGGTTGGGGGAAATTGGCTAGCGGTGTGAACAAGCCTCTACGGCAAGCCTTGGTTCTGTAGTGGAGCACTCGTATCCAAAAAAAAAAAAAAAAAAAATACGGATGGGCTAGGGGTGGGGCTGCTGGGATGCGCTAGCATCGAACACTTGCTTTCCCCTAGCGGAGCCGCCAAACGTCACTGCCCCAGAGATTTTGAACATCCTTGGAGATTTTTGGGGGAAGGGTCGTAGCGTCGTCGGCTTTTCCGTAAAACACTCCTGTCTATTTGGTAATCCCATCCACTCAACTCGCACGGCTGCTTGGAAGAGGCAAGCCGAAGCCTCGGTTACGGCGGGTTTTCCTCGTCTTCTTCCAGAAATTTCCCCGTCGAGTGTCGTATTGGCTGTGATGCAAGACAGTGTTTTCTACACACGCCCTGAAATCCAAACCATGCATCCAAAAGGCTTGGAGGGCATCTGACTTCTCCAATCCTCCCATACGATAAAATTCCCACATGACAAAGAAGTGAAACAGAACGGGCAGCGGTCTATAACCGCGTACATATACCTCTACACTTTTTTGCTCGAGACAAACGTGACGAGACAAACCCGCCAAAGGACTCGTCCCACGTTGCAGCCAGTCGCAGCTTAGGGGTAGTCCCTCCTGGCAGCCACGATGGCGTTGAGCAGGGCCGAGCCGTGTGACAGTATCGTGTTCTGGGAGCTGCCGCCGACCAGCACGGCGTACTGGTAGCGCCCGTCGGACTCGGGGATCCAGATGGGCCCGCCGGACTGGCCGCCCGCGGCGTCGACGTCAGACAGCAGCGCGCCCCCCTCACTGCTGCCGCAGCCGGGGTTCTTGCGGACCTTGAAGCCTGCAAGAGGTCGGACAGAGTCTAGAGTTAGTCTGACATGTTCTTGCTGAGAGGAGACAGCAAAAAGAATATAAAAAAAAGGAAAGAAAAATAAAAAGCACATACGGTTCTGCGCATAGGGCCCCGACGGCGACTTATCCCCCGGGTAGCCGTAGTTCCACCAGTCGGCGCTGGCCCCCGACAGCCTGTCGGGGAAGGTTTTGAACCCGAGGTAGCCGTTACCCGGGTTCCTGTTGAGGATAAAGAGCGCCCAGTCGTCCTTCCAGCCGCACCCGCCATTGTCCTCGTTCTTGCCGGGGATGCGGATGACGAGGGTCGCGAACGCCGTCGGCAACCGGTCGCCGTTGTAGTAGGCCGGCGAGAAGGTGTACGACGCCCCGTCCACGACGCAGTGCCGCGCCGCCAGCAGCACGCGCGCGCCCACCATGGACCCCGAGCAGATGTAGTTGCCGTTGGGCGACTGGATCAGCAGCCGGCCCATGGCGGACCAGGGGTACGTCGTGTCCGTCTTGAGGACGCGGTCGTCGGCCCCGAAGACGTCGCGCCGCCCCAGCACCTCCGCGGGGGCTGGGGCTGCTGCCATCTCGGGCGAGGGGGCCGCCACGGTGGCGTTGCCGCCCTTCTCCATCACCTCGGCCACCGACAGGGTCAGCACCTCGGGCGCGGCCACGCGCAGGCGGCCGTTGTCGGCGGGGAAGGGGCCGGCCATCCAGTTGTGGATCCCGCTGCTGCCGGGTGCGGCGGCGGCCGCCTCCTGGCGGGCCACGGCGGCCGCGCTGCAGGCGGCTGCCAGGGGGAGGAGGGAGAGGAGATGCATCGCCGGGGAGGGGTAAGGGGGTTGGTTGATGATGCGTGGGGGGGCTTTGGTGCTGCCGCTGCTGGGGAGGTCAGAGGAGAGCTGCGGGCCTGTCTTTTAGAGCAGACATCTTGGGAATATTAGAGAGCCGTTCCAGTCTCTCTTTATAGGAAACCTGAGAAGCCGACTCAACACCATAATGTCATGAAACAGCCCAGGCACGCACTTCCAGGCAGACACACACACGCCCGCGAGCAGACGGATGTGCCGCACACACCAAAGTGATGGCGTCCTGGGGCCTTGTCATCAAGTCACAAGGTGCAACTATTCCCAGTCCTCGGTCGCACATGGGCTGCCATGTCTTGGCCTACATGGCAATATTGGCCCGGGCCAGAATCCTGCCTGCGTGGTGGTCAGAGGTTCTAACCACCTCCGGCGCCGTGCAGGATGACCAAGGGGCATCCTTCAAATGCTACCTAGCAGAGGCTGATCAGAATCAAGGCTTTTTTTTAATTTGCCCGTGGTGTCTCGTTGGTCCGGCGGCTTAGGCCCCAATGTCTCCGTCGACTGTTGGCCGTGAAGGGGGAGAGGGTGGCCCATCGGACTCGGACTCGCACTTCCTAGATCTAACTGCCTATTCCGGACCCCAAAAACAATAGTCTTCCAATAGCGCTCCGTCAGCTGCCGGCCCTGTCTCATTTGAGTGTGCTTACTTATGGTCCAGACCCCTGATACGTTTTGTTCCTGCCATGGTCGCATTCCTTTTGAGACCAAAACCACGTGAGAGGCAGTTTTTTTCCCCCCGAAACCAATAGCACTGCAGCCACGGCGTGAGTCCGATCCAGTTAACCTGGACCGCCAACGGGGCTTAATGTCATCAATACAAAAGATCGTACATGTTGGTGGACCAATATGCCCCTGAGCCGTGCTGCACAACACAAGAAAATCGAGGCGGCTCTGTCAGCTCAGCAGCGCCAAGTTTCCTGAAGCTTAATTGGGAATCACTGTAAAGATATACGCATAAGTTTAACGAAAAAGATTGTTCACTACCAACGTAACGAGCAATAAAAAAATCTCGGCGGCAACCAACCAGATTCGATGCCACACCTCCTTATACGAAATATCCATGCCAACTCGGCGCAGCAAAATGCAAAACGTTATGACAAGAGTGGGATTCGAACCCACGCCACTTGCGTGACTAGCAAATCCCTCAGATCTCGAGATCCTCCTGAAGCTAGCGCCTTAGACCGCTCGGCCATCTTGCCTGTGTTGATTGGATGGACGGCCGGTTGTGGATGCGATCCCAAGAGAGAAGTGACTCAGGCGTATGGGGGTAGGCGGGTAGATATGTGCTCCGCTGCCCGTCAGATGCAAGCCACAAGGCTTCGTTGGTTGATCATGCAGTAGATATGGAAGTCAACGGGCATTATGCCCTCATTTCCAAAGGCGAGCCCTTCCTTCCCCGACTCCATAGGTCTGTCTCTCTTGTCAGCCTTGCACATCACCAACGCGAACAGGGCAACCCCACCACCACCTGCCTGCTGGGTAGACCTGGATTCATAGAATCGTTGCCAGGAAGGTTATGATACGTAATGGCATAACTACAAAGTATATCGAAAACGAATTCCCGATGACCCGTGACGGCCCCAGCCAAGAGTGCCCTGTATGCGACAGTCGCGCCGTGCTTTCCGGTTCCGGAAACAAAGAAAAGAAGATTAAAATAATGAAAAAAAAAAGGTATATGTACATCAACCCGTGTGCTCGCCTGGATTATCGCGCTTGGGCGCTACCGCCCCTCTTGATATTTGCTCGTCCACAGCACGGGCAGGTCCCCCGCCGCAACGCCCCTCGGAGCCGCCCCCACCACCGGCCCAGCGGCGCGTCCTAGCGCTTCCTGGCGGCCGGCGACGCCACCGGCGCGGCGCCGTCCTGGGCCGGGGCCGGCGAGCCGCACTTTGCGCACACGAACCGCTGCTGGCGCGCCACGCCCGAGCGCTTGGCCTTGAACTCGCGCCCGCCGCAGCGCCGGCACGCCATGTCGTCGTCGGAGCCAATTGACGCCACGTCCGAGCTCATGCGGCTGACCATGGACAGCCGCGACGCGCTGGGGATCGAGGGGAGGAGGCTGTGTCGCCGCTGGTGCTGCTGCTGGTGCTGCTGCTGGTGCTGCTGCTGCTGCTGCGGCCGGCCATCCGTGCTGCCGACGTCTCCCGTGGACGCCTCTGCCGGGCCCGACTTTGGCGCCGTCCCGCACGCCCGATCCGTGGGCGCCGACGCCAGAACCTCCCTGGCGCCTGCGGCGCTGTCGGCGCTGTCGCCAAGAGCAAACTCAACAGACTTTAGGGGAGGCGTCACAGCAGGTGACGATTTTTGCCGCAATCTCCCGCCTCCAAGAATGCCTTGCCTGTCCCCTGGCGTGTTCGAGAGCGGAGTGCGAGACTTCTTGTCCGAGGTTCCGTTTGCGTCCCTGTCCTGGTCCTTGTGCTTGACATCGCCCTCCGTGTCCCCTTTTGCCGTCATGTCGCTGCTATCCCGACCATGGCCGCCTGGACCAGGACTGCCGCCGTCCTTGCCTGAGCCACCGCCTCCCATCCCGGGAATGTTGCCAATAGACATGCGCAGATTGGGCATACGAGGCCACTTGATGCTCCACAACCCAGTTGCTGACATCAGACCAGTACCGCCTTCAGCCTGTTCTTTCGTACCCTTGGTAGGAGGACCTGCCTCGGTGACAGGGGTCTGCTCCTCACCAGCCTCATTTGCAGCGTTGCTACTCTGCTGTTCATGTTTCGCCATCGGAGCGGCGCGGTCTGCGTCATTGCTGTCGTCTCCGATAACAAACGAGAATGCAGGGGTTGGCGGTTCCGTTGGGGTTTGATTCGTGTCCGCTTCGTCTGGCTTCTGGTCATGGCCATCGCGCTGCTTGTCTCTGAGAAATATAGCAGGGGGGCCGCCGGGGACGCGAGCGCCGCTGAACGTGCTAGACGCCGGGCTGTTCAGAACGAGATCCTTCTTTCTGTCCTTGGGCACCAGAGGCGAGCTGTGGATGTAGAGCTCCCGCCTCCGCTCGCTCGCAAGGTTCGCGTTGGGGCTCCCGCTATTGCTCTTAGATGGGCTGATGCTGCGTTCGCTTCTCGGAGCCCTGTCGCTAAGCGCCGGCGACCCGGCCACACTGCTGACGCTACCCGCTCTGTCGTCAGACTCGACCCCACTTCGCCACGAAAGGATATGATCCGAGCTAGCAACAAAGCCGCTTCCTGGCGCAATGGGAGTGGACATGGAGCCGTGCCGCGAGCGTGGGCCGCCGCTGGAAGCACTAGTCCGCGTCAGAATACTCGCGCTACGGCCAACGAGGCTGCCAGTCCGGCGGCTCAGGACCGAGGCTGTATCAAAGCCGTCAGTGCGCCGCCTGAAGGCGCAGTCCTGCCGGAACACCTTGATAATGCCTGCATCGTCTGACGTGACGATAATATTGCCGTCGTAATGTGTTGATCGCGCAAGGTACGCTGGCGACTGTTCCGCCTTCCTCGCTTTGGCCATGCTGCCCATTGTCTGCCCCGCCTCGGACAGGGCCGTTTGGCTGTGGTTGTGAGCGGCGGCTTCGTGAGACACAACAGACGGCGGCGGAGAGCGCGCGGCGGCGGCTGCCTCCTCTGCCTCACCCATCGACACCAACGTCACTGGCGGCGGGTTGCACAAATCATAAACCGGATCGCCGCTATTCCCCAGCAGCTGCCGCGTCCGTGTCGGCGCGAATATGGCCGTCGTGACGACGGCGGCATGTGCCGAGAAGCACTCGCATGGCCCTTTATCACCCTTCAGGTTGTCCACCCCTCCTCCACCCGTCTGCGAACCGTTTTGACCCCCACTCGCGCCGTCCTCGGCCCCAGCAGCACCAGGAGGCGGCCGGCCGAGGCTCCATATAAAAGTCTTGCGATCTTCGCTGGGGCAGATTACATAGCTGCCGTCGTCGCTGAAGCTCGCGCAAAGCTGCCCAACAGCGTGGTCGTGTCCCTTGAACTTGGCGTCCAGCGTCTTGTCGCGCAGATTGTAGATGCGCACACGCGCATCAGTTGACGTTATCAGCACCTTGACCTTGTCGCCCGTGCTGCTCCCGGAGAGCTCCGCCGTCTGGATGCCCGTGATCTTGCTGCCCTTGGCGTTCTTGCCGCGCGACGAGCGTACGTGCAGCTGCGACTGCAGCTTGAGACCTTGGGTCTCGTAGAAGTTGCAGATGCCGCTGAGCATTCCCGCCATGGCCACCGAGCCGTCGGGCGAGAAGGCCACGGCGGTGATGAGGTCCGCCGTCTCGGCCGAAAACGCCACCGCCTTGTCGGGGATGCTCCATAACCTCAGGGTGGCATCGAGGCAGCCGGCGAGGAAGAAGCGGTCGTCGAGCGGGTGGAAGGCGACCTTGCTGACGAATTCGCTGTGGCGGAAGCTGCACAGGCATTCGCGGCGGCTGACGTGCCACAGGCGCACTGTTCGGTCCATCGACGTCGACAGCAGGAAGTTGTTCTTGCTCCAGCTCAGGTCCAGGATCTCGCCCGTGTGGCCCTCGAACTCGCGCACAGGCTTCTCCCGAAACACGGGCGCGCTAAGCCTCTCCCCGCCAGCGGCGCCGCGAGTCGCCTCCTCGTCTTCCTCGTGCATGCGCCGCTCCTCGTGCGTCGAGATCACCGCCCATACCCGCACCACCATGTCCCGGCCTGCTGCTGCCAGGAACCTGCCGTCTCGGCTGAACTCGGTCGCCCAGATGGCCCCGCCCGTTTTCGCCACCGTCCTGCCCATACCGTCGGCCGACGAGACTGTGACGAGGGGTGTCTTAGCCGCGTCCACCGTGGCCGGGTTCGGTCCGCCGCTATCCTTGGGCGGTCTTGTGCCGATCAGCTCCTGTGCCAAAAACATGCGGTTGAACTCTCGGTTTTTCTTGTTGTGAGCCTTCGTGCGGATGTAGCGAGGAGGCTCCTTATGATGCGGTATGAAGCCGCCGGCACCGACGGTCGAAAATACTCGGGCATTGTTACCGTCGGGTCGCTGGTCGCTAGGCTCCGAGCCGTTGTCGTCGCCGTCGCGGTCGCCCTTCTTCTTGCTTCCGCGCATGCTGAGCCGACTGAGAAAGGAGACACGGGTCCTGTGCAAGGCCTCAAGTCAGCCTGGATACTCGAGTGTCACACCGGGCCAACCACGACAATGACCCCAACCCCCTCCGGACGGATCACGTACTTCTTCTTCTCTGGGGCATCGGAGTTTGGGGGCCTAAGCTGGCCGTCGCCGCTCGATCCAAGACCTTCGGACGCAGATGAATTATCGGGTCGCAGGGTTTGGCTCCGTAGCCTCGAGGAGATTGTGCGATCCGTGTTGGTTCGGAGGACGATGTGCTGTCGGCGACAGCCTTGCGTTAGCGTGGTTCAGCCTGCAAGCCACCAGCACACTCAATCTCGGTACTGCTGCGGCTGGGATTGTTGCGGCGTTGCCCCTGCGCCAGAAGGCAGCCAGGAGAGTTTCTAGAGGGAGAAGGGGCAGAGCCGTGTGATGAAGCCCCTGGGGACAGCGCAGTCGTACCTGTGACAAGGGATCTATGGTCGAGCTGCTACGTGCTGGGGTGACGGGGAGCGACGGTCTGGACGGGACCTCGACCTGGCCGTTCTGGGCGCCCTTCGGCCGGCTGTCTTCGTCGGCAGCATCCTTGGCGGAAGACGGGGTGACGGCACCCGGGGAGTAGTGAAATTCGTCGGATCGTGGGGCCTTTGTAGTCGCTTTCGTGGGCGTCTTGGGGAGGGAGACGGATTTAGAGTTGTCAGGGTGTGTGCCTGCAGGAGAGTGTCAAGCCCGTCAGCTTAAGGTTTTGCGCCATTGCCGGAGAGCAAAGACAAAAAAGCCAGCACGTGGGCATCCATGCTACTTTTCTCGGCACATCCTCCCAGTACGCAGCACGTTGCGACGACTTAGCTAGGTCGCGATCCATGCGCGCCCTTCTTTGCCTTTCGAGCGCGATGGGATGGCGTGAGGGGATGGGACAGGGCGACTGACCATCGAGGTTCGCGGGGGGTAGATGACCCGAATCGGCGAGCGGCGGCGTCTCGCTTGGGGATGGCGAGGTGACAAAGACCTGCGGCGGCTGCTGGAGAGCATGGCCGTTCACCTCGACTCGAGGGTCCTCCGCCGTCAGGGCCATCTTGACATTGTGGTGGGCGCGCCCGCCCAAGTTGGCCATGGAGAAACGGCTAAGGAGATGGGCGAGTTGATCTCGCCGACACAAGGCGCACGCGAGTCTATCCAAGCCGCGCCTCCAGCGGAGAAAATTAAATCAAACTCGATCAGCAGAGCAAAAAAAAAAAAAAAAAGGGATGGTCGGAGCAAATGCGACAGCAACCAGCAAGGCAGCACAGCAGCGAGTTCGATGCGCAAACATGCGCATGCGAGCCCGGTTGGGTTTCTTACTCTAGTGAAGGAGCGCTCGGGTGTCCCCTGCAGCCGAGAGGCTCCGTCTGGTCTCTGTCGCAACCGGAGCTGGTGAGATTGATTTTGCGGCGCCAAGACCTAGCGTCTAGCGACGTCATTGACATCCATGGAAGGATTGATTGACGACAACCGAGGCGCAACGCTCGAGCAGTAGCATTGTCGCCAGCCCTACAGCCTGCAGTAGCTCCCAGTGGACAGAACGAGCGGGCGAGGAGTCGATCAATCGACTAGCCCTAGGTAGGTCGCCTGTTAGGATTTGAGCCATTGCAAACGGCGGGCACGGAGCAGGTCGATATCCATCATCAACGCAGTCTTACGAAACTTCCCAGAATTACGTCGCATTGGATCTGATCGCATCTATTGAGGCTTGGCGGCCGACTTTCTCCACAAGTTGTTCTGTTCGTCGGCGTCAGTGCACCTTGCCAAGGCACAACTTGGGTCAGTGGAGCTCATCAAGCGACATCATCCACCACAACTTTGCTTGTCCATGCCATAACGTTGTCCTGCCTGTACACAGCACTGGCATACGCTAGTCGTTGAAGTAAAAATGCGAAATGTATTGGAGGTATCTCGAGAAAAGAACTGCACCCAACTTTCCCACCCGTTCTAGAGTCAAATAATAGCTGCCCCGTTCCCATCTGCACCTCCGCCATCTTCCGCCCCTGCCTCACCCTCGCCTTCCTCGTCCAGATCGAATATTGGGTAGGTCAAAGTAGCGGCGATGCCGCCGAGGGCATCTAGGCGCTGCCCACTTTCGTGATCGCTGCTCAGTATCCTCGCCTCGCCTCCATCCTCCTTGACCTTGTCCACGAGCGCGACATAGCGCCGCCTCGTCGCGATGTCCAGGCTGCGGAACAGCGCGTTGTTGACGAGCAGCACGCCGCCGCCCCGGCCCACGGCGCCCTCGCGCACCGCCTTCTCCACCGGGCCGGTCCCGTACCACGCGCGGCCGTCGTCGCGCCGCATCCGCGTGAAGAAGTCGTCCATGTAGCCCGTCTCGTGGCTGAACTTCTTGTCCCGCATCAGCGCCTGCACCTCGGCGCTCTTGAGCACCTCGTTGAGCGAGTGCAGGTGGCCCGAGCTCGAGTGCACCACCACGGCCTCCCGCGCCAGCCGCTGCAGCATCTTGTCGGCGCGCCGCGCCCCCTCCTCGCTTATGTACTTTTTGAAGTCCTGCGCCACGAAGCCCGGCGACGCGAGCAGCAGCGGCCTCGACTCGCCCCCGAACTCGACGGCGCGCAGCAGCGTCGACAGCGTCTTCTCGTAGAACCTGCGCATCCCGCCCTCGGTCTCGCTGCTCGCGGCGCGCTTGCGCGGCACACTGCTCTCGACGCGCTGCTTGAGCAGGGTCTGGAAGTCGGTGATGAGGCAGATGTTGGCGAGCCCCTCCTGCATGACCACGGCCGCGACGGCGCCGTCCTTGTCCTGGTTGAGCGCGTTGCGCAGCGTCTCGACCGCGACTGAGTCCCAGCCGTGCCGCTTCCACAGCGTGAAGGGCCGGTTGAGCTCCAGGTCGAGCGTGTGGTACTGGCCCAGGGCCACGAAGCTGTTCTCCGAAGTCACCGTGCCCGACACGTGCAGCGCCGACGCAGCCGGGTCGAAGAAGGTCGACGTCACCTTTATGGTGAGCTCCGTGTGTACCCGCTGCGACGACGTGCTGCCCGTCTTGCTCTCGACCACTACCTTGCGCACCGCGTGCGCCTTGAGGACATCGTCGGCCGCGATCAGGTTATTTGCGTGCCACTATGGGAATGGGAAGGGCACATTAGCATTTTCTTCCAGAGTCATTGTTGCCTTATTGTCAATACTGACACGTTATCTTGCAAAAGGGGCCAACGTAGATTGAACACGGCTTACCATGTCTTCTGGCTCCGTCGGCAGGAGCGCTACGCCTCCTTCACCAATCGAATCAAACGCGAGAGACTTTTTTGACCCTGCCAGCAGCATGGTGGTTGATTGGTAGCTTCTTCTGTATTTGAGCCGTGAAGATTGAAGGTTGAACGACGTTTCTTGTCGCAACTTTCAATTGTCCGATTTTCGCCGTGACGTAGCTGTGCGGGGCGGGAAATAGCAATTGGAAGGCGGGGTCCAAGGGTGGCTGCACCCTACTAGTATTCAACATGTGCTGGGCGGTACGTAACTCCGGTACGTTCCTGTCTTCCACCTTTGGGGTTCCTCGCTCACTAGTGAGTTGAGCGTAGACAGTAGCCCCGCTATGTCCGTGTGTTCTTATGTTCCGTGTTCCTTCCCATATGCACAGGGGGGCTGAGCTGTCGCGAGTATCCCAATCAAGGTCGTACTTTCTTGACCGTGCGCCATGCAGACTGTCTGATGGGCGATTGAAGCTAACCCAGTCGATGAGGAAGAAAAACCAATCAGGGGGGGAGTCTGATAGCTTGCATGGGGCTTTCCGCCCGTTTTTCTGTGGGGTGCTAAAGGTGGCTTGGCCATTCAATTCGGGTGTGTGTGTCTCCTTCTGGGAGTACGCGCCTTCCCGGCTGAAAGAGCCAACATATAAATGAACGGGCAGACGGTAGCAGAATGTCCAAACACACCCAGAATATCTCATTTCATAAAAGAGTGATACTATCTGTTTGTCGTTGCATCTCAAGCTCCCAAAGCGGATATATTTAGCAAAATGGCATTCAATATCCTTCGCCGGGATAATATCCCTGATACCCGCACCTCCCAAGCTGCCGCACAGCAAAGTGGACAGTCTTTGGATCCCAACATCCTTGCACTCGCCTTTGGAATTCTTGGGATCCTGCTCGCCATTACCAGCATCGTTGTCGCATATAAGCAGCTCCGGCTTTCGCGACATCAGAGGGTGGCAGCTCAGCCGAATCGTTCCTCGGTAACTCTCGCAGAAGTCCCCAGCACATCGCTCCCATACCCGCAACCACCACCAACTGTTATTATCTCGCCAGCTGAGGACCATCTCCCTCATGGTTCTACATCGCAACTGCTTCCTCCCACTCCTATTCTACGAAGTCACCAGGAACTTTCCACAACGCGAGTAGGCATGCATAGTCAATTCTCGGTTTCGGTGTAAGTGGCACCCAACTCCCGTCGTGCCCACAATACCTAGCTGACGAGAGGACGTCCGCTCCAGACAGCCTCGGGTTGGGGTGCCATACCGACCAGCTCCACCTTTACTCGCCAACCGTGCGACCCCCAGCGCCATTGGACAAACCCATTCCCCCAGAAGAGCTCCAGCAACGTAGGTCTCCACTACTAGTAAGTTGCGCCACAGTTATGTACCCGAGGTCCCCGAGGTACCCAAAGCAGTCCTTCTTTGGCTGACCATCTGTGGTAAATATGGAAGCTGATAGTCTCAAAGCACCAATGGCTCATAGGCTCGTAGTTGATGCGAGCTAGCCCATTGCAGGAACCGAATGAAACTAGACGTCCGTGTTGAGGGCTATTGGTGAAGCATATCAGGGGAGGAGTTTTCCGGTAGAGGTATGTGTATTAACCGGGCTGGATAAACCGTTCCCCTGTGTTCCAAGATATAGGTATCGATATTAGATAGGAGCGTGGCGTGGGGCTAATGAAAGTTTCAAGTAGCCCGGGTAGCATCCAGTCTCTCTGGGGTCCATTGAGGCGTTGGTGGCGTGCGAGGTTGAGCATGGGGCTTTTTCATCGCTGGATAATTGCTTTTACCCATGGGAAGGGATAGGTTTTTTTTCGTGGCCAGGGTTTAGAATTGAGGTTTAATTCGATGGCATTTGTGTCTCGCGGACAGCATGTTTTGTCGCGTTAATTTTCTATGTAAGCGGGAATCGACGATGAGCCAAGCGTTTACATCACATTGACTCGCCGCCAGATTTGGTAGCTCGACACAGAGCTGTCAGCAGCGGGGGCAGCTCACCCTGATTTGTTGCGCAGGGATTGGTAGAAGAAATGGCAGCAGAAATACCGCATCATGGCCTTGTTTCGTTATCTTTAGCCGGTAGGTAGGCCATCGCCGCTGTTATTGTTCTTGCTTTTTCGCAAAAGACTCTAGGCGTGTCCGTGGCCTGCCGTGCCTATTAACATCTCGCTTGACCGAAGCACGGCTGGCTCTCTGTTTGGGCCCTTGCAGATAAGCAGGCGTGTTGGGCAAAATAGGTGCCTACGTAGGTAGGTACGTAGGTATCTGGATCCGAAAGCTCCGCTCCTGGACGATCCAGAGTGCAAGTAATGGGACCTCTTTGCCCAACGGGAGTAGTCGTGACACTAAAACGACGTGCTTGTCTTGGGGGCGACCCTGAATCCTGATCGATTCCGAGTCCCTAACTGCAACGCTAAAACCCGACTGTCATCTCGGCAAGAATTGAGCGATGTTGCGCGCGCGTGCTTCTTCTGGGTGCTGGGACTAGCAATTGACATGCTGAGACCGCATCTTTGACAGGGACATGTCAATGGGAAAGCACTAACAAGCGTTTAGGTGGACAGGCGGGCGGGCAGGTACGTGTCAGACAGCCTGACCAACGGGAGGTCGAGCCCTAGTGTCAAAAAGAGCCCGCGGTAAACGCTTCAGGGGTAGCTCAAAGGGCGATGCTCATACTTCAAATCTACCGTCGCGATTTCGCGACATTAGGTGTCCTGATCTCGGCGTCAAGTTCTTGCACCTCTGGCCGGTGAAGAGAGTCAAAGACAGCGCCTGCGGTCAGAAACAGAAGGGATTTAGTGGCTAGGTCACTCGAAAACCATGGAACATAAAGTAGGCCGGTGAGCGTTTTGGTATTTGCTTTTTGGCCCCTCCTGAGCAAAACTAGCGTGCCCCTAACGCGATGAGGAAGGATTTCGTGTCGGTGTACGATGAGTGGCCGCAGGAAGGCTTGAGGCTGTGAGCTGAGGTCTCACCAATGGGGATCTGGCTACTCCAGGCACCGCAGCGCCATCAGAGACACAGCCACCGGCCATTGGCGCTTTTGGATCGTTGGGGGCCACAGGGCAGACTGGACTGTCTGGGCTCTGTCTCTATTTATCTTCGGTCCAGCCGGCCCAACAAAGAGCATCGTTGATATCTGGCCTGATACGTCATGAGCGTGCACAGGGCCTTGTCTGTGTAACCAGACTGCCTGCTTATATGTACTGGGCGTGTTCCACCTCGCCCCTCGAGCCTGCTGAGCGCGGCTAGAACAATTACACCACTCCGAGCTCCGACATTTCTCGAGTAACCGAAGCCGAGTAGGAAGTTAGGAAGTCAGGTTAACCTGATGATTGTCCGCACTTTCGTCAAGGGCGTCATCGCCGATCGTTCCATAATCGAAACCCTGCCCCAAGGGACCGGACCGTCCAACCCGAACGCTCAGATTGACCCAGGCCTCGTGGCAACCATCGTGTTCGGTAGCCTGGCCACTATCATTGGCGTTGTCGGTCTTGTCTTCACATATCAGGCGAAAAAAAAGAAACGTTGTTGGCCGATATGCGGATGATAACAAGGTAGGTCCAGCCCAAGTCAGAGGGTCGACACGCCACATATTTGTTCTGCCTATCCCGCATCACCACTCCCTCTTCTGTCCATCATACTGAAAGAAGCCGCCATTGTCCGCATCCCCCAGACCGCCGATAAGTTTCAACATCCCCCCGACGCTCTGTTCCGGCGTCAGCGCCGCCTCGGACCCTCCCATCCGAGTCTGGACCCACCCGGGGTCCACGGCTGCGACGACGGCTCCCTTCAGCCCGCCCCGGTGCCGCAGGTCGTAGCCCTGCTGCACCGACAGCATGTTGAGCGCCGCCTTGGACACGCGGTACGCGCAGCTGGGCTGGTCCGAGTCGTCGCCCTCGGCCCTCGCCTCGGAGATGGACCCGAGCCCGGACGAGATGTTGACGACGCGGACGCCGCCGGCCAGCAGGCCCGCCGCGTGCAGCCGCGCCACCGTCTGCAGCGGCCCGGCCACGTTGACGCGCAGCGTCTCGGCCAGCACCGGCGCCGCGAGGTCCAGCGACGAGTGCTCCACGTGCAGGTTGACGGCCGCGTTGTTGACGAGGCAGTCGATCTTGGCGGGCTGCGCGCCGCCGGCGCCCGAGAGGGCCTTGGCGGCCGCTGTGGCGAAGGCGGCAACGGACTGCTCGTCGCCCGTGTCGCACTCGAGCACGTGCACGGTCGCGGCCGACGGCGCCGCGGCGGCCCGGAGGTCGGTGAGGTCAGACCCGAGAGAGCGGGTGCAGGCCAGAATGGTGTTGGACCCTTGGAGAGCGAGCTGGCGGACAAATTCGAGGCCAAGGCCCCGGTTCGCACCGGTCACGCAGTACACTGGCATGGTGAACGTAATGTCTAATGGATAATGTGTAATATTTGCAGACGAGGTTTTTTTTTTTTTTGAGGTTGCGGTTGAGAGAAGGTTGGACCAATGTTTGGACTGCCAAAGGTTTCATATATACGTGGGAGAGCTGCATGTATTACAAAGCATGCAGGTCTGACTAGCACCCCGTCCTGTTTCGAAACAGAGGCTGTTCGTCACGATCAAGAACCCCGCGAAGCAGACGCCCTGGTCAATCAACCGCTCGAGACGCCGTGACGATTGCGGGTGCGGGGAAAGGCCAGGAACGGCTGGCGTCGGCTTCAGCAGCAGATCCCGGCAGACTTGGATGATGCCCGAAGCGCCGGTGCGGGATATTCGGGCTCCGATGAGCGGACTCAAACGGGGTCGTCTTGTGCATGATAGGCCATCCAGTGGGGTCCGCGGAGCTAAGTATTCCCAATCTCGTCGTGATCGCCATTTCCATACCGCCCGACCTCCTACATCGGCCGGATTCCAGAAAATTTTGTTTGCTGGGATAGTGGTTGATATCGTATCCAAAGCGGGCTGGTTGGTGTCTTTGAACGTGAGCAGATCATTGATCGGCCTTGGAATCTCTGGTTAGCTTGAGCGGCATATATTTTGAAGTCTTCGGGAAGATTGTAGCTCGGACCTCACCCATGAGTATATATTCCCGCCGTTAGATGGGTCCTCATATTACCGAATACGAGATCGGAGCTGGATATGGCATCTCAGGGAGCGGAGTTACTCATGAGCTGATGGAAAGTGCCTTTGCCTGGGCAACCAGGCTGTGGTACCGAGAGAGGTCGATGATTGCCCGCTGTGACGCGTCGTCATTGTCGTCAAGAGCCGCATCAAGTTCTTGCACATCTCCAGGCTCTTCAGCTGGCAACAACTGCAGCCTCTGCATGATGTCGGCGATATCGTTCACCGCCCGCTCCTTTCGCACCGCCTCTTCGAACAGCCCGATAAGCCACTGTTGCGCTCCGTCGCCACCTTTATCGACGCCCTCCATCTGCACACCGTGGTTGGCACTGCGGCTGCGCTCTGCGGCTGCCTGAGCGGCGACGAGCGATGACCTGGCCCGAATGCACCGGCCATGACGCCAATGGTTGACCAGGTCCTGTGGTGTTGAGAAGGCGTCGCCGCAACCAAGAGGACATCGGACAGTTTCGTGGTTTTGGCGGATGTGGGCGCGGAGCTTCCGGAGCTTCTGAAACGCCTCGAGGCAGATGGGGCAAGAGTGCTGAGACATCAAGGCGGCCTTTTCCGCCGCCGACGTGTCCGCTGCATGCTTGGGGTCAGTGGCAAGATGGTTGTTGAGGCCCACCTCGGCGCGGTAGACCTTGTCGCAGCTGCAGCAGTGGTAGCGCAGCATGTTTGCGTCAGGGTAGTCGTGGTGGCATTTGCCGCACTCGTGGTCGCCGTGGCCGCGCCAGGTCGCCGGCACTGAGCCCGGGCCCGATTCCTCGGCCTCAGCTTGTGTGGCCCGAAACTCCTGGTACGCCTTGGGCGGTTGGCGGAGGTGCGCGACGTGTTTATCCCTGGTCTTGAAGTAGAGGTCGCATCCTGGGCAGTGGCAATGGCTGACAGTGCGCTGGTGAGCCATCAGCTTGGCCTGGTTGCCGAACGTCTGCAAGCAAGTGTCGCATTTGTGATGTGCTCTTGCATGCACTTTGGGACTGACGCCTTTCGGGACTGTCGTCTTGCATATCTTGCAGCCCCATTCACGGCCGATAGCCTGCCCGCCGCCTTTTTTGGCCATGCCTTCGAGTTCCTGGAGAGTCGTGATGTGCCAGGGTAGACGACCAGGGTGGATGCAGCAGTGGTTGAAATTTGATAAGCCCTGTGGGCAGCCCGTGGTATTACATAAGCTACGCAAACTCATCCGGCATCAGGTTCTAGTTCCTCAGGCACTAAAAGTACTTGCCTAATCCGGCAAGTCGCCTCCTGTCAACAACACGCAGGAACCCGTTATCAAAGACCACCTCAATTGGATATTGAATCCCATAGATGGTCGGTGAAATGAGCAGCGAGTCACAAGATGGACCTATCCACCGTAAAGCGTATTTCTCCAAGGACCCTCCCCCGCACCGCCGTAATGGCTGTCTCCTTTCCGAGGCGCGAAGGCATTTAACAAGCCAGGCATTGGGCAAAAGCGTCGATCGCCAAGCCCTCTAGCGGTCCTTCAATGTAACCCCCGCACCAATCAAGTGGGCCTCTACTCCATGCTTTCATGACGATGGGTTCGACAATTCCTGTGTGTCGGCTCCACCCGTGAGCTTTTTTTTTTGCCGTGAACAAGACCAAGACCTGGATGCGTGATATTGCCATACGTTCCCCATACCCACCGCCGCTTGACGTAACATCTGCCCACCGCATACTGTCCCGCCTTGGCAACTTGCTTTACGCTGAGCGTCGTACAATGAAGAAGCCGCGGCTGCGACGCTGCCTTGGGCAAGCTCGAGGTGCAACACCAGCTCACGAGGCACCGTGTCCCTGCAGCAGCTCCACCGCCGTCACCACCCTCTATATTTTTCGTACGGCTCGTGGCTGCTTATATTTCCGTGCTCCATGCCTTTTTTCCTCGGTGACCCCTCCGTGTCCTCCTCTTTCCTCTCATCCCCTTGCGGCCTGACCACCTCACCACTCTTGCGTCAAGCAGGAGAGAGAGAGAGCCGCATCCACAGGCAAGATGTTGTCCCTCGCCTCCGTCCTCACGTCGGCCCTCGCCCTAGGCGGGGCCGCCTCGGCCTTCGAGTGGAACACGTTCGACGGCCCCGGTTACCCGTCGTGCCACAACGTCTCCGAGGTGCACAACGCCACCAGCGTCGAGAACATGGCGGCTCTAGTCAAGCAGGCCGTCTCGGCCGGTAAGCGCGTGCGCGCCGCCGGCAAGGGTCATATGTGGTATGACACGCAGTGCAGCGACGAGGACACCGTCATCATCCGCACCGAGGAGGTCTCGCGCATCTACGACCTCGACCTCGAAGGCGGCTCCGTCATGATCGAGGGCGGCGTCACCTTCTTCCAGCTCGCTGAGTTCCTCCACAACCGGGGCGCGGTGAGTCGAAGCAAGGAGACAGCACTCCTTTACGGATCAGTTACTGATGTCCACTTGTCGGTTCGTCTAGTCTGTGAACTACGCCCTCGTGAACTGGAACATCTCCCTCGGCGGTAGCATTGCTATGGGTGCCCACAGGTCCTCCATCAGGGAGGACGCCATGGTTGGTGCCGCGGCCATCGAACTGCACATCATCGACGGCAATGGAAAGATCCGCGTCGTCAAGCGTGAGCAGCAGGACGACGAGTGGTTTGCTGCTTCGACCTCCCTGGGCCTGCTCGGCATCATTGCGAGGATCAAGATGCGTGTCTACCCCGACAGCAAGCTTTATGCCATGCAAAAGACGTATGTATTGACGTTTCAAAAACTCCCTTCGCTCTATCTTTCACTATTTATGCTAATCATGATGCTCGATCCAGCCTGAGCGAGGATGAGGTTTTGAACGGCGACATCTACGGACTCATCGCCCCCTACGCAACTGCTAACCTCTGGGTAAGCGACATCCAAGCGACATTACCGCTTCGCAAGCTTCCGTACACAGCTAACATAACTCTCCCATTCAGTGGTGGCCGTACAAGCGCAAGTTCCATCAGCGCTACTACGACGTCGTACCGATCAACTCGACCGAGCAGCAGGGTTTCCAAAATACCTTTTCTATCACGGATATCGAGGCCGTCGCCGCCAAGACCATCCTGGAGAGCGGCAAGATCTTTCCCACTTCCAACATGCTGGCCGAGGAGATCTTCTTTGGCCAGTGGGAGAAGCCCAACTTCCGCGAGAAGACTACCAACAAGGCCATCACCCAGTGGCCTGTGTACGGATGGAACTACGACGTCCTGATCGGCGGCCTCTACGAGGGTCAGAAGCCGCAGTGGGAGCACGGCATACGCGGCCTGACCCTGGAGCTGGCCGCGCCCATGACCATGGCCAACCAGTTCCTGAAGCGCGCGCGCGAGCTCTTCGACGCCGAGCTCAAGAAGGGCATCGTCATGACGTCAACGTATCGCAGCGGCATCAACATCAAGTTCGGTAAGCCCTACTTCGACCTCCTGGGCCAGGGCACCTACAACACCTCGGACGGCGCCGACTGGTCCAAGGGCGTCATCATGTTAGACTTCCCCTCGTTCCAGCCCAGCTGGGGCGACAAGAAGCGCTTCAACGAGCCCTTCTACGACAAGTTGGCCAGGACCCTGATCGAGGAGTTCCCCGTCCGGCCCCACTGGACCAAGAACACGCGCGACGTTCTGAGGCAGTCGGTCAAGCACCTTGACCCCGACGTAAGACACTATCCCTTCCAGTCGCTTTTAAAAATATAATGTGCTCCAGGCACCAGATAGTGACACAGGCGCTAACTCTTATCCCGCCTCTAGCACCTCCGTCGCTTCAAGGCCATTAGGGAAAAGTTTGACCCCAACGGCGTTTACCGCAGCGTCGTGGGTGAGATTATCGGAGTCTACTAGGTAATAAACAAGGACCAGGTCAAGACAAACAGGCCACACGTGTACAATTATCTTTTTTGTCTCTTAGGTAGTCTGGCCATATGATAAACTCTCGCCAATCGGTGATCTACGCCAAGCAATCTTTATTTGGGTGTCTGTGATTATTGTAGCCAAGCCAAGGCGTAGGATTATGCCCCCGTCATCCCACAGGCGATCAAGTTAGCACCGGGCTTGTAAAGGCTAAATAGAGTGAGAACCACCTGAGTAAGCTATCAATTCCAGTCATCTACCAAACGACCTTCCAACTCAATTCTTCGTCATTGGGCGGAGCTGGGCCAACGCAGAACTGCTATGCCCGCCAAAACACATCCTGAATGCAGAGTTCACAATGAGCAAGCACAGAAAACGCAGGGCCCAATGTCCTGTTTGGATTTCGCTACTTGTACTACCAACAACCGAGGAAGCCCCCAACCCGGCTGCGGTGTGGTCCGCAGCATCTTGACTCCAGCCATAAACTGACCACCAAACTTCCAAAATACGCACCAACCTCCGTGCCAACTACCGACCAGCTGAGGAACGAGAAAAGAGGGAAAAGAGCAAAAAAGAGGCAAGTGATTAAGACAGATTGACCGTCACAAAAATAAAAAGACGAGGAAGAGGAGATCGGCCACGCATGCGACAATGGCCGGAATCCAGCCAGAGCCGGCGTCCGCTTAGATGGCGACGCCGCGACGGGTAGCCTTAGCCTTCTTAGCCTTCTTGCGGCGCTTCTTCTTCTGGGGGTCCCGGGCCTCGAGGTCGCCTCCCTCCTCCTCAGTGGAAGCGGCCGTGATATCGTGGTCGTGATCGTGGTCGAGGGCAGAGACATCGCGGGCCTCGAGCTTGGTGGCGGCGGACCCGCTGGTAAGATCGCGACGGGTAGCCTTAGCCTTCTTAGCCTTCTTGCGGCGCTTCTTCTTCTGGGGGTCCCGGGCCTCGAGATCACCGCCCTCGGCCTCAACCTCGTCGTGGTCCAGAGCGGAAACGTCGCTAGCGACCGCGGCCTCTTCGGTCACATCGCGGCGCGCGACGGCCTTTTTGGCCTTGACGTTAGTAGCCTTAGCCTTCTTAGCCTTCTTGCGACGCTTCTTCTTCTGGGGATCCCGGGCTTCGAGGTCGCCACCCTCATCCTCGCCGGCGCTCGCGGCAGCCTCGCGGATGCCAACGGTGGGGCCTTCAGAACCCGACGCATGGGCGGCCAGGTCACTGGCGACCGCGGCCTCTTCGGTCACATCGCGGCGCGCGACGGCCTTCTTGGCCTTGACGTTAGTAGCCTTAGCCTTCTTAGCCTTCTTGCGACGCTTCTTCTTCTGGGGGTCCCTGACTTCGAGATCGGCCTCCTCCTCCTCCTCCACGGCACGGATCTCGACATCGGCCTTGGTGGGGCCGACATTAGGGGCAGCTAGGGCCGGGGCGACGAGAACAGCAAGAGCACCCTGCGGTTATCCGATGTTAGCTGATGTGGACTTGGCGGCAGAGCGGAAACGACGGGGCGGTAACCTACAACATGGCGGAGGGCAAGCCCGGAGGGGCTGCTCAGACCAAAGCTGGCAACGGTCGAGGTGGCGACCAGACCAGCGGCAATGAGCTGGATAAACGAAGGAGTGTGCATTTTGAAAGTCTGATGACTGCTGACCGGCAGCGAGCGAATGGTGGGGTGAAACCCAAAAAAGAAAGACAAAAAGTGGGAAAAGAAGAAAAGAAGGTATCCGTGCTCGGCAGGACTGGGCGGGAGGCTTGGAGAGAAGAGGGTCCAGATGATGCAGAGATGGGAGGAAACTCTACACTCTTATAGACCTTGGCTCCATCGCGGCTACAGGGCGGCGGCCGCACCAACATGGTCGCGTCGAGCCTTCTCTCGTTAGCTCAACCGCCCCCATGGTAGGGCATGTGACATTTCGACGGGGACGATAGAGTCTGGCGGCATCATGAACTGGCAAAAGGCAGTCTCACACACACCCCCTTCCCCCTGCCTCATGCCACACGTACGACCCCCTCAACGAGGAGCACCCCCCGATGGCGGCGAGCTGCCCTATCAGCCATCGGCCAGGCGTTTCCAGGAGACCCAGCCGCGCGGCGGGTGCAGTTACAGGCATATCCCGCCAATGGGCAGACCGGATGGGCCAGCCCTCGGAGCAGGCCGCACCTGGGAGCCGCGGAAGGCCGCCACGCCCCACCCCCACCCCTGCCAGTCGGCGAGGAGGTGTGGCCAGGCTGGGGGACGACAAACCACAGGGCCCTCCAGGGCCTGGACTTTAGCGGAACATGGGGTAAGCTGACGAGTCAGGCCTTTTCGAAGTTAGCAAGTAAGGCCCGCGGGCGGCCGTGGGAAATACCACTGAAACGATCTTCGGCTGTTGAGCCGCAGTCTTGGCTGACTATTGCGTGGTTTAGTCTTCTGTGATTTTCCTTGTCCCGTCGCCAAGCACAGCGATCTTTGGTCGCACGGGGCAAGGGGGAGCAGATCCACCGCCACGGTCTAGACTCTTTTGGAATGCGAGATGCACCCATGGACGGGGTATTGTGAAAGTGGTTCGTGAACCGTCTACTCTGTCGGTTCCCTTTCTGGCAGACAGTTAGTCAGTCCGCCAGCCAGTCAGATCCCACCTAGGTATTTTTAATTCTGCCTCCCGCAAGGAACCCATGCGAAATGCACCTCCCCTTTGGTGTCGACTCGTGTATTATCAAACGGTGAAGGCGGCTCAAGTGACGCGCGTCGGCTCATGGATGGGACGGAAACCAAGGTTCCGCTGCCTACCCGACCAACCTTCCTTCTCTTTGAACCGCGCAATAATGGCAACAGTGGCACCTGTCTATGCGGCACCTTGAGCGTGGTCAGGGGCATCCTGACCTCGCTTCTGGCCTATAGGCACGATATTCGAGACAGAAGAATTAGCCCTCGTGCGTGTCATGATATGGATCCCGTCGTGGAGCGAAGGCTACCCTGTCACGACACAGTTGGGAAGTCCAAGTCTGGCGCGCGGATCGCCTCCAGCTTGCAATGCACATTATAGGAGGACGCATTGGCCAGTGAAAAGAGAGGACGTAGGTATCACGCACCCTGCCCACCTCGCTGGCTGCCACAGCAAGTAACAATGTCCATTGCAGATCGGCACGATAGCCCGACCACCCAGCCGTCAGGGCAAAGAAGCAGGGAAAAGGAAAAGGGGGGGCCAATGAAACGTCCGCACTCCCTCGGCGTCTCGCTGGAGGGGTGCTGTGGCGGCGCCAGCAGAGCGATAGTACCAAAGCTACGACCCAAACAGCACAGGCTGAAACAATTTGCATGCAAACGTGGGACGGCGCCTTCCTGATCGGGGGTTCGGCTGGGGTCGCCTTGCAGTCGTAACGGGCAATCCAAAAACAAGCTTTTTGGGTTCCACTGATGCACTGGGCCCGGCCCGTCTGGATTGCCAAGACGCCGGTTCAGGTGGTCACAACGCGGATCTCAGCCGTCACCCAATGTCAATGATCTCCAGATAAACCCCAACGACAGGCGGCGATCCATCACTTGGCAATATCGATCTACGGCTTGGTAGGGCAAAATCAACACGCGACAACAGCAGCTCGACTCCAGCACCAAGCTTTGCGCTGAATCGCTGATTATCTTCCCAGGTGCATATTTAAACGTAATTCAAGGCAGTGTTTACATTTTACTCAGATTGCGATTCCACACCCCCGAACACTTTGGAGGCCGCAGGTTCCTCTCGGGCGATCAAGCTTGAGATGGCTATCTCTTGAACCTCTCCCGTCTTTGTGGAGAGCCGATCAAGGTTGAGCTGACGTGGACACTTGGGACACGAGACTGGACATCAGACGCCCCAACGGCCGGATATCTAGGGCGGGGGAGGGGCGGCAGGTCCAGACGCTTAGAGACCAAACATCCCGACCGACAGGACTGTTTTGGCATACATGCGTGCCTGGCACCTCGGGTATCTACTGGTGGGGTCCTGAGTGCCTACCGCCTTTGCACATATCTAAGCGAGGCTCGGGCTGCGACGCACGCATGAGACGTGGGCGGTGAGAAGAGCCCTCGCATAGACAAGCTTGTCGCCAGGTCGGTACGATTTGAAAGGGAGAAGAAAGCATCAATGCCCTGGGGTAGTTAGCGTAGATCGTCTGCAGCAACTTCGGTCGCGGACGCCGACACAGAACGGAACGGACTTCGCGGGCTCCGGGCCAAGACTTGGGACGGGGCTGCTATTGATCAACCGCACCTCGTGCTGGACCAATGGTCTGGGTCTGCGGGCATTACTGGCCAATCATGACCCTGGAAAACCGCCTGATGCCCCGCAACCGGCGGCTCAAACTTCCAGAATCAGGTTTCGGCGCCGATGAGCACGGATCATAAGATGCTCCCTGCATCCAATGTGACACAGTGCAAAACATTCCGACAGTCGAAAAAAAAAATAGCTTTTGTGCCTGCGATGCCGTTATCCGACACCCAAGCCTCCATCACCTGGGGGAGCCAAGACGTGTCTCTGGAGATCGATGGCTACCGACGTGACGGTTCAGCTATTGACGCTGGTCATAACCACGTCGCCTACGCCCTCGGCGCCTTCGACTGAGCTGCTGTCCCAGGTGATCGAGTCCTTTCGCTCCTTCTGCCCTGTCCTCCTGGCCTGCCGCGTCATCGTTGTGCTCGACACGTTTGACCACATCGCACCGCGCGCCCGCCTGAAGCGCGGCCAGGTCACTGAGAAGGACGCCGAGGTCTACGACCTGTACAAGGAGAAGGTCAAGGAGTTGTTTCTCAGCGAGCATGGCCGCCACCCCAGCGCCCCTGCGTCTGCGAATGGCGGGGCTGCTTCTGGCGTCCACAACGCCTCCTTTCCCAACCCCACCGTCACTGGCGATCATGGACTCCCCGGCGGTGACGCGCGTCCCATGCCAGATCTGGTGGAGAGTCGGGGCGAGGCCGAATTTGGATACGAGGGGCGGAACAATCCGCTCAACAGTGCCGTCCTGCTCACAATCTCCCAGACGAGAGATGGTATGGTTACCTTTGTCGAGCCTGCAGACAGACTTGGTTTTGGGCTTGCTGTGCGGACGGGCCTCCGGCTAGCCGAGACCAAATATGTTTGGGTGCACCAGCATGACTGGACACTTGTTACCAAAATACCCATCGCAGGCATGCTCGATGTTATGATGGCTTCAGGCGACTCGCCGGCTGATGAAGGGACCGCGCCCTCTGGAAGCCCAGAGGAGGCTTCCGCAAATTTAGACGTGGCTTCTTGCGCCCCGCCCATCAAGTATATCTGCCTGCCTTCGGGAAGGCTACTGTCATATGCCGTACAGGCGCACGTCACGCGCTACCCAGCTTTGCTTCGCACAACTGGCAAGCTCAAGCAGTCGTTTGTCCCTTCGGGGTCAACGACCCCGACAGACTTAGACTCTGAATCGCCGCTGCCGCCCATTTCTTCTTCCATCCCACTCACACCCCTCTTTTTCTGGCACGATAAGCCGCACATAGCCGAGACAGCACACTACCTCGCTCGCGTCTTCCCGACCCGCCTGGCCATGGGCAGGGGTGACTTTATCGAAGATACGGTTGGGCACCGCGCCCGAAACCAGATGAAAGATGGCGCCTGGGCCAAGTGGGCGTGCTGGCTCTACTACCCGGACGACGGGAAACGGCTATGCCTGCGCCACCTGCAGGGCCGTCACTGGTTGGGCTCCACGGCTGAGCAGGAGAGAAAGGAGACGTGGATCGCGCTGAACATCAAGGGCGGCAGGAAGATGGCGCTGAAGAATAAAAAGAAGCAACTGTCCAAAGCTGACCCAGGAGAGGCGGGAACGAAACTGGAAGCCGCTGACGTGGACGAATTCACGACCTCGCTCGCAGAGGCATTATGAACGCCTTCAAGGAACACAAGTTGCGCTCAGGGACAGACTCCCCCGCCGGGTGGCGGAAATGGAGAACCAAAAACACAGTCGCGGACGAAGTCACAAGCACAAACGAGTCGTGTGGTCGCAGCTTGTGTAATTCATGGTCCTAGAGATGCCCGGGGGGATCTCGTACGACCAACACTACTACTATCGTCATCACTATGATTACCCCCGAAACCACCAAAGGTCCCGTCGCTTATCCTGCTTAGCCGACTGGGGGAGGGCTCTGGGGCTAAGAAGGGCGATATCCCCGGAGAACTCATGGGTGACTTCATTGGCGACTTCATTGGCGACCTGAGCGGCGCGCCACCCCCAAACACAGACAAGTGCGCTGCAGACTGTCTTGCTGCTCTGTTTGCCGCCTCTGTACGCAACGACATGGGCGTTTTTGTCGACCGCATCGACCTCGTCGTTTGCACCGACGCCATGCTCCTCCTTGCGCTGAACGACTTTGGAGGTGGCGCCAGCAAGACTGGTGGCGGCATAGGCACCGGCACTGGTGGCACCGACAAGTTCATCTGCTGCTCGCCCACCGCCCCGTCCGAGTCCCATGCCGTCCATCGCGACGACCTCGTCGTGCGCTTGCTGTCCCGTCCGGTCCCGGTCTCGTACTCCTCGTCCGTCATTGATCCTGGCCGACCGTCCCGGCCTGCCCGTATGCTGAACATGCGCGACACCCAGCTCCAGCGCTGCTCCTCGACTGATTCATATCTGTTCCCGTACTCGCATAGCTCGGCCGGGTTCTCGGCCGTTCCCAGCGGACGCGGGCCGCCGGGCATGCCTACTGCGGCACTCTTTGCGTCGGCCGATCCGATACCTCTGGTTTTGGGACGGCCTGTCGGCAGCCACCGCCTCCACGGCGCCCCTTTTGTGCGGCCGACCCACACACCTAGACCAACCGGCAGCATCGGGCCCGAGTCGGGCCCCTTTCGGCCTTGCCGTCCCCTGAAGAGAAAAAATGCGACCAGCACTAAGGAGAGAATAGACAAGAGACATGCCAAAATGATGGGCCCCACCGGTACGCCGCTTGATGGGCCCGAGATCAAAGCGTTTTCGCTAGTGCTTGGACTTGATGTTTGCGAAGAGGGGGGTAGGGTGGACGAGATCCTCGATGTGGCCGTAGTAGTGCCGGCCAGCGGACCCCCCGTCGAGGACGAAGGCGTCACCAATGGGGAACTGGCTGGCCGGGTGTCGGGGACCGAAGTTCTCGAAGACGTGCTGAGGGTGGTGAACAAGAGCGTCGATGTTGTCGGCACGGGCACCACGACGACGTCGGGCCCGCTCCTCGTCGACGTGCTTGGCTGCGGGACCGACGGGATGGGCGGCGGGGGCACAATACGAATCGGCGGCTGGCTCGAGGCCGCCGGCTGCCCGGGCGAGGTGGTGGCGCCGACGACAAGGCCTGGTGTGAGCGGGTGCGTCTGGAGCGCCGTCAGGTCGACGTCGCGCCACCGGATCTGCATGGCCGGGCCGACGGTGACGCTCGCCCCGGATGTTGTGGCCGTCTGCGTCATGCCCCAGACGCCGCCCCGAAAGTCGGTGGTGTCGGCGGTGCAGGTGTATCCGCTACAGAGATATTGGCACCGGTTAGCAAAATGGGGAAAGAGACCCTTATGTCGTCTCTGAGACGAGAAAAGAGAAAGATAACCGGTACGAACCTCGGAACACAAAAGGCTACGGTCTCGCCGGCGGTGACGCTCGGGAAGCCCTCGCTCGTCCTCAGCTGGACCGACGTGCACGAGACGCCGACGGCGAAGCCGTCGGGACATATCGCGGGTGAGTAAAAGTGGTACGCGCGCTCGTCCATGCTGTCCTTCCATCTCGGCGGGTCGCAGGCCGGGTCCGGGCCGTCGGTGGGCAGCGGCGGGTACTGGGACGGCACCTTGTTGGTCGTGAAGAGCCATGTGCTGGTCGCGCAACCCGACGGCGCGGTGAACACCGTCGACAGGGCGGCCAGGGCCGTCGTGAGCGACATGTTCGTCTCGTCTCACCCGCTTTAGCTCCTTCAGCTCCTTCAGCTCCTCTTCTTCCTCCTCCTCCTCCAACTTCCCCCTCCGTGGCCCGGCCCGGGGGCGATGGCTGATAACTCTGTCGATTCGCCTAACAACTCGATATCCTTCGGTCCTCCCACGGTTGCATCGTTGGTTTCTCTGTAAAGATCCGGGGTTCGCACAAAAAATATCCCTCGTAGCCACCTGGTGGTGCTCGCTCGCGTTTTGGTCGGCGATCAGGACAAAAGCAGTCTCTGTCGTGGGGTTTGATATCGCAACGGGGCCAAGTATACCTCGAAGCAGATCTTGGCGTCGTCGAGACGGAAGATAGAGCAAGAAAAAGAAGAAAAAAAAAGAAAAAAAAGGGAAGGCCCCGGGAAAAGCAGCGCAGCTACTCCCGGACGGGGAGGATTAAAGATTTTAAGGTTAGAAAAGGTGCCAACCCCAGCCCCAGCAGCATGCTTCACGATTTGACATGTTTGCCGGGCGGGCGATCTGCAGCGGATCCAAACAGTTCGCTGTCGTCCTCTTGCTCTCTCTCTCTCTCACTATCTATTTTGCCTCCTTATCTGCGACCCTGTTCACTCCCGGCTTCATTTTCGTGCTGGACTTCCCTTTTCGGGGGTGACTGCCCGCTTGCGTTCTTTTGCCGCTTCTCTCGCTTTCCTTGAACGGGCAGCGATAGATTGATGGACGCTCCACCACCACCCCTGAGTCTGCCTCCATTCCCCGGGACCCCTGTGGCAGATCAAACCTTCGGGGTCTGGTGCCAGCATGGGAGGAGAGAGGGGTCCCTCTCTCCGCCGTCGAAATCACCCCCACACTGCAAGCGTCTAATGCGATCTAAATGGCCCGCTGCCCGCTGCGCGATGCAGGGCTAGCCAATTGCGGTCCGCGTGCTGTGTCCGTCAAGGGGACGATTCCCTCAACCCGATAAAAACCCACCCATCTCAAACCTCTTATATTTTTCCGCGTTTTTTTTTTGTGCGGTTTTTTTTTTTTTGCTCCCTTCTCTTCGGTGTGCCAGTCTCTCTCTTCGCTAGCCCTGGCGGAAGGAAGCGAAGTTTGCTGTTTTGTTGCATAAACCTCGACTCAAAAGCAAAATAATCGGTTCCTGCAGAAAGACCGGACGAGATCGCCTCATCCGTTGTTGTGGCTTTGTTTGGCCGTTTTGTTTTTTCGCCACGGCTATTCCGAGCATCCCCCCCCCACAGTGTTCCCACATCTCTAGTTTACGCGAGGCGTATTTTTTTTCGTCTTTGGATTCACCTCTGTGCTTCCCTTCTCGATCAATTCGAGATCGCCGCCGTCGTCCGTTGGCGCGGACGGGAGGCGCCTTTACCTTCACTTTCATCCACTAATAGCCCTATCGCAGAAAGCAAGCGACAGCAAGGCAGGATGCAAGCCAAGTGATGCATAGCTGCGGGGGATTCTAAGGGAAACGCTGGACAAACACTGGGGTTTGTCGGCCCCCGTGAGACGGGATAACCTCAGCTTGGGTTTCAAGCCGTTTGGGAGGGGGTCCCATGTCCATCGTCGTCACCAGGCCGGGGGTGTGTGTTGTCGTTCGTGAGCAGCACCCGGGCTGACGGGAGGAGGCGGTTGACCTGCTTTTCTTTTTGTTCCCATCTCTTGGCTCTGCTGCATCTGAATATGACGGACAAACAGAGACAGATGTCGGAACTTGTTTGACAAGCGCCACCAGCGAGCCATCGAAGCAATCTGCACCAAGGTATCCATCCCACCTAGGCGCCAAGGAAGCACCGCGGACGATGCTGCTCTTGCTAAAGAGGACAAAATTCAGGGTTCGTTAGGCGATCCGTTATGCCGCCGCGACCCCTCTCCCGTGGGGAAGATGTGCAGGATCTTCTCATGCACTCCGTCATCTGGTCTTGTCTTTCGCCCGTTTTTCTTCTTCTCTCGCTTTCGGGCGGGCTTGATTTCCCTCTCCATCCCTGTGCCGACCAGGCCCGGATTTTCCTCGGTTCTAGTCTTGTCCTTTCCTTGGACGACGGGACTATCCCGTCGTGGCATTATGCAGTGTGCGGTGGGCGTCGTGGCATGGGTTGCGAATCGCGGCCGGTTATGTGCCAGGGAACAACAAGAACAAGGCACAAGGCATATACATACACACACAGATGCCAGGAAATCGGGGAGATTTGTCCGCAAATGGCTGAGACGGTATCTATCCCGCCGGTTTGTTTTGTCGTCCGCCCCGGTCCTCCAACTTGTTGGTGCGTCGACGGGTCCGGAAAGTCGAGGGTCCGGTGTGTGGTGGTTGTTGCATGCTGCAGGGGCTAGCCGCCGCCTCGAGCTGACACCCATCTCCCTGTCCCTGATTAGGCTCCTCGGTAGGTGTGCCCTGCCCCGCCCTGGCCCTGGCTGTCTCACAGACCCCACACACCCGGAGCATCCACCCGCGCTTGCATGCGTCAGGTTCCCGATGGCCTGTGACGCGGTTGGTGGAACGATGGGGATCGGAGCGATAGAGATAAAGAGATTGACAGCAGAGATGAGCTGAAGCTGGGCACCCCGAACCGCTCGTCAATGCAATGATCTCTCTCTTTCTCGCAAGGGATGCTCGAAAGCGCCCGGCCAAGCCGGGCCGAAGCGGGCGGAGAATTTCGCGCCCTGACTAGGTTATACGAGGGCGGGAGGGGCGTGACCGGGCTGTCCTGATCGTCAATGGCATTGAAGTGGGAATGGCGGGGGCGGAGGTCAAGCGAACGAAGCCAGAGCTGAGCTTGCGGCGCCGCTCGATGCTTTTTGCCGTCATCGAATCGAAGCTGAAGCTTTCTACACAAGTATTTCTCTTGCCAGCCGAGGGAGGGGAGGAGGCTGTGCGCACGTGCTAGCTACTCGTGTTGCATCGAAGCGGGTGGCAACCAGCAAACCCCCCTGCCATTTACAAAACGTGCCCTTGGCCGCCGCGATCTGAGATGCGTGCCTGTCTATCGGCGAGATGTCCCGAATTTGAGGAGCCGAGATTGTAGCTGTCGGATCGCCGTCGAGGAGGAGAGCCGTTTTCTGTCGTTCTCGATGTGGCCCAGATTGTCCGCTTCAGCTCCCTTTTTTTGGGGAGGGTTGCGACCATGGATGGTCCTTGGTTCTCGACACTGCGGCAGCAGCTTCCAGAATCCGTTGGAGAGAGAGAAGGGAAAAGTGCCAGCGACGTCGGCGATAGCAGCATCGATTCTTTCAACTGCTGCATTAGCTAGGTTGCAGTTCGGCTGCTTCTTGTGCATGCTCAGCTCCCTGGTGGTCGAAACGCTGCACTAATAGGAGCTCGCTGCGCGAGGATGGCGCCAGTTGGCCACGGACGTCCGAAGGGACGCGATCAAGACTGGGATGCAGGTCGGGTTGCACAAAAACCTCTTCGTCCCGTAGTTGTGGCCGTCTAATGGGTCGGGGACATTGGATGATGGTCTGGCATTTCGCTATCGACGAAAGAAGAAAAAAATAACAACACCCATCGAGGCGTCGTCGCTTAGCCAAGAATAGCAGCAACAGCCTTTTGGTGACGCAACCCCCGGGACATTTGCCATCGCTACAAGAGCAGATCCTCCCCGCCCCCACCCCCCACCAAAAAAAAAAAAATGCCCCTCAAAGTCCTCGTCGTCGGCGGCGGCATCGCAGGCCTCAGCTGCGCCGCGGCGCTGCGGCGGGCGGGCCACGACGTGGTGGTGCTGGAGCGGTCGGCGCGCTTCGACAACGAGACGGGCGCGGCGATCCACGTGCCGCCCAACGCGACCCGCCCGCTGCTGGCCTGGGGCCTGGACGCCGACCGCGCTCGCCTCGTCCGGTTCCGGCGCAGCGTCTTCGTCGAGGCCCGCTCGCTGGCCACGGTCCGCGAGGTCGAGCAGGGGCCCGACGTCGTCGACGCCGTCTACGGCGCGCCCTGGCTCGCGGCCCACCGCGTCGACCTGCACGAGGAGCTGCGGCGGCTGGCTGAGGGCGAGGGAGAGGGCCGGGGCGGGGGCGAGGGGTGGGGGGTGCTGGAGACGAGGCTGGGTGCGCAGGTGGTCGGCTATGTGAGTGGTGCTGCTTTCTCTCGATATGATGTTGTCTGCTTTTGGCCGTTTTGGGAAATTGCCGGTCGGTGTGTTGGGTGCAAACGCGGGAAGGGAAAAAGTCAAAAGTCGGCCGTTGTATTTTTAGCGGCCGTATTGAGGCGGCGGAGGAGGGGCGTGGCGATGGAGCCACCAAGAGGGAGCGATGTAACGGCGGAACGGGACGGTGGGGATGACAGAGGCGACAGCAAACGGCAAACCCCCCCGTCCCGTCGAGGAAATGACGATGAGTTGCTGATTCGGGCCAAAAAACACACACGCAAAACACAAAAAGAACCCCGATGCCCCCTCCGTCACCCTCGCGGGCGGCGACGTGGTCTCGGGCGACCTCGTCGTCGCCGCCGACGGCATCCACTCGCGCGCCCCCACCGCCGTCGCCGGCCGCCACGACCCGGCCCTGCCGGCCGGCGAGTACAACTTCTGCTACCGCTTCCTGATCCCCGCCGCCGCCCTCGAGGCCGACCCGGACACCAGGCCCTTTGCCGGCGAGCGCTCCCACGGCGCCGTCACCCACTTTGTCGACAGCTCGCGCCGCCTGGTGTCTTATACCTGCCGCAAGTTTGTGCTTCTGTTTTCTCGTCGTTCGCTGTCTGCCGGGGGTGGGTTTATCAAAGGCTAAAAAACAGAACTAATCTCCCCCCATCAGCCACGAGGTCTACAACTTTGTCGCCCTGTTTCACCGCGACGACGTGTCGTCACAGCAGAAAGAAGGTAGGTGGACACCCCTCCGCCCGTTCCTCAGGAGCGAATGTTGCCGGGGCCTCGGTCGGCGGCTAATCAAGCATAACTGCAGACTGGCATGCCGCCGTGAGCAAGGACCAGGTCGTCCAGACCTTTTCCGACTTCCACCCGAGCCTACTCAAGCTCTTTGCGTAGGGCCTCTCCTTGTCCTTCTCTCTTCGCAGATCCTGGGGTTCCCGACGCTGAAACGAACCCCCCGACTCAAATTCCGCAGCAAGGCGACCGAGTTCAAGCAGTGGCCGCTACTGTACCGCGCGCCGCTCCCGACCTGGTCCAAGGGCAGGATGCTGCTGGTGGGGGACGCGGCGCACCCCATGCTTCCCTGTACGCAAAACGACCCGACCTCGTTCCGTAACCGGTGATGATGACGACTTGCCGACTGACGCCATTCTCTCCATTCACAGTCCAGGGCCAGGGTGGCGCCCAGGCCATCGAGGATGGAGTGGCCCTCGGCATTGCCATGGCCGGCGCCGCGCCCGAGTCCGTCGGCGCGCGGCTCGCCGTCTTCGAGGCCGTCCGCCGCAGCCGCGCCAGCGCCCTGCAGGTGCTCAGCAACGCCGGCCAGGACGAGGCCCACAAGGTCGCCGCAGAGGCCGCCCGCTACATCCCGATTGAGGCGGTCCCCAGTACGTGCGCCTGACAGTCCGGGGTGTCGTCGGACCGCTTGTTTGAAATTTGGGGACTTGCATGCTAACCCAGGTGATGCGTGTTTGGCGTTGCTGTAGAAGACCAGGCCGAGGCGTTCCGCTTCAACTTTGGATACGACGTGGTTGCGGATACGGTCGGTAAGATGCGGGACATGGTAGATCCCGAGTTTGCTGTGCCGTCTGGCTTCTTTCTGAAAGAGCCTGCGACCTTTGGCAAGGCTTGAGGCCATGGTGAGAGATTGAGTCGGGTATGTTATGGGCTGATGACTTGATGAGTTGATGCCTTGAAGGCATTGATAGTTAGGAGCTTCAAATACCTACGACCAGGTAGACGACTGAATGCTAAAGACTAGAGTATGAAATGATATGTTCATTCGCATGGGAGATCCTCGTCTTCATGGAAACTCTAGTCCACTTGTTACTTTAAGCGGCCTTTGCCCCAGGGTTTCTTAATCATATATGCCCGCTCCCGCTTGGGACCATAGGCCGTAGTATCTATCTAAGCTGGATGGCAAAGGTAAAATATAATCAGCCAGCTCCCAGCGCCGCAACGCCTGGTTGGGAAAGTTGGGCAAAAAAAAAATCAAGAAAATCTGCACTGAGTAGAACACCACCACCTCTAACAAAAAAAACAAGGCAAGTTTGGGATGATCGAACCCAGGATCGAACTGAGGACCTTGAGCGTGTAATCCTAGGGACGGATCCCTCAGATGTTAAGCTCACGTGATAACCGACTACACCATTCGACCAGTTGTGCTTGTTGTGCCGCCTTGGCTCACGGTCGCCCTACGAAGGCGGTTGTGGGATCCGATTAAGGAATAACAAAAGGGGCGTCGGCGAAAGGCCCATGTCGACAAGCCGCCCCGCAACCTGTCAAGAAAAGGAGGAAAGGAAAAAAAAGGGGGTTCAGGGGAAGGAAGTGGTATGGAATGCTTGACTGACTCGGCAGGCAAGGGGGAGTTGTAAAATCGATCGCCCATCATGTCACCGGGGGGTGTCTATTTTTGATCATATTGGGAAGTTGGTCTAGCTAGACCCTCCTCGCCTAAGCCTCGCCTAACCGCCGCCTGCCTCTCCGCGATGGTGGCGACGGCCACCGCGGCGGCCGCGTAGGTAGCAGCCTGCGAGCGGGACGACGCACGCCGCCCCCCCATTGCCCCAAGAATAAGCGGTAACCTCAGAGCCTTCCTGGCCAATTGTGTGAAAATTGCTTTGCGGTTTTGACGCTGGGCCTTGGGATATATGTGGTTCCTCTGCGTTGTCTCTTTGCTTGCCTCTCCAGCCTCACTTCGGCTCTTTTTGTGAACCATGTGTGGGGGATGGCTTGGAGGGCAGGGAACAAGTCTCTGCAGCGGAATTGGTTGGAGAGGTATGAGGCGATGAATTCGGGACGGAAGAAGCTTGCGCTTGATAGCGGTGAGTCTCTGTAGGGCTTGAGCTCGTGGAGGATGAAGACCCGGGCTGCGCCAGCGAAGGTACCTCCAAAGTATGGCGTCGAGCGCCTGGCCGTCCCCTTTCGGTCGCCGGTCTTGAGGAGGATCCGCCCTGGTTTTTGGCCGGGTGCGTACCTACACGAGGAAACGGGAAGTGGGAAGGCGAAGGCGCTTGTATCTTCAGCATTGGAATCGACGAGTCATCCCGGCGCGCGATCCGAGGTAGCCGAGAAGAAGAGGATCTTTCGGCTGTTGGTATCCTTGACGAGTCATCTGTCTTGGGCGATGCAGGGGCCTCTCCGTCCTCACACATGGCTGTGCGGATACTGGGCGCGCGCGACGGGAGCCGATCCCGCGAGATATCGTCGTACTTGGACTTGGCTTCTTGAAACTTGGAATTTTTAAATCTCTCTCCGGGTGTCTCTGGGAAGTCGGCAGCGGGCCCTTCCCGGAAAGATTTCTGGCCTGGATTTGCTGTGCCTAGAATGTCTGCGAAGCGAGATAGCGCCTCGTTGATCCTGTCTCGGCTTCCACTGGTGGGTTCTGCACCTCCCCTATCTGGCGGCCCAACTGCTGAATCAGACCTTACGTCCGTTGGGCTTTCAAGGTGACCTTGGCAATGAGCACAAGTGGCGCTGCTCTGACGCCTCGTGAAGAATGTTGGAGCAGTTGTGGCAGTTGTTGCAGTTGCATTCGACAGCCTCCGGCGCAACTTCCACTTGTTCTTTATTCTCCACTTGCGCAGATTGCTTTCCCCGAGCAAATATAGCGATCCAATAGCGGCAAGACCAGCGGTCACGATCGGCGCCCATTGACCTGATACGTTGAGGCAAGAGTAGTAATGGTGAGCGTGAGTGAGTGATGTGGCAGGTTGGTTGGGAGGCAGGGCATGTGAAATGGAATGAGTCTGCGTACCAACGTTTTCCATGGGTTCGGTTCCATGCGAAAGCTCCGGGCTCATAAAATTCCTCTCGCCTATAACGAGGATGGCAAGAATGGCGGCAGCAAACAGCGGTATTTCGACAGCTCCCATCAAGAACTTTGCACGGGTTTCGGCGTTTTCCATCATGCTTTGGGTAGCACCATTTGTTCCAGAGATGGTGGCTTCGGGTTGCCCCTCAGAAAGGTCTTTGCTATCTCCGTCGGAATTATCCTGGTCCTCGGTAGCACCATCCTTCTCGCGGGCGTGGCGTTTCCGGTTGTCGTGGCGGATCTTGTTGAAGATGTCAACAAGTGATAAAATCGATATGATGCAGCACCCGGCTGCAAGAAGCGTGGCCGTTCCGAACTCGAAGAGTTTTGGCGCGGGTATGACGTAAATTTCGCCAGTTGCTCCCTGGCGCATTGTCGAGAAGGGGCCGAGTTCCTGTGAGCACTGGATGCCGCACAGCCCGCTTGCTTTCTCGCCGTACGGGAAGTTCGCAGCCGTAATATTATTTGCCGCACATGGGACTGGATTGCTGCGAAAGAGCTCTACTGCAAGGCTCAACATACCCGCCAGCAAGATGGCTGTCCATACAAAGATGATGTTTCGACCTGGGCCATCGAAATAGGTCGTTGACCTGCGGAGGGTCACGGGGGCAGCTAGGATGGCTATTGAAGATAGCTGAAAGGCCCCATATACATCCAGGTCGACGGCACCTGCAGCGCGGAGACGTCGGGATGTGTTAGCCAGGTGTCCAACGCCTTGCAAAATGAAGAAGCGGTGGTGATATTCAGCATCAGGGTTTCGTCTACCCTGTCGGCCGGCCCGTGCCGCCGGACGACCCAACGGCCCGGATTGCATCCATGCCGCCAGGTGACTCAAGCTTTTTAGCGTAGTGGAGGTTTCATGTGCACGTTGTTTCGGGCAGTACCCACCATCGACGTGCATCTTTGCAAGGACGATTCCATGCAGAGCAGCCACGGCAGGAAGCAGGAGTGCGGCGGCGATGCATGCATCGCGAAGCCACCTTGCCTTGCGTGCGAGCACGCAGGTCGCAACGAGGGTGTCTGGTGATGGCGTCCAAGAAACGGCATATTGAATTAGCTTATGCTTGGCGTGGAGGTATTAGGCTGTCTCGAGGCTTGGGGGCCCTGGTCTTAGCCTATGGGGCATCGTATTTCGCACACGTGGCACGACCGATCCGAGGCCCCCGGGCAGAGGCCAAGCAGACTTACAGTACAAAGCTCGAGACCCAGGTCCATATTGGCCTGATATCGGCCATGCGCAAAGGACTGGAAGCGAGCTAGAATTTGCGCCGGGGGCTGTGCCAACCATCGAGGTATTTTCTGCCCTCGCAAATGTCCGTAATAGGCCGGCAGATGTTGACGCGAGAGAGGCGGGAGGCGGCATAGCGGGCCGTCTGTTCCCAGCCGACAGGCCACTCTCTCTGCCCTGGAGTCTGCCCTGATGTCTGCCCTGATGGATGTCTGCCCTGATGGATGTCTGCCCTGATGGATGTCTGCCCTGATGGATGTCTGCCCTGATGGATGTCTGCCCTGATGGATGTCTGCCCTGATGGATGTCTGCCCAACCTGAGCCTACCGTGGATGGCGTCTGAGAACGAGTCGGTATTCAGGGCCTGGGCTGTGATTTAAACGCTCGTCTTTGGGCCCTGTCATGACAGACAGCGCAATAGTTGCAGACTCAACGGAGATTTGTACGTCCCGAGGAGAGCGACGCAGCTCGCCTGTGTTGCTCGAAAGCTGACGAGAAACGGGGAAACACATCGGGCAGCCGGAGCGGGGGACAGGGGGAAAAGGGCAGCAAAGTGCAGAAAGAAGGACGGGGCAAGTGTGCGGCGACACAGAGCCTCTTGGCTCTGACCGTCAATCGGACACACGCGACATATCTACTTCATAGGTGGTAGGCACCCGTCTATCGTCGATTGTATGCAGGACGCTCGTTTGGGACTCGGTTGGGACCGAGGAATGGCAGGAGGCGCAGCTGACACAGGCCAATGTGGCCACGAGCACCGCGCGCCCCCTTCCGTCATGGACACGGCGCTGGCGCTGGATGTGGCCCGCCGCTGACAGCGACGGGGTGAGCAGGGCAGGCTGTCGGTGGTCATATTCGGGCTCGGCGTCAGATGGGGTGCTGGTTCTGCATTAGCACGATGCAAGGCAGCCAACGGACCAATGATGGCCTCCTTGAGCTCGAGGTTTCAGTGACATTTTCTGCCATGGAGGATTCAGCACGCACCCAGCTTGCCGGTACGGGCAGTCTGGTGCATGGTACCTCCCGTGTCTCCAAACAAGTCTCCTACCAATTGAAAGGCATCCATGCATCTCCATAGGTGTGGTTGAACGTGGGAAGAGCAGCCGATCGCCCGGCTAGCCGGCGGGTCGATCACGCGGCAAGAGAAGAATCCCAAAGGTCCAAAACGGCAGGAGCGACATTACATTTTCAGACTCGTCTCCTCAATTACCTCCTGCTCCTGCGCACTCAATCCCGAGAGCAACAATTCAATGTTGATGCCCAGAGGCTCTCGTCGTTCTTGACCGCAAGGTGCCCAACGTCGACAAGCAGTTTCTAGACAGGGTAAATACTCCGGGGGTCTCCCTGTCTATGGCGAACAGACCTGGCATTAGCGCCCGCAGCTACGGCACTCACCAGGCACTCCATCGCTAATAACGGTGGGGCACATGCCCAAGCTCCACAAACGTCCACCCAACGAGATCCGGAAGCTTACACTAAAACGGCATCATCCCTCAAGCACATACTAGCTCGTCCTTGCTGCCAGTCCTTGCTTCCAGTCCTTTGTCACCAATTCACCCGATGTCGTAATTCACGGCAAATAGGAGTCTGCTTCCCTACCCGGTGCCGTGCTCCTGGGCTCGTTGATTGATATCTACCCCGCGCGCGCCGCCCCCACGCCCTCAATCCTGCCCGGTTGGGTGGACATGCTCCTTGCAACGCAGCCATGGATACCAAAGACCTCGATACCGAATCGATCAAGCAATGGCGCTCCATCGTCACGCTTGTTGTTTTTGTCATCACGAGTAGGTTGACAGCCCGCCCTCGCCTTTCTCTTGTCGACACGGCTGACACGTTGACAACCCGCCTGACAGATGTGATCGTCCTTTTTCCGTTTCATATACCTATTTTTGTCCCGCGACCGTTCGCATATGCCGTTCTGGACGTACTGGCTTTTCTAAGAGTGATAAAACCAAGGCGGAATGAGCCCTCGTCTTCTGCCCAGCATGAACAAGTCGCCGGTGAGGCTGCATACGATGGCGGAAGCATCACTAAACCAGGATCTTTTGTCCGGCTGGAGTTCCCAATGAACTTCCTGACTGCGCCCCTTGTTGCAGATATCTTCCTACTCGCCATTTCGGCCATCGGCCGCAAGGAGGTTGTAGATGGGACCTATGGCACCGATCACATCCACCCTTACGACATCATGCTCTTCTTCATCAGCCTCGCCTACATTGCCATCTCCATCGACGCCTCAGGCCTCATCAGATACCTTGCTTTCAAGGTGCTTATATGGGGCGGCGATGTTGGCCATAGGCTCTTCTTCTACCTCTACGCCTTCTTCTTTGCCCTCGGCACCTTCATCGGCAATGACCCAATCATCCTCTCCGGCACCGCCTTCCTCGCCTATATGACGCGCGTATCCAGCAACATCAAACACCCTCGTGCTTGGATTTACACCCAATTCGCCATAGCCAACATTGCATCCGCTACTCTCGTTTCCTCCAACCCCACCAACCTCGTGCTTGCCGGCGCCTTTAGCATCAGGTTCATCGACTACACAGCCAACATGGTGGTGCCTGTCGTTGTGACAGCCGTTGTCCTGTTTCCTTTCCTCCTCTACATAATCTTCCCTGATCCGGCACTCATTCCCCACAGGATCACCTTGCACGCGCTTCCTGAGGCCGCCAGGGAGAAAAGACCGGTGAATCCCAACATCCCGAACGCCAGGGGTGATGCCGATGAGGCGGCGCTTGAAAACAACGAGCAAGGCAAGCTTTTGTCTCTGGAGGAGATCATGAATCCATACCTTGACAAGAAGAGTGCCAGCTTCGGGGGCATCGTCATGGCTGTGACGCTCATCACCCTGCTGGCTCTCAACGCGGCGCACACGCAAGGTGGCCAGGATCAGCAAAAGCCCGTGTTCTACGTGACACTACCCGCCGCCCTCGTTATGCTCTGCTGGGACATGGGCTACGGCTGGCTGCATCGGAAGGAGACGCGCGAGATTGCCAAAAAGGGCCGTCAGGATATTGAAGAAGGCAGAGCCCGCCGAGCGGAGGGCCGTGCCGCCCGAGAGCAAACCGATCAGGCTTCTGGCTCTGGGACCGAAACCAGCACTATCAGACCGGAGCCTCACCACGCGCAAGTGCCACCGCAGCCACCCGCCACCAACCAGATCGCCGGTGATTCTAGCGACGAAATCGCGACGGCACCGCAGTCGCCCACCGCCGCCGTCCACACACCTACAGGTGCCGATATGTCAGACAAAGACGAAGCAGCCCTGTTGGAGAAGCCGAACTCGGCTTCCACAGCCATCCAGCCAGCAACACAACAGGGTGCGCTTGTTGGTTTGAGCGATAGCGTGGCTGATGAGAAGGGCGTCTTTCAGAAGAAGACAGATGGGGCCGACAACCCTACCGAAGCAGAACTAGCCGCGGATCCTGAGAAACAGCCCGATACCAACGGTGCCCCCAGCAACGTAACACTTGCCTCGTTCGTCAAGGATCGTTACACTTGGTGTCAGGAGACTTTCCCAACAACAATGGCGGTTCTGGCTCACCTGCCGCTGGCTCTCGTCCCCTTTGCCTTCGCCATGTTCGTCTTGGTTCAGGCTCTCGTCAGCAGTGGCTGGGTGCCCGTTTTTGCCCACGGCTGGGCGCACTGGGTGGAGAAGACGGGCACGGTGGGCGCGATTGGAGGAATGGGCTTTCTCTCCGTGGTCCTGTGCAATGTAAGCAGGCTTATTGTGATACTTGTGTTCCGGCGCGGCCCGGCTAGCCTGCTTTCTATCACTTGTCATCAGCTAACATCTTATTCTGCAGTTTTCGGGCACCAATATCGGCACCACCATCCTGCTGTGCCGTGTTGTGCAGGCGTGGGCCTCCATCGCGAGCGCTGGCCAGACGCACATCTCAGAGCGGACCTACTGGGCGACAGTCTACAGCATGGCCATTGGAGTCAACTACGGCGCCTTCAGCACAGCATTTAGTGCCTCGTTGGCTGGCATGCTGTGGCGGGACATCCTCCAGCGCAAGCATATCCACGTTCGCGGCCTGGATTTTGCGCGCATAAACGTGCCCATTATTTCCGTCGCCATGATTATCGGCTGTGTGGTTCTCATTGGCGAGGTCTGGATCATGAGGGATGGTGAGTCCCCATACGTTTGAAGCACGCGCCGCGAGCCCGCGAGCCGCGGCTTCATTGCCACAAGATCGCATCGGCAAGACCTCGCAGATTTTTTTTTTCTCACAATTCTCCCTGTACATTTCCTTTCGTTCCCTGACTGCCGGAAACCGAGAGCTCCAGCCCAGGTCACTAGGACGACACGACTTCATTCTTGAATCTCGAATATCCATTTTCCGGTCCGCCCATGCATCTCGTTCTCTCAGCTTTTGTGAATAACCCAAATCCTCACCAATGGCCGACAAAAAGGCCGCTATCGTAGACGACTCGGCGGGCTTGCGCATAGACAAGGTGAATCCATGGACGAATACGGACCCCGCAGGCATGCGTGTTAACGCTGTACTGCCAGGATGATGGAAGACCAAGTTTCCATACGCTCTAGGTCGAGTTGTACTGTAGGCCATGTCTTCAGGGTGGGAAGGGTGCTGGTTCTTGCAAAGGGATTGGGGTCATCCTTGAGCCATGGATGATCCGGGAGAAGAACTCTTCTGCAGCGCGCATCCCGCTGTAGGCCATGCCCATGAGCACCTCTTTTGAATCCACAGAACAAGGGCGGACAAGGGTCTGGGGTCTTGGAGCTGAGAAGTCAGTAGGTACACGTCACTACCCCGTGTTTCCTTGTTCTGGCACTGATTTGCAATAATGCGACTAGGCGCCAGTGACGCGACACAGCCCCCGCGCGGCAACCTTTGCGTTGTCGAAGGGCTTTCCTAGGCAGTCAGTCCCTTATCTCGCAGCAAGTATTCTCCAGCAGCGTGCTCGCACCTCGTGGCACCCCCGCTCGGCGGCGTTGCGAAGAAGAGTCGGCTCCCCCGAACGGAATGGCCTAGACACAGGATACGCGGCCACAGCCGCAACCGGCCGTCGCCAGAGCGGTGAAGGTGGTGTACAGGAACTGTTTCACAGGCATGGTGCGCGCCTGATTCTGGGATACGTCAGGCATGCAACCTGATGGACGAAACAACCTAACCACCTTATCAGGACACATGAACAAACACAGCAAGGATCCCGATCAAGCCAACCACCCGGATGCGCCTAGGCCAAGGCTCCGACGTGGAAAGGCAGGGCGCCGCGGGGGGCTGGAAGGACGATTCATGGCGGACACTTACGCGGTGGCGCCGGGATTAGGATGAGCTGTAACGCTCTTCTGAACCTTGGGGACTCGGCCAGTCAGCCCAACTGCCGGTGGACATGGCGCGCTCGTAGCCCCTCGAACCCCCACGCGCAGCGGCGAGCAGAAAAGGTGGTACGAACCTCGCCAAATACTGCCTTTGTCGAGTGAGGGTAGCCCAAGCGAGTGTGAGGACTCCTGGCCTGGTCCCTGCGCTCAATCTCACCTCAGGCACAACCCGTATAAATAGATTGTTGATAAGACAATGGCAGGCACCATCGGCTATGCGCAAAAAGGCTATCCGAAGCAAAATCATCCGATATTCGAGCTCTAAATCAACCGGAACGCAAGGCCCGTGGCAACAGCCTCCCGAGGTAGAGGACCAGAAGGAGACGCCGTTACTCGGCATCACTTGAACTGCGAAAAGAACCTCCACGTCTCGTCGGCCGCCCATGTCATCTTGGTGCCCTTGTCCATTGGCTGCGGGGTGTGGCCGCCGTCGTACTCTATCCAGGTGACGGGGAACCCCTCCTTGCAGCCCTTGTAGTCAACCCTGGCGTGCGTGCCGCTGCCGGCGCTGACGGTCGGGAAGGTCTGCTGGGTGCAGCCGTTGTTCTTGATGAAGCGGTCCCGGATCTGGCGCGCCTGGGCGATGGGCAGGTCGCCGGCGACGCCGTGCTGGCCGTAAAACGCAATGGGCTCGCTGCCGCCCTGGCAGCCGCTCATGGCGCCGCCCGACTGGGCGCCGACGGCCCGGAACACCTTTGGCAGGCTGCAGGCGATGGCGTACGACATGCTGGCGCCGTAGCTGAAGCCGGCGCTGAAGAGCAGGTCCTCGTCGACGCACAGGTCGGCCTTGACCTGATCCACGACGGCCGAGACGAGGGTCACGTCGCGGTTGCCCGTGTTGGCCCAGCCGCGGTCCAGCCCGTTGGGCGCCACGTAGATGGCGCCCGTGGTGTCGTTGACGAGCCGGGGGAATCCGTACCAGGGCAGGTAGCCGCCCGTGCCGGCCACGACCTGGTCGGCGCTGCCGCCGAGCGCGTGCAGCGTGAAGATGAGCCGGTAGGGGTGCTTGTTGTCGTACCCGGCCGGCAGGTTGAGCAGGTACCAGCGCCGCCCGTTGCTGCCGGCCCCGGCCACGGTGATGCTGTTGTTGCCCGCCTTGAGCGTGTTGATCTTGCCGCAGCCGGGCGATGGCTTGAGGGCCGAGGCGAGGTCGAGGCAGGCGAGGCCGAGGAGGCCTGCCTTGACGATGAGGGACGACCAGCCTTGCATCTTGGTTGGGGTAGAGTTGGCGGTAAGGAATGGCTTCAATCTCGGGAAGTATAAAGCGAGCAGTGGCGCAGGCAAAAGCTTGGTTGTCCGCGAGGCCAAGAGGAGCCGATGGCGCCAGCTTTATGCGCGCCCAGGCGGCTACAGCCCGATGCCGTGGCCCTTTCCCGTGCAGCCCTCCTTTGCAATCTCCTGTCCTTCAAGCTCCGCATTGAGCATCATGGCGGATGAGGGGTTACCTAGATATTAGCATTCGTCACCTTTTTTGGAACCAAGGGCAAGGAACCCCGTACCGATCGAGACGCTGGAAATGAACAAATCATATAAAAGTCCAGAGCCTGGAGCGGCTTGTCGGTATTTATCCACTGCGGGCAGCCTCCCGCGGCACCCAGCCAGATTTGCCGGACTCTATCCTGTCGACGCATCGCCGGCCCCATCTCCGCCGCCCGGATTTGGTTCTGGGAGCGTGAAAGGCCGGAGCGCCGCGCGGCAGTGGCGGGCGGCATTGGATGCGGGGCGGTCTCCCATATGAGGAGCTATCACTTCAATGCTCTGGCCGGCTTCCAGAGACGGCATATCATAAAAGGCTCGATCCGATCAAATCATCACGACACGGTTCCGAGCCCGTCTTGCACCTTTGGGGGATTTCATGCGAGGCAGGGTATTGGCCCTAACCCTCAGCAACGTATTATGCCCCTGAGCTCCTTAGATGATGCGTCGTTATCTGCTGGAAGAGGTGACTCATTGCCGCCAAACCCGCCACTATGTTCTGAGAGATTGACACGAGCGTGCATGTTGTAACCGTAAATGGATTAAACCCTCATCCTGCTTTGTCTGCCGGTTGTACGAGCACCGCTCAAAATGGCGTCCCCCACTTTGGCCCAAAGCCTCAAGTTCGTGACCATCGACGTCTTCACCCCGACGCGCTTCGCCGGAAACTCCCTGGCCCTCGTGCTCCTCCGACCCGAGGACGCCAAGCAGCGCATCGCGCGCGAGTTTAACCTCCCCAAGACGGCCTTCTTGCACCTCGCCGCCCCCGGCGACAACGACGGCGCCGACACTGACGACACCGACCAGCTCCGGCTCGACATCTTCACCCCGCGCGAGGAGCTCCCCTTCACCGGTCACCCCACCGAGAGGTACTACTTCGTACACCTCGGCACCACCACCAGCAGGGGCGACAGCACGTCCTCGGTGGCCAAGACACGGTGCGGCCGCGGACGAGACTGCTGCTGGAGTCCGAGGACCCGGCGACGGGGAGCGCGGCCAGCGCACTGGCCTGCTACTTGGCTCTTTCCGATTCGGCCGGGCTGGGAGACTGGGTTGCGGAAGGGCGGGCTCTGGGGGCGGAGGAGACTGTGTTTTTCGAGATGGAGCAGGGCGTCGAGATGGGCCGGCACAGCGTCATCCACGTCGAGGTCGTGAGGGAGCGGGTGGCCGGGGCGCACGGGGTGGGGGATCAAGGAGGCCTACCTGGGCGGGACTGCGGTCATGGTCATGGAGGGAACCGTTCGGCAGTGATGTATTCTCTAAAATATTTATGGAAAGTCAGGCTGTCTTGGTGTCTATGTTTATTAGCTGCAAGCAGACCCCCGTTGATGGCCCTGCAGTAACAAGCATGCAGGTTTTATAGCTTCTCTCGCTCCTTTGCATCCATCGCCAGCCCACGCATCGCCCGGACGATGCCGTCCTGGTACACGGTAGCGACGTGCACGCCCCCCGGGCTCCAGACCTTGCCCTCCAGGATGACGCGCCCGTTTGCGACGCGCGGGTACGTCACCTCGTAGATCCACCACTGGTCGCTACCGCCATCGCCCCCGGGTTCCCGCTCTCCGTCACGCCCGCAGTGCATGACTACGTCCTCTGCGTTGGTGTGCACGACAAAGGTGTTGCTCAGTGTGGTAATAAGCTTCGCGCCGCCGCTGCCGAGGCCCATAAAGTTGGCCGCCATCAACAGCCCGTTCCTGTCGCCCACAAAGGCGTGGACCAGCGCGTGCGCGTTGGGGTCGTCGCCGCCGCCGCCCGCCGCCGCCGCGGGGCCGAGGAGGCGGTATAGTATCAGCTCGCGCTTCTCGTGCATGGGCCGGCCAGCGCTGTAAGCCGCCATATCAACCACCTTGCGCATCTCGACGGCCGGGAACGTCCCCGCCACCTCGGCGCCCGCCGGCCCCAGCGCGTCGACGATCCCTTGCATGTCGAGGCGCGGCACAAGCGGCCAGTCGCCGAGCCGCGGGCGCGCCGCCAGCACGGCCGCGAACCGCGCCTGCGGCGGCGGCTCCTGCAGCGTCAGGCCCAGGCAGTGCGGCTCGGGCAGCTTGAGGGACACCATGGCGGAGAAGCAGACGGGGCCGAGATCCGAGTCGACGGGGGTCGTGTCCGGGTCGGCGGCGGGGAAGCGGAGGAGGCTGCCGTGCTCGCCGCCGGGGGAGAAGGAGGACTCCTTATCTATCGGCTGCCGGGCCTTGACTGCGTATGTGACGAAGGAGCGCCCCGTGGTTATTTGCTCGACGTCGTAGACGAACGGCCGGTCTGTCAGGCCGAAGACGGTGAAGTAACCGTGTACTGTCTTTTGTTTTCCGTCGTTGCTCGTTTCGTCAACATCCCATCCACCGACGGCCTCGATCAAGCTCCAGCTAATGCCCACTCACATGTAGTCCGTACCTACTCTCGGCGGCGCCAGCATTCTGCTTGTCTTGGTCCTCGCTCGCGGCACGGCCGACAGCCATGGCGGCCTGGCAAAAGACGTGGCCGCCAAAGGCTGCCACGGGCGGGTTCGGGAACACCCCGCGCGGGCCGCTCACGGCATCTCCCTCCTCGATGTCCGCCCCGGGGAGGTTGGCCGGCCGCCGGCTTATGAAGCGCCGCGCGACGCCGGCGGCTGCCGCCTCGGGAGACAGGGGCAGCTCCGCCAGCTCCATGATCTCCTGAAACGAGAGGCGTGGGTCGGGCGCCATGCTTGCGGGTTCTAGGCGCGCCCGTCCGTCTACTCGTTCCCCCTAGGAACAGGCAACGCGCTGTCGCTTGTCACTATCCACGGGGTTGCCAGCCTTGCGACCGATTCAGCGCCCCTGCTGTTGGCGCGTTTATGTGTCCGGAGAGCCGTTTCCGAGGTGTGGTCGCGCATACAGACGCTATTGAATTTAGGACGTGGTATGGACGTTATCATTGATGCCAGTTGGCCCGGCCTAGTGTCCCATGTTGTGTTACGGTGTGTTTCCGTAGTGCGAGATGCCGAGGTCCCACGGCATGTGGCCCGTGATTGGCCAGCGCCCTGTCGGAGCTCCATCCCGCTCTTCCTCGCCGAAATGCCTTCTTCAACACGGCTCATGTTTGAAATTCAGTCGCAAAGCTCAATTCTCATCACGGGCTTTTACTGCGCGGTTGAACCATAAGAAAGGAATAAAAAAGAAAAAAAAGACTGGAAGAAACACAGGAAAATAACCTGGCATGTTGGCACCTTCAATGCGAGCAACATCCATCTGCTGTCCTAGGCATCCGCCAAGGGCGCCCTCTCCAGCCCCCCACCGCGTCTTGGAGTGTGACAGACGCAACACTAGTGGCTGCTCCCAGAGCCGGTGATCTTCTCCCCTTTTGGTTCCCGAGTACCCGGCCACCCGGCCAGCCGGCCAGATTGAAGGATCCGGCCCGTTGGTATCTCTCGCTGCTAACACAAGGCTAGGCATCTTTGGTGATAACAAGCGAGGCTCGCTTGCAAAACGGGTATGTGCGAGCAAGGATGTAGGGAGGCACACTTACATCATGGCGAACAACCAACTCACCATTTGGTTTCTGGCCCATCAGCTCGGACTGGGGGGTCTAGATTCCGCAGACTTGTCGATCCCAGCGGACCCAGGGATGTGGACCACCTGGTACCGACCTCAATATGGAAGGCTCCCGAGTTGTCGCAACCAGATTCACATACCAGAAAGTCAGAGCCCTCCTCGCCACTCGTATACAATACCTTTCCCCCCAGGGCTACGTTACTCACACCCAACTACCAGTTGGAGCTGGCCCTCAATCTGCACACCTGCAGCAACATTTAGTCGCCTCAGCCGCACTCACACTCGGTGTCAAAACTGAGGCGAGCGAGAAGGAGACCAAGGGGCCGCGGGCAACCGGATGGAACATTCGAGGCCAGCATAAAGGATGTGATCGTGACGAGGTGGGAAAAAAGAAACGAAGAAAAGCAAGGACAAAAGAGATTACTTAGCTTGGTCGACAAGGATCACATTGTGGTGGAAGCAAGAAGATGCACCTTCAGTTAGGCCGCGAGACACAGGAGTAAAACGTTGATGCCCAAAACCAGCGGTCGATTTCCTCCGCTGCTCCTTCCCTCGTTCTCGCAGCCTGCATGTCGGCACTCTAAATAGCGCTATGGCGGCTTCCTCCAAAAGGGTGGTCGGGGGCCTGTGCTGATTGGCCACACCACCTCACCGGGTCCTTTTGATTTCGCGGTCAGCCTCCAGGAAAGAGTTTTTTTTTCTCGCGCCTGGTCGCGTTGCATTTCCCCATTGCCACTCCGAATTGGGCAAGAGCCCGATCAGGAGCGCTCCAAGCGATGTCCGCGCCAGAGATGCGCTCCATTGATTGTATTGCGATTCCTCCTATTCGGTTCTGCCCGGCCGAAAGGTGGACGTGGGCCAGCAACGAACGGTCTGCGGCCGCCGAAACAATGAATGCGGTCCGTCCCTAGCCTGCCACCCTGTCTGACTTACCTGGCGACGACTACTCAAGCTCAAACCACGGACATTCTGGCACCATGTCCTCGCCCCAAAACCAAGGGTATTCAGCCACCTCATATGGCATTATCGCCGCTCGCATCTGCATCTACCGGCATATTACTATACAGTCCAGCCCCGCGCCTCGCTGCCCTGTCCGCGCACTGGCACTCTGCAGGACGCCAATAATGCCCCGACTACAGCCTGGTGCTCTGAAAAGCCCCGGTGGTTTGGAGCCACACAGCCTCCTCGAACAAGCAGCCGCGGACAGAGCTGGCAATCGAGGCAAGCTATACTATCCCTGCTAATGGCTGCATAATGAGGGGTCACCCTGCAGCTCCTCGCGGTCAAAGTGGAGGACCCCAGCACCCCGGGTGCCCGGCACCAGCCTCCAACAAAAAACCGCACAAAACAAAATCAAATCAATTGATTGCAATGCCTTGTCACCACAACACGCGCCTCAGATCCTCTCAAAAATTATAGATGGTGTAGGGAAAATAACTGCCCATTAGATAGCATATAAAAAATAGGCGCTGGCTATTATTTGTTGTGGGTAAATTGGCTTCAAAGTGTGCCCTTTTTATTTACGTATGCGGATTTTTTTTGGAGGTTGGTGCCCGGCCAGTAGGGGAAGCTGACAGGGGCCGCGGAGCTGGTGTCACGAACCTTTTTAAACCCAGGTGGAGGTTTTCCGGGGAAAATGGCCAAGGGCTGGAGAGGACACCCTGGACATGGACGAAACGAACGGGGGTGGTCCCAGTCGTTGGGCTGCCGGCAAGCACCGTCTTCTCCGGCAAACTCAGTCATTCGGTCACCAAAGAGCGAGAGACCGAGAGATGAGAGGAGCAGGACGTCGCTGGCATTGCAGCTAGCTGATCCCCTTCGCGCGAACCGCCGACAGCCGACATCCCAGCCACGCGTCACATACCAGCACTCTGTGCGCTCGCCTTCTCCACACCTCATCTTCGCGTGCACCCTCGTGAGTGTGCTGAGAGGGAGCATGTTACCTTTTATCCACGCACATAATCAACATCTCGTCTCCGCCAAGTGCGTCAGACCCTTCATCCCGATGCCCTTTGGCTGCCCTCCAAGCCCACGACTGGTTTCACTGCCGGCCGATCCACTTGCGGTCTGGGCTGGCTACTCCGAGGTAGCTGCATCTCCAACGAGATCCAGCACACCCTCTCACTCCGCCTCCCGTCAGCCGCCGACTACGTATTGGATTTCCGTCTTCCCCCGTCTTTGCCCACCCCGAACCGTCAACCTAGTCCACTGAAAGTCTAAAGGGACTCACGAGGACAGTTCTGGCACCACATGTACCACGCCGTGGGCCCAAAAGAAAATACCCAAACAACAGCCGAGGAGGCCTTTTTCACCCCCTCTCTTGCTCTACCCCAGCTGTCCCGTCCTGTCGGCTACCCTCCATTGCCAAACGGCTGCACATCAGTACCCCTCATTTTTCGATTGATGTTACGTTAAACCCTTCAAGTTGGTTGGCCCGTCCCATCACACAAGAGGGACAGAGACGAAGCCTAGTTGTTTCGTCCAACCCAACTCTTAACATATTGACCATCCCCCCTTCCATGCTATTAGGGCACCCTGCCGAACCTATGTTAGTGTGCTCGGCGATTTGCCGTCTTGCTTTTCGTTTTTATTTCTTTTTCTCTCCTCATGTCACTCCCCTGCCATGTTTCGCATTTTTCCGTCGGGCTGCAAGTCATGGCACACCTTCACATGGCCTGCACAAACTATCAGGAAGAGAAACCAAACTGGGCTGGGAAACCACTCAGATGAAATAAATGCCACTTGCCCGTGAGGCCCACTTCGAGCTGACTTTTCCGATCAGCTAGTCCCTGGACCATTTCAAGAAGATCCTTCTCTCCTCTCGCCTCTTCGCCTCAAATATTCGGACCATCGTCGCCCTGTAGCCTACCCTCTGCTATCTGACCCGACCGCATGGAACCGCTCCCACTAGCCAGGTCCAACCCGTCTCACTATATTGTCTATCGTGGCCGCCCCAACCACACATGCAGGTCGTATAGCCCCCGGCTAGGCTTTTGCTGCATCACATCAAAACTCTCTTTCGCTGCGAGGCGCACGTCTTTTCGCCTTTGGGCTGCCTCGTGACCCCTCTCAGTCGCTGATCGAGGTGTTTGTGGCACACCTTGCATCTGCCGCTAGCCCTCATACGACAAGTCTTGACATCCCCCTCGCCAAAGACGCATGACCGGAAATTTGTGGCGAACCAGCCCTCCCCATCCACGACATATTAGTCCACTACTTGCCGCTTTTGATTACCTTGATATTTCCTCCACACACTCGACAAGGGCCCTTATTCCAACCTCGAAACTCCCATACTCCGACTCCCACACGGGAGAAACAACAATTTTTCCGTCAACTCGACGAGCCGCCCTTTTGATCCACTTGGTTCAGAGGCACCACGATATCCACTCCTGGGTCACCCACATAAGCTTGGCTAACGGGGCCAAGGATTACTCTAGACAGGTTGCACGCCTGCTTGATTCGTTCCTCTCCGTTTGGCAAGACTGGTTCTGGTGACGGCAACCATGGGCATGCCGTAGCCGTTTTCCTTCTCTCTTTTCCAATTCTGCCCGAGCTGTCTAAGGCACTCGCTGCCAGCACCCGAGGCCCAATTGGGAGATACCCATCGACAGTGTTAGACGCAAAAGGAGACGGCCCCATCCCTGCCCTACCTTCAGCCAAAGCTCGACGACCGTGAAAAGACAGGATCGAGCCTCTTATCACATCTGAAAAAGGGAGCACCACGGGGAGGAAAGCTGGCGGGCTGTGCGAGGAGAGGGAAATCCGAAGCTGGAAAAGCTCTCGGGCATTGTCACCTACCGCATCCCCGTCTTGCCTCAAGAAGTCACATGCCCCATAACTCTTATCCCTAGTCCATCTATTGATGGATTCCATGGTGATCCGGCTAGATCCTTGCGAGACTCCTGGACCATGGCGCCACATCATGCACGACGGCGATGCAGCGAGTGGGAATGTTGTGGTTGCGGCAGCCCGGCTCTCGCAAACCTTCTTGGCGCAAGAGCTCGGGGGAAAGGCGCAGCATCAGGGCTCAATATTGAGCTTGGAAGCCAAGCCCCTGGAGGTCAACAGAACGATGTCGGCCAGCTTGGGGGTTGATATGCGCGAGGTCCCCCGAGATAGTAACGCCTCGCCTCTCCTATATCTGCCACCGACAGCAGCGTCGAAATTCGAGTCAAGGGATGAACCGCCAAGGGCACCCGCGGCCGCGGGGGTGTCGACGGGAGCGGCGGTCAAACCACCATCAGCATCATCCACAACATCAACCGCCTCTATGCTGGCACTCGGCCCAAAGATGGTTGCTGGAGTGAGAACGAAGCCCGACGAAAGGAGCTGCGTATCCTCAGCACATACCCAATATCTCCCCACCAAATTGGCTTTTGGGAGTAACGGCTCGTCATCAAGGGCTTCCTTGAAGCGAGCCCGCCCTCTGTCAGACGTCGATGGCCCCTACACGTCGAATCAGGGGTGCAAGAAGCGTCGCCTCCTCCGGCATCTCGTCACTAGCCGCCTCTCCCAGCGCTTCTCCATCCCTGCCACGCACGTGCCAAACCTTTCGGGCACTATCGGCATGACAGGCGGCGGCGGCATGGAAAAACGGTTCCTCAGGCTCGCGGCCGTGGCGGCCGCCCGGCGCGTCGCAGCGTCGCCGACACCAAGCACCGGGGCCCAGCTGCAACTGCGCCAGCAGCCACACAGCACGCCGCCGTCCGAGGTTCTCCGTCGTGCGGCCATCATCAACCGGTTCCGGATGCGAGTGTTTGTCCAGCCTGCCGAGCGCGGTGACGCCGCTGTGGCGGAGATGGCTGCCTCGGCAGCTCTGCTACGCTTCTCCCCAGGTGTGTATGCCGCAGTTGGCGGGTCAGGGCTCGCTCGATTCCCCAGGTCCTCGGCGTCAGGCCAGAGTCAAGAAGGAATTTCCATGCCTCCGCCGCTGCGGCCTAGCCTGCCAGCGCCGACTTCGCCGCAGTCGATACCGAGAAGGGCACTATTTATCAGCAGCACTGGTGGCCCCAGCCAAGTCATCAAGCCATCCTCTGTAGAGGCCGAGGCTCGGGACCCCAGTCCCTACCAAACACAGCAGACGCCGGCACCACCGACGCCTTTTTCGCTTCCTGCCGCCATTACGGCTATTAGACCGCTATCTCGCGTCGCGGCCATTGCCCGCTGCCGATCCATATCCCCAGGCATGACCCCGCCAGGGTCCCCGTCTAAGGGACTGCGCCCAGCCGACGCCTCCCCTCGGATGGCGGCGGCAGGTGCAAGCCGTCTACTCCCGATATCCCCACGACTGCAGCCCCTGTCCTCGTCTGACAACGAAGAGGGCATGGCGTTCCCGACGTCGGAGCACGAGAGCCGATACGAGTCTGGTGACGACTCGGACGACGTCTACACCGACTTTAGCGTCATGTTTGGCGGCGGGGGTGGTGACGGGGCCGAGGACGACGATGGGATGAGCGGGAGCGAGGTCGACGGGTATGAGGAGTTCATGGACGACCTGGACGGCATCCCTTGGTCTGCGCGGTGACGAAAGGGAGGGCTCTTGGATGTGCATGGGTGCCAGAATGTTGGTCTCAAAGCATCTGCTGGATTAAAAATGAGGGTCTGGTTTGCTGTATCGCCTGTATTATTTGCAACGTTGTCACGATTAGGTCCTTGCAGGGAAATCATGATAAAAAGGAGAATAAAAACAATTATCGTGGCTGTCTGATTTCACTATATTTTGGGACTGGATAAGAGATTGAGTGCTCAGGTGTGGGAAACTTCGGCTCCATGAGCAACATCACGTGCACCTGACTCGCTTCGCATTCCGAAAAGGGCAGCGACCTCTACATGGCTGGTGCTCGGCTCAGTGGAGGCTCCCCCGGCTGGTGGCTCTGAATCAGCCCATTTGGTCAAACCGGACTGCAAATCGAATCCCGCATTCCGGAAAGCAAGAAACCAAGGCACCTCCCTCGCGCTCAATCGAACCCGACCGACCGACCCAATTCCCTCCCCTCTGCCGCCATGTTTCTGTCCCGCTCCGCCGCCCAGGTCGCGCGCCGGGCCGCCATCGCCCCGGCTGTGCGTCGCGGCTTCGCCTCCACCGTCGCTCGCCGTGAGTCCAGAGCCCGACCTTGGAAACAGGTCGCCGCCGAGCCGAGGGCGCTTGGGGGCCAGCACGACGGCCTCTACTGTATTTTTTGTTTGAGCCGGAGGAGAGAGACTGACCATTGGGGACTTTGCTCTGCTTCACAGGCTCGGGCAGCTCATCGCAGACCACGACCCCGGAGAAGCCCATCCAGACCCTGGCCGGTACGATTTCATGCCACCCGCGATTCCCATAGGGGAGAAAAAAATAAAGAGTTTCTCCGTCCATCCTGCGCCAATTGTCCCGAACTGCTGGCAGTTTTGCTCGTCGAGGCGCCTCCTCTTCGAGCTCCTATCTCGCGGGGACCAATGGCGGGGTGGAGAAGGACTCGAGGCGCATAGACATGTCCCAGGACTGACGATTTTGATCATGACCAACCACGAGAAACTTGCAGACGTCAAGACTGCCGACGACCTCTTCGGCCCCGGCGCCAAGCCCGGCACCGTCCCGACCGACATGGAGCAGGCCACCGGTCTGGAGCGTCTTGAAATCCTGGGAAAGATGGAGGGCGTCGACGTTTTCGACATGCGGCCGCTGGACTCTTCGCGCAGGGGTATGTCTACCAATCACTATAGCCGTCGCTGGCGGCGCGGCCGATGGTCCGAAGGGCTTTAAGAGGAGGGGTGAAGTCATCTCGAGCCAGGTAGTGGGGAAATAGTGTTGGAGAGACACCGCTGACGCGCGCTCTTGCTGCGCAAACGCAGGAACCCTGCAGGACCCGATCCTGGTCCGCTCGGCCGGTGACGAGCAGTACGCCGGCTGCACTGGCTACCCCCGCGACTCCCACGAGGTCAACTGGCTCACTGTGAGTTTCCCCTCTTGCGCCGAGAGAACTGATGTCATTCTTTGGGTCTTGTTTAACCTTGGATATCTGTATGACAGATGTCTCGTGAGCGCCCCGTCGGCCGCTGCCCCGAGTGCGGCCAGGTTTACAAGATGAACTACGTCGGCCCCACCGACGACCACGGCCACCACCACGACCACCACGGCCACGAGGAGCCCAAGACGTTTGCCGACTACGTCAAGCCCCAGTACTGGTAAGAAACTCGCGGCTTGGAGAAAAAGAGGCGGCGTTCGGCCGGCGGCTCTACTTTTCCCCTCCCTCTCGCGCTCTGGATCCGTACCCGGAACAGCCGTACCGGGGGCGGGTGAACAAGCATTCGAAATGCTGTAGGGCAATGGGAGGAGGGACATCACACTGTAGAATAGTCCGCAGGGAAGTGGAAGTGCGTAGATCTATGTGTTCGCTCGCTGGCCTTGTGATGTGTGATGCAGCTATGTTTGATGCTCTTCGGCTTGAAGGAGGGCCAGAAGGAGGCGACGTCATCAGGCGCGGTTTTCAGCCGGTCCGAGTCTAGCGCAGTGCCGCGTCCAAAGGGTTCCGGACGCCAACGGGCCACGATCGTCGCAGACTATAGATATAGGCAGCCCTGCAGCACGTAGGCCAGCGCCTTCGCTCTACTAATCACCCAGGTATGGGTGGGCTGTGTGTGTGTGGATGGGGTCTGCCAATCGTCCGGTAGAGCTAGCTCGCCTGCTTGGGGCGAGCCGGCAGCCATGGTTTTGCAGCAGTCATTGCGCATCGCAACGTCCGAACATGACCACCAGCGGGCGGACGCCCGACACGGCAAGAGAGGTTTTGAATGTGCCTCGCGACACACCCCTTTCAGTCGGCGTCGTCGCCAAAGCTGAGCTTGATCTTTTTCGCCTTTTTCTTCTTTTCCTTGCCCGCGCCGCCGGCCTGCTTCCCACCTGCCGCTGCTGCTGCTGCTCCTGCTGGTGGTGCCGCCGCCGTCGACTGCTGTTTCTGTTTCGGGTCCGCGCCGTCGGTGGGCTTCTTCTTCTTCCCCCTGCTCTCGCCCCTGCCGTCTTCGTCGCCGCCCCCCTCCTCCTCCTCCCCACCACCTATGACCCTGCCCACGGCCGCCTTGCGCTTCCTCTTTGCGCCCGCGGCCTCCTCCTCCTCCTCCTCTCCCTCCTTGGGCTGTCCCTCGCCGGCCTTGCTGGGCCCCACCTCAACCCCTTCCTGTCCGGCGACGGTGCGCACGGCGGACCCGTCGAGGCCGACGCGCACGTCTGAGACGACGTCGCCGCGCTCGTCGACGACCACGGGCGCGTCCTCGGCCTCCTCGCTGCCGGATCGCTTCTTGACCGCGCGTCGCCGGCCGGCCAAAATCGGATCCGGGCCTTCCGAGTACGAGGACGGGTGCTGGCCGCGCAGGCGGGCGAGGAAGGGCGGGAGGTTCTGGTCGTAGGAGAGGTTGCTTGCCGTGATTTTTGGTGGCATTTTGTGGAGATGCTTGTGTGCTGGTTTTTTTTTGGGGTTTTTTTTTCGGAGGGCGGTGACGGTCGATCTGGCGAGTTGGTGGAAGTAGGGTCGGAGTTCAATCGGGGTTGATGAGGAATGGCGTGAGTTGGCGGCGGCGTTGAGCGGCTGCCTTTTGGGATGGCGGACTTGGAGCGGAGCCCTGTCGCGGGAGCGAGTGGGTATTATTTTGCAATGGAGCGCAACCGCCAAAACTCAACACCCTGCAAGTTACAACTCCCTTTTAGCATATTAGAACACTAAACCACTTCAATTTCCCGACCAGCTTGCAATGATCTTAGCCTCTTTCTGCAAACTACCAAAAACGTCCCCTACACCTTGTTCCTGCTTACCCAACACCCTGGCATCGTGGGCAATGAAACTCCTACCAGCACGGGACCTGATCGTCTCCAGGTCGTCATCGCACACTGAGATAGTAACCGTCGTATCAGACAATCAGGTTCCCCAGCCGGTCGACCTGGACGGCGCCCAGCAACGCCTCATCAGGCCCGCCCACCTAGGGACTACTGGCTATCCCGTGGATACGAACGCAACCCCCAGGCGCGGTCGATCTACTGCCTCTGGCTAACGACCTCCCCCTACGCGACTGCGGTCCCATGGTGGCGTAGTAGGTATGCACCAGGGGGGCCTCATTAGGCACCATGCTCATGCCGTCGGGCCCGAACCTGGCCCAGAAATGTCGTCCTCGGCCACGCCGTGGCGGATTAACGGCGACGGGACCGGCTTGGGCACGACGGCATCCAGCTCAGCCGGTGTTGGCAGCCCCGCCACCCACAGCGTGCCCTGCGTGACCCCGCCACCGAGCTCCCATTCTCCAGCGGCGTGCGTTGGCCCCAGCGGTGGCCCATGAGCATGCTGTCGGCGTGGTTGCATACAAGGCCGCGTAAGCGCAAGCCGGCCTCAACGGCGACCGACACTGGCGCGACCGTTTAGGCGGCGTCCATGATGCGTATGTGGTCGTTGAAGATGAGCAGGGGCCGCCGGCGAGCGCCGCGGCCTCGTGGCTGGTACCATCGTGAAGTGGGAACTTCGAGCGTTGCTGGGCGTAGATGCTTCTCCGAGCTTTGATGAATATCCAAGCGTAAGAGCTCGGCTCCAACAGCGGCCAAACGATAGCAGGCCGGTTAAAGTTTGCACATTACGCCTTTGGCGATTCGCCTACCGGGTCCCTTTTTACACCAATATCCAGATGCTGAGCAGTGAGGTGCACTTCCCGATGTTTGCACCCGCTATCATTCCCACCCATCGTGCGCAACGCCTTGATACTACCTCAGCTCGGCACAGCTGCGGGGAGCAACAATCTGCAACAATCTCTAGGCAAGTGTTACAAGACCAAGTCGGCTGAGGATGCTGGCCCCGACAGCTTCCCGCCTGTAACTCAGTGGTGGGAGCGCCCAGACGTGACAGTCGATACTTTGAGCAGTATCACGCTTGAAGTTTGGTAGTCCCTTTGCGTGATTCCCATCACCGTCGAGAGAGCAGAGCTAAATTAACTATATAGCAAAACCAATGGAAAGAGCCTCACTTGTCCGACAAGAAGCCGTGTGTGAAAACACTTCACATACAATGTTCCTAGAAAGAAATCATCTTTAGCAAGCGCGCAAAACAGCCCTCTGCAAAGTGCTCACGCCCAGGAAAGGTTTAGAGACCAAGTGCTCTAGAAAGATAGCACAGCCAGCTCAAGGCCGAGGTTGGAATCCCACATCAATCGATCACGTCTCGCTCCAAGAAAGCGAGCGGGCCAGTAGATAATGGGTGCTCTGACCCCATATCCATATTTACGAGAGCGGGGGCACATCTCTACGGCTGCGCCCGAGCGGAGGAATGCCAATTTGAAGCGAGGTTTCGGCCAGTACAACCCTGCCCCTGGGCTTCAACGTGACGACGCAACCCGCCTCGGCTGGGACAGCTGGGGAAAAGTGTTTAAACACGACGAGGCACATGTACCGAGGCATGCTAGTGTTGGAAAAGAGTGATATTGGTGGCAAGAAATGGAGGCGGTATAAGAAAGCCATAATAAAAGAGTACATCTCCGAGAGAAAGGTGGAGGTTCGTTGGCGATAATAAAAAGGTGGCGTAAACGTTAAAAAGCCATCGCATAGTAAAGGAAAAGTCCCAAGGCCAGATCCGTCCCATCATGATACTTCATACGAATACAAACAGGCGTACGATGTATTTTGCAAGTGCGTGAGTGTGAGTGTGGGTGTGGGTGAGTTTGTGTCAGTGTGAGCCATCCAAACCGTGGTATGTCTGATGGTCGAGGTGTTGGTTGTTTGGCCGAGGTTGACGAGACATGGTCGTCGCCCCTCGCCGTCTTTCCTCAAAGCAAAAGCCATCAAAGGCGGTCCAGCAGATCCAACCCTCCAGAAGCGAGGGACAAGAAGCAGAAAATAAAATAGGAAGTTTTTAGGTGGGGAAAGAAGGGTTATCGAATGTAACCCAATACCAAAATAAAAAGAGGAGGAGGTGGAGACAAGGTTTGGCCCGTGCACCGGACCAGTCCCCTGTTTTGCGTTTCCGACCTTGGAGCCAGACCAACCAAAGACGACGAAACCCCCGACAGCGAAAGCCGCGAAACCCGACATGAGAACCCCAAAGCACATGGTAGACAAAAAAGGATTGATAGAAAGACAAGGTGGAGAAACAAAGAGGCGCGACCCTGAAAAGTTGACGCAAGTCCCAGATAAGCAGCAAAAAAAAAAGTCAACGCGGGACGAGACTCAACCACGATTAACCAATTTTTACGGAGGCCCACACATTACGCGCCAACCCTCTCCTCCATCCTCCTGACCATCTCCCTCTCCTTGGGGCTCCTAGGGTCGGCGTCGATGCCGAGGATGGCAGAGATGCGAGTCTTGTCAGACTTGGCAGCGCTGATGCCGTAGGCCTCGCGGTCCTCGGGCGACAGGACGGGGGTGATGGGCGTCAGCGCCTGCTGGCGGTGGGCACCGCTGCAGCAGGGCGAGGGACCGTTCCTCCAGGCCTGCTCCAGGGCCGCGGGGCTGGCGCCGTGGCCGTACTCGGCCGCGATGCTGGACCAGAAGCCGTTGCGGTGGGCCGCGTAGATGGCCGACAGGCGGGTCAGGTCGACAGGCGGCATGTGCTGCTGCGAGGTCGGGGCCGCCGGGGGCGGGAGGCCGGAGCAGTCGAGGCGCAGGTTGGGGTGGTGGTGCGACGACGACGGCGCCGCCTTGGAGCTCGTCTGGCTGGTGAAGTTGGCGGCGGGCAGGAGGGGCGCGACGTGCTGCTGCTGCATGTCCGACATGGAGACCGGGTAGCCCCTGCTAACGGGCGGTGAGGCCAGGGCCAGGTTCATGGAGGCGGGCTTGGGCAGGATGGCGGGCAGCCGGGGCGAGTGGTGGCCGCCGCCCGACATGATGGCGGGCAGCTGGACGCCGCCGGCCGGCGAGCCGGGGCCGTACATGCTGCCTGTGGGCGAGACGGACCGGGAGGAGGACTCGTGGATGGGCGAGGGGATCGTGGCCGTGAGGACAGGGGAGTGGCCACCGGTGGACGAGCCCGAGGAGACGCTCGTGGTCCGCTTGCGGCGGTTCGAGCCATGGCTGAGCTGGTGGTAGTGCAGCCGGCAGGCGAGCTCCGTCTTCTTGAGGTGGGCGGCGATGTGCTTGTACGGCATCTTCTGGAGGCGAGTTTGAAGCAGGTAGACCTCCTGTTTCGTTTGCAGCGGTTCATCCCTGGTCAGCCATCATCCCTACACTGAAACGGTACCTGTTCCAGGTGTTGCACCACCTGGAAAACACGGCCAAGAAATCCAAACAAACATACCTCATCCTCACTCCAGGCTCGGCCGCCTCCGGTCGAGGCCGTTTTGCGGCTCTTCATCACTCCGTACTCGTGACGGTCCATCATGTCCGAGGTCGGCTGGTAATGCGCGACGGGGGCCGTCATGTGCATGGTTGGAGACATTCCTTCTTCCTTTTGGGTTTTGACCCAACTCCTTCTGCAAGCCGACTTGCTTGTTTCGACCGATAAATGTCTCGGTTGCGGTCGGTCGGTCGTGGTGATGGTGGCGATCACTGTGCGTGGTGTCCGGGAAAGAAAAAGTTCGAAGCTGGTTCGAGTGGGAAAACGGGCAGGACTAGCTGCGTCAAGAATCGAAGATTGTCGGGGAACGTGTGATCCAACACCTCTCTCAGTCTCGTGGGCCCTTCAAACAACGAAAGTCTGGCCTAATCGGTCTCTGCGAAAGAGAGGATCGTTGAGTGGTGTTCTTGAAGGGAGCGGTGGTTGTCGAAACGAAAGAGGATGTCAGGAATCAGAGAACGGATCCGGACAATGTAAAAGTAGTGGTGAAAAAGGGTTTACAAAAGGAGGTGTCTTCAAAAAGGACCAGATTATACTGAATCGAAAGCGAGTTCTTTTCCCGTAAAAGAGTGTATGCAGCCAAGCCAAGCCAGTTGGGCAAAGGGTAATAAAAGAGAGTAAGGGTTTAGCTGCGGGTAAGAAAAGAAGTGAAGAAATGAACGGGACACACGCAACAGCGTCGTGACAGAGAAAGATATTCTCAAATCTGAGGATCAACTTGGGTAGAGGAAGAAGATAAACAAAAGGAGGAGGAGGAAAAAAGAAAAGAGACGCTCGAGAACAGGAAGGCACAAAGATAATAATGGATCGATATTGGTGTCGACTGGCGTGCATAATGTTCGGGTGGAGGCAACATCCACCAGCAGTCTAAGACGACGGGCCAGGGGGGAGGGGCGTGGGATGGGAGGGGTGTGAACGTGAAGGGGAGGGAGGTTTGTGGGCGGTGGACTCTAAACCAGACCGCCTAGGCCAGCAGAGCATCAGGGCCATGTTTGGCAGGCTGACCCTGTCGGTCCTGCAACCCAGCGGACGCCATGGAGGCTTTGGGATCCGGGACGCTGGCCAGATCTGGACGGGTAGGGGTGTGCAAGTGAACATGGCACGGACACTGGGTGGGGGGGGGGGGNGGGGGGGGGGGNG